ATTTTTGAGTTTTAAATTCATGAACACGATATATTTCCCCATTTTTGAAATCTTCTTTAATTTCTCTCAATACTATTTGCCAATTTACATTATAGAAAATAATGTAAACATGGAAATGTAATAATATTGGAGAATGTAACATTTCCTAATTGTTTCTTAAATATGCAATCCTTTCACCTTGGATCCAGCAATCTTGCAAAATTTCCTTATAAAAGCAATAGTTTATCCGTATATTCTTTTGGATATGCTGCATAATCATGTCATTGATAAATAATTATCCTATGTTTTAATCCTTTTATTTCTTGTATCTTTTATTTATTTCTCTTGCTTGACTGCATTGGCTAGAACCTCCAGTATAATGTTGAGTGGAAGAGATGATAATGAGGTTTTTTTTGAGTTTTTATTTCTTTATTTGAGAGAGAACACAAGCAGGGGGAGTGGCAGAGGAAGAGGGAGAAGTAGGCTCTCTCCTGAGCAGGGAACCTGATGTGGGGCTCAGTCCCAGGACCCTGGGATCATGACCTGAGCTGAATGAAGGCAGACGCTTAACCGACTGAGCCTCCCAGGCACCCTTGATAATGAGTTTTTGATAGTCAATATAAAGCGTGCTGTTTACTGAAGGTTTTTGGGAGATATTCTTTATCTGATTAAGGAAATTCTCTTTTATACTTAACTTGCTAAAAGATTTATCATGAATGTGTATTCTAATTTATCACTGTGGATCTATTGAGATGACCATATCCTGTTTCTCCTTCACTGTGTTAATTTTTGTAGTTTTATATGTATCTCAAAAGACATTATTGTTGTTTTTATAAAAATAGTATTTATTTATACTTATCCGCATGTTAACTATTTCTGTTATACGTCCTCCATAATTGCCGTTCTATCAGTTCTTTATAACACCATTTTCCTTCAATCTAAAAAAATGATCTTTTAGCATTTTTGTATTGTAGGTCCTCTGACGATAGATTCTTTAAACATTTTTCTAAGTATGGCTTCTTTAAAAGTTATTATCTCTTTTTCTGGCTGCTTTCCCCAAATTGATTGCTCTTGATTTTTTACAATAATACTATGATGTGCCTGGGTAAAGTTTTGTTTGTTTGTTTTTTTTTGTATTTGTATTGCTCGAGTTTGTCTGGTTTCTTGAATCTGTGGTTCAATGATGATTTTCATCGGTTTTGGAAAATTTTCAGTCATTACTTCAAATGTTCATGCTCTGATATCTCTCTCTGCTCATTGTGGGAATTCACTTACACACGTGGTAGGCCTTGTCCTTCTAGCCTATAAGTCTATTACTCTTTTTGCTGTGTTTCTGATTCTTTTGTCTCTCTGTGTTTTATTCTGGGTATTTCCTTCTGTCTTAGCTTCCAATTCATTGATTTTTATTAAACTGTGTCTGACCTGCTGTTAATTCTATCAGGTTCTTAATTTCAGTAACTGTACTTTACAATGATAAGAACTTGTATTTGGTTCCTTTCAAAATTTGCCCTGTTGTTTTGTTTCTAGTTCTCACCAAAAATTTAGTTTTTGTATATTTTGTCCTTGAAGAGAGAGACATAACTCCCTCTCCCACTCCCCCTGCTTGTGTTCCTCTCTCGCTGTGTCTCTGTCAAATAAATAAATGAAATCTTAAAAAAAAAATCTGTTTTAAATCCATGAGCAAAAACTCCAATATCTGGGGCCCTAATGGTTCAGTTTCTATTGTCAGTGATTCTGCTGACTCTTCTTCATGTGATTTTATCTCTTTTGAGTACCATGTGATCCTTCACTGTATGTGTGGAATTTTATTGGAAACCTTTCTGCAGAAATGAATTCAAGGTCTTAGATGACGAACCTTCTTCAGAAAGGATTCTTGTTGTTACTTCTTCAGAAACGTGGGGGCACGCACAATGTGGGACCACTTTCACTAAGTTTCAGCACTTATTTTTCCGGGCCACCTACATACTTGCAGAACAACTGCAGTAATCTTGAGTCCCAGGGCCCATGGCTTTGAGGTCCCAGGACACATCCGAAGGTGTTAGCATGGCTTCCACGTTGCAAGACCTGGACTCCACTTTTTGTTCCTTGATTCCATGAGATGATCAAAAGTCTATTCGCCACTCAGATGCGCCCTCCTGGTTCAGCTCACCTTCCAGCAGAAAAGCAGCCTACATGCCTGACTCTCACCTGGATTTTTATCTCCTGTCAGATCATGGTCCAGTAATGCGTCCCTAGTTTATTAGCTTTCTAATGCACTCACAGATACATTTTATAATTTATCTAGCATCTATAGTCTTTCTTGGGGGAGGAAATGGAGGTAGAGTGATATCTGATTTAAATTATTAAGATTACCCTTACCGGAAGGACAAGCCTCCTTAAGAATTTTTATTTTCATTTATTGTTTTAAAGATTGATTGATTTTTTCTTTTTTTATTATTTTTTTAAAGATTTGATTTATTTATTTGACAGAGAGAGACAGCGAGAGAGGGAACACAAGCAGGGGGAGTGGGAGAGGGAGAAGCAGGCTTCCCGCGGAGCAGGGAGCCCGACGCGGGGATGGATCCCAGGACCCGGGGATCACGACCCCAGCCAAAGGCAGACGTTTAATGACTACCACCCAGGTGCCCCTGATTGATTTACTTTTTAAGGAGAGAGCAAGCGGGGGTGGAGAGAGTGGGCGGAGGGAGAGAGAATCCTCAAGCAGACTCCCCTCTGAGCACGTCACACAACGTGGGGTTCAGTCCCAGGACCGGGAGATCATGACCCAAGTGGAAACCCAGAGTTGGATGCTTAGCTGGCTGAGTCACCCAGGAGCCCCAAGAAATCTTATTTTTAATTTCAAGTGTTTTGGAGTTTTAGATAAAGTTACTTGGTTCTAGTTATATAGCATTATAGTAATATAGTGTGCTATGTCCTCCTTCTACATTTTCAAAAGTATTGAGGGTGTTTTGTGGACTAATGTATGATCACTTCTACGTGGGTACCATGTTGTGATATCAAACATCAGCTTGATAAAATGAGTTGGTAAGTTTTCTATCTTTTATATCTCGTGAAACATTTGAAATTTCATTTTGAAGTGTGTATTACCTGGAAGTGACTTGATACAAATTTATGTAAAAGATTTTTTCTATTCTGACAAGTTTCTTCGTCCATTCTAGCTTTCTATATTTTCTTGAATGAATATTGGTAATTTCTATTTCCATTCATATCATTTAGATTTTCAAAATGTTTAACATTACGTATATAGTCTACAGTTTCATATAATTTTCTTATACATATGCAAATATGTTTGAATTCTATTTCCTACTCTAGTGTATCTGTGTTGCTTCTCTCCCCTTCCATTTTCCTTTAGCAAGGGTCTTTTTAATTTTTGAAAGCTATCCTGAGCTAATAACAAAATGGAAATTAAGAAGGCAAATGGAAAAGAGTAGGAGAAAACTGTGTACACTATGGTGTGATAATATGATCAAAGAGCTATCTAAGATGAAAGGAATGGGGATTGTTTTAAAAAATGTTTATGCTCATAGGAAATAATATAAGTAGGAAAGGCAGAAGGCATGCTATTATGCCCACCAAAATCACAACCTTGTAAAAATGTGTCTGCATGTTAACAAAGATTAAAAACCAATAACAAATGTAAAAATAGTGATACTCATTTGATTTCTCTGACTAGTTATTTTGACTCACTATTATTTAAGTTGCCATCTCTTTTCCCAGCTATTCCTTGTGGGCCACCCCCAGCCATCGCCAATGGAAATTTCTTTAGCACCAACACAGAGTCTTTTCCATATGGAACCGTGGTGAACTATCGCTGCCATCTTGGACAGAGAGGGAAAAAGCTGTTTGAGCTTGTGGGCAACTCATCAATACATTGCACCAGCAAAGACAATCGCGTTGGCGTATGGAGCAGCGACCCCCCTCAGTGCATCATACCTAATAAATGCACACCTCCAGACGTTGAAAATGCAATAAGGGTATCTGAGAGCAAAACCTTATTTTCCTTACATGAATTTGTGAGGTTTATCTGTGAGCCCGGCTTTGTCATTAAAGGACCCTCCAGTGTGCAATGCCAAGCCCAAAACAAATGGGGGCCAGAGTTGCCAAGCTGCTCTAGGGGTGAGTCTGACTGAGGCTTTGAAGGGACCAACAAAGGGCATGGGTTGCAAGAGGATCAGGAGATCAGTGTTTGTTCTGGGAGTAGAATGCATGGTGATCCGTGCAGTCAATGTGGGGGGATGAAGCATGAAATTAAGGAAGTGTGTGTGTATGTGTGTGTGTGTGTGCGTGCGTGCACGCACATGCGTGCGCACACGCAAGTGTGCACTTAAGTATATGTGCCTTCATTTTGAAAGCGGGAGCTTAATCAGTCGAGGAAGGAGACGTTTGGGACTCTCATACTGAGCAATCCTCAGGGCAAAATACCAGCTTCAGTATCTCTCAGATACCCTGAAAACTGAGGAACACTCTTTAGTCAGCTAGGCAATAAGCACTCTAAATGACTTATCTCATTTACTCTTCACGGCAATGCTTTACAATAGGGCTAATAATTCCATGTTGACTAGCCAGCACTAAAGAAAGCACCCCTGGGGGCCTGGCCATACATTTGACCTAGCGCCAGGAAGAACTCAGTTTGAATTATCAGCCTCTTTCTAGTTGTGAGGCCTTTAGCTACCTCCCTTCCATATTCTGAACTTCATAACAGTAAAAGGAGGGGCGGGAGTATCATTTGGTTTCCTTTGTTACACCTGCACTCCCCTTGAATGATGAGTCTGTAACTCCTCGGAAGGGTTAGAATGTAGCAAAAGACACTTCCCCATAACCGACTGGTGCTTGGCACCTGTTCTTTCCGCAGTGTGTCAGTCGCCTCCAGAAATTCTGCATGGTAAGCGCGCCGCCGGCAAAGAGACCAATTTCTTCCCCGGGCACGAAGTGTTCTACAGCTGCCAGCCCGGCTATGATCTCCGAGGGGCTGCTTCTCTGCGCTGCACGCCCCAGGGAGACTGGAGCCCAGCAGCCCCAAGATGTGCAGGTGCCCCCACTTTCATCTATTTGCAGATCCATCTTTTTGGTCCTCACACGGCCATCTTACTTCTGTTTTCCTTGTTGTGGTGGTTTTCCTAGTGAAATCATGTGTGGACTTCCTGGACCAACTCCCTAATGGCCGTGTGCTCTTTCCACTGAATTTCCAGCTTGGGGCAAAAGTGTCCTTCGTTTGTGATGAGGGGTGAGTGTGACCTGGCAGAGAGATGGGGGACTTAGTACTCCATGCTAATATGCTGACATGGTGGGCAGTGAGGATCTATCCAAAAAGCAAGCTGCCTAACGGAAAAGAAGTACTAAAAAGACTAATATCTGAAACAGTGATTGGGAAGTATGGTAGGAACCGGATAGAACCATGAACAGGTGCTTGAAAAGGAAAAACGCTAAATACACTGTTGAACAGCAGAAGTATAACAACAGATCGTGAATATTTAGGTGAAACATTACATGTATGAATGAAAAGTAATTTGCAGGCATGAAAGGATGAATATTGCAGAGTGGTTGTTAAAAAAAAGGTTGGTATGTCAAAGAAAGTTATTTATAAAATAAGTCATATGCACGAGTGTTTCAAAAAACAATTTTAAACCAATCAATAGTGGAATTTGGAATAGGAACAAAAGTGTAAATAGGAGTATTTTTCAATCCAGTTTTATGTCATCTAATTAGAATTAGTCTGTGTTGAAGGAACATGAAGACTGATGCTCATGTTTCCAATAATGTCATGAACTTTTTTTTTATCATGTTCAATTGGCCAACATATAATACATTATTAGTTTTTGATGTAGTGTTCAACGATTCATTAGTTGCATATAACACCCAGTGCTCATCACCACACCTGCCCTCCTTAATATCCATCACCCAGTTACCCTATCCCCCTACCTCACTCCCTTCTGTAGCCCTCAGTTTGGTTCCCGGATTCCAGAGTCTCTCATTGTTTGTCTCGCTCTCTGATTTCTTCCCATTCAGTTTTCCCTCCCTTCCCCTGTGGGCCTCCACACTATTCCTTATGTTCCACATATGAGTGAAACCATATGATAATTGTCTTTCCCTGCTTGACTGATTTCATCTAGCATAATCCCCTCCAGTTCCCTCCATGTCGATGCAAATGGTAGGTATTCATCCTTTCTAATGGCTGAGTAATATTCCATTGTATATATGGACCACATCTTCTTTATCCATTCGTCTGTTGAAGGGCATCTCGGCTCCTTCCACAGTTTGGCTATTGTGGACATTGGTGCTCTGAACATTGGGGTGCATGTGACCCTTCTTTTCACTACATCTGTATCTTTGGGGTAAATACCGAGTAGTGCAATTTGGGTAATAGGGTAGCTCTATTTTTAACGTCCTGAGGAACCGCCATACTGTTTTCCAGAGTGGCTGCACCAGTTTGCATTCCCACCAACAATGTAAGAGGGTTCCCCTTTCTCCACATCCTCGCCAACACTTGTTTCCTGTCTTGTTAATTTTTGCCATTCTGACTGGTGTAAGATGATATCTCAATGTGGTTTTGATTTGTATTTCCCTGATGGCTACTAATGTTGAACATTTATTCTTGTGTCTGTTAGACATTTGTATGTCCTCTTTGGAGAAGTGTCTGTTCATGTCTTCTGCCCCTTTATTGACTGGATTATTTGTTTTTTGGGTGTTGAGTTTGGTAAGTTCTTTATAAATCTTGAGTACAAACCCTTTATCCGTAATGTCATTTGCAAATATCTTCTCCCATTCTGTCAGTTGCCTCTTAGTTTTGTTGATTGTTTCCTTTAATGTGCAAAAGCTTTTTTTTTTTTTAAGATTTTATTTATTTATTTATTTGAGAGAGACACAGGGAGAGAGGGAACACAAGCAGGGGGAGTGGGAGAGGGAGAAGCAGGCCTCCCACCGAGCAGGGAGCCCGATGTGGGACTTGATCCCAGGACCCTGGGATCATGACCTGAGCTGACGGCAGGCGCTTAATGACTGAGCCACCCAGGCACCCCTGTGCAAAAGCTTTTTATCTTGATGAAGTCCCAAAAGTTCATTTTTGCTTTTCTTTCCCTTGCCTTTAGTGATATGTCTTGAAAGAAGTCACCGTGGCCAATGTCGAAAAGGTTACTGCTTTCATTCTCCTCTAGGATTTTGATGGATTCCTGTCTCACATTTAGGTCTTTCATCCATTTTGAGTTTATCTTTGTGTATGGTGTAAGAAAACGGTCCAGTTTCATTCTTCTGCATGTGGCTGCCCAATTTTCCCAGCACCATTTATTGAAGAGACTGTCTTTTTTCCATTGGATATTCCATCCTGATTTGTCAAAGATTAGTTGACCATAGAGTTGAGGGTCCATTTCTGGGGTCTCTATTCTGTTCCATTGATCTATGCGTCTGTTTTTATGCCAATACCATGCTATCTTGATGATCACAGCTTTGTAATATAGCTTGAAATCAGGCATTGTGATGCCCCCAGCTTTGGTTTTCTTTTTCAATAATACCCTGGTGATTCGGGGTCTTTTCTGGTTCCATACAAATTCTAGGATTGTTTGTTTCAGTTCTGTGAAAAATGTCGATGGTGATTTGATAGGGATTGCAGGAAAGTGTAGATTGCTCTGGGCAACATGGACATTTTCACAATGTTTATTCTTCCAATCCATGAGCTTGGAATGTTTTTCCATCTCTTTGTGTCTTCCTCAATTTCTTTCATAAGTGTTCTGTAGTTTCTAGAGTATAGATCCTTTACCTCTTTGGTTAGGTTTATTCCTAGGTATCTCATGGTTTTTGGTGTTATTTTAAGTGGAATCGATTCCATAATTTCTCTTTCTTCAGTCACATTGTTAGTGTCTAGAAATGCAACTGATTTCTGTGCATTGATTTTGTATCCTGCCATGTTGCTGAATTGCTGTGTGAGTTCAAGTAATTTGGCGGTGGAGTCTATCGGGTTTTTCCACATAAAGTATCATGTCATCTGCGAAGAGAGATAGTTTGACTTCTTTGCCAATTTCAATGCCTTTCATTTCTTTTTGTTGTCTGATTGCTGTTGCTAGGACTTCTAGTACTATGTTGAACAAAAGTGGTGAGCGTGGGCATCCCTGTCGTGTTCCTGACGTTAAGGGAAAAGCTCTCAGTTTTTCCCCATTGATAATGATATTTGCTGCGGGCTTTTTATAGATAGCTTTTATGATATTGAGGTATGTTCCCTCCATCCCTATATTTTGAAGAGTTTTAATCAGGAAAGTTTGCCGTATTTTGTTGAATGTCTTTTTCTGCATCAATTGAGAGGATCATATGGTTCTTGTCTCTTCTTTTGTTAATGTGATCAATCACATTGATTGATTTGCGAATGTTGAACCACCCTTGCATCCCAGGAATAAACCCCACCTGGTCATGGTGAATAATCCTTTTAATGTACTATTGGATCCTAATGGCTAGGATCTTGTTGAGTATTTGGGCATCCATGCTCATCAGGGATATTGGTCTGTAATTCTCCTTTTTGATGGGATCTTTGTCTGGTTTTGGGATCGTGATAATGCTGGCCTCATAAAATGAGTTTGGAAGTTTTACTTCCATTTCTATTTTTTGGAACAGCTTCAGTAGAATAGGAATGATTTCTTCTTTAAATGTTTGGTGGAATTCCCCTGGGAAACCATCTGGCCCTGGACTCTCGTTTTTTAGGAGGTTTTTGATTACTGTTTCAATTTCCTTACTGGTTATTGGTCTGTTCAGATCATCTATTTCTTCCTGTTTCAGTCTTCGTAGTTTATAAGTGTCCAGGAATGCATCCATTTCTTCCAGATTGCCTAGTTTGTTGTCATATAGCTGCTGGTAATAAGTTCTAATAATTGTCTCTATTTCCTTGGTGTTGGTTGTGATTTCTCCCCTTTCATTCATGATTTTATTAATTTGGGTCCATTCTCTTTTCTTTTGAATAAGTCTGGCCAGACGTTTATTTATGTTTTTAATTCTTTCGAAGAACCAGCTTCTAATTTCGTTGATCTGTTCTGCTGTTCTTCTAGTTTCTATTTCATTGATTTCTGCTCTAATCTTTATTATTTCTATTCTCCTGCTTGGTTTAGGCTTTATTTGCTGTTCTCTCTCCATATCCTTTAGGTATGAGCTTAGCTTTTGCATTTGGGATTTTTCTGATTTTTTGAGAGACGCTTGGATGCCTATGTACTTCCCTCTGAGGACTGCCTTTGCAGTATCCTATAGGTTCTGAACCAATGTGTTTTCATTTTCATTGGTTTGCATGAATTGTTTAAGTTCCTCTTTAATTTCCTGGTTGACCCATTCATTCTTTAGCAGGATGCTTTTTAACCTCCAAGTGTTTGCATTCCTTCCGAATTTTCCCTTGTGGTTGAGTTCCAGTTTCAATGCATTGTGGTCTGAAAATATGCAGGGAATAATCTCAATCTTTTGGTATCGGTTGAGACTTCATTTGTGACCCAATATGTGATCTGTTCTGGAGAAAGTTCCATGTGCACTCGAGAAGAATGAGTATTCTTTTGTTTTAGGATGGAATGTTCTGTATATATCTCCAAAGTCCATTTGGTCCAATGTGTCCTTCAAAGCTCTTGTTTCTTTGTTGATCTTCTGCTTAGATGATCTTTCTAATGCTGTGAGTGGAGTGTTGAAGTCTCCTACTACTAAGGTATTATTATCATTATGATTCTTTATTTTGGTTAAAAGTTGGTTTATGTAGTTGGCTGCTCCTGTGTTGGGGGCATAGATAATTACAATTATTATATTTCTTTGTTGGCTAGACCCTTTAAGTATGATACAGTGTCCTTCTACATCTCTTACTACAGTGTTTGGCTTAAAATCTAATTTGTCTGATATGAGAATCGCTACCCCAGCTCTCTTTTGAGGTCCACTAGCATAATAAATGGTTCTCCATGCCCTTGCTTTCAATCTGGAGGTGTCTTTAGGTCCAAAATGAGTCTTTTGTAGACAGCATGTGGATGGGTCCTGCTTTTTTATCCAATCTGAAACCCTGTGCCTTTTGATGGGAGCATTCAGCCCATTCATGTTGAGAGTAACTATTGAAAGATATGAATTTAGTGTCATTGTATTGCCTGTAAAGTCCCCGTTTCTATAGATTATCTCTGTTAATTTCTGGTCTACATTACTCTTAAGGTCTTTCTTCTTTTATACAATCCCCGTTAATATTTCTTGCAGGGCTGGCTTGGTGGTCACAGATTCTTTCAGTTTCTGCCAGTCCTGGATGCTCTTTATCTCTCCGTCCGTTCTGAATGACAGCCTTGCTGGATAAAGTATTCTTGGCTGCATGTTCTTCTCATTTACTACCCTGAATATGTCTTGCCAGCCCTTTCTGGGTTGCCAGGTCTCTGTGGATAGGTCTGATGTTATTCTGATGTTCCTCCCTCCATATGTTAAGAAATCTCTTTCCCCTAGCTGTTCTCAGGATAGCTTTCTTGGCTCTAAGATTTGCAAGCTTCACTATTATATGTTGGGGCATTGATCTATTTTTATTGATTTTGGGAGGGGTCCTCCCTGCCTCTTGGACACGAATGCTTGTTCCCTTCCCCAGATTAGGGAAGTTCTCAGCTATGATTTGCTCAAATATACCTTCTAGTCCTCTCTCTCTCTCCCTCCACCCCCTCAGGGATCCCAATAATTCTGACATTGGAACATTTCATTGCATCATTGTCTCTCTAAGTCTGTTCCAATGGGCAACTAGCTGCCTATCTCTATCTTCCTCAGCTTCCTTCCTTTCCTAGATCTAATTTGTTCTTCTGCTTCATTTACCTTGACTGTTGGAGTATCCAGGTTAGACTGCATCTCATCCATAGCATTTTTAAGTTCAGCCTGATTAGATCTCATTTCTGCTCTTACAGATTCTATATTGTCACTAATGCTTTTCTCAAGCCCAGCTATTGACTTCCTGATTTCTACCCTGAAGTCTATCTCTGACTTCTTGCCTATATCCGTATCCATTAGATCTGTGGCAGAGAACATTGTCTCTGGTTCTTTTCTTTGTTGGGAGTTCCTCCTTGTCATTCTGTTGAGGGATGTTTGAGGGAATGTACAGAGTCCAAAATATCAATCACGACCCAAGCAAAATGCACCTTAGAAAAAATATGAAGTGGTCAAAAGCTACCACAGATACACCACCAAAGCCAAGATAATCCAAAACAATAAAAAAGAAAGAGAAAAGAAAGAGGGGAAAAAAGAGCGGGGGTGGGGAGAGAGATTATAATCTCTCAGGGTGGACACAGCAGGGTGATCTGCTCATTCCTGCTTGATTTTTGGTCTGTGTGTTAGAAGACACTATATCCCCAAATTGCAAAGAAATCAGAACTTACATATATCTCAAGATAATATTGAATAGAGTGAAAAACGGGCTAGTATGGGGCATAAATCTATAAAACATATATGTGAAAAAAAAGAAGTTAAGAAACAACTTAAAAACATAGGTTGGGAAATAAGAATCTATTTGAAACAGGAGCAGGGTTAATTAAAAAAAAAAAAAGAATAAGAAAAGAAACTAAAAAAGAAATGTAAAATTTTAGCCTGAAGTATAAGCGAGTTGTGAGGGAACACCTGGAGCTCCCTATATTATTTTCCCCTGGCCCTGGGGTTTTACAGTCTTGTGCAAAATAAGCTTATCATTTACCTGTTCTTCCAGTCTGTCTTCTGGGGGAGGGGCCTGCTGCTCAGTCCCCCAGACTTCTTTGCCGGGGTGGAGTTGCCCCAACCCTTGTCAGGGGGATGGGCTTAATGTGAGCTGTTTGGCTGCATGGCTTTGGTTCCCTGGCTTCTTTCTGCTTCTCTGCTTCTCTGCTTCTCTTTAGAGGGTCAGAGCATACGTGGCCGTGGGGTAATTTCTGGCCCAGCCCCGCAATGTCATGGTCCACCGCCCCCCCCGCACCTCAACAAATACTCCAGATCAATCCGTCTCCACCTGGGCATGTCCCAACTCCACAGACTCACACAATTCATGCCTGCAGCACCTCTCCCAGGGGAGTCACAGGGAACCTCGAGCGCCTCGGTGCCTTGTGACTCTTCAACTGCCAGTGACCCTGGGCTCGCGCGTGCACCCTCCTAGGGTGCATAGCTCCTAGGTCACGCTGCGTGCCACCCCACCATCTCCTCGTGGGCCACACTGCTCTGAGAGCTGTCCCTGTCATGGGCACAAGCCATTCCATATCTCCTCTAGGATGTTAGACAGCCAGCACCTTCTAGTCCTTTTCAGGGTGCTTAGGCAGAGGGCGGTCTCCCTACTGGCTCAGCTCACAGTTTCTGGTGCCTGGAGCAAAAAGTCCCCTCTGGGCTCCCTGACCATAACCAGTGTCCTCGCTCCACTGCTTGGACACTCTATTGGTTCGGGCTCCCCCATTCTTTCTGAGTCTCCTGGAATCCTGAGACCACAGTGATCCACCTAGAATTCTGCCCTATTCGCCCCCTGTGCCCTTTTCAGAAGGGGATGCCTTTCACTAGAGTACATTTCCAAGGGTCCCGATTTTTTTGCTCTGGTGTTATATCACTTTCCGGCGACTGGCTTATGGAAGCTTCCTCCCCCTGTGCTTATCTTCAGATATTTCCCCCAAGGATTCAAGGTTCTGCACCTCCTACCTTGTAAAAAGTAGTCATTTTTCTGCGTGTGGAGATCCAGATAAATCTTCTTACATCTCAGTTGAATTCGTGTGTGTTTGGAATGGTTTGATAGCTATCCAGCTAAATTCAAGGGACCAGATGAAATGAGGTCCATTACTCTGCCACCATCTTGCCCCGCTCTGTCATGAACTGTTTCTGGGAATCTTAATGACCTTGGTATTATGTTCCAACACACATCCAAAGTGAAGATCAACAAAGGGGCAAAGATTAGGTAATTTTACAGGCAAAATTAAAAATCATGGATGACAGGTAAAAATCATGGATGACAGAGCAGGTGTCCTCAATATATTCTGAGGGTCCCTTGGCAGGCAGCAAATATCTGTCACCCAACAAAGCCCTGGAGGCAATCCAGGCAGCCGCTGCTCTGACAATAAGCCAGATGTTTTAGGAGGATGGGCCTCCAGAGAATCATCTCTTCTCACCTTTTCTTATTTGTCCTAGATAATTTGGCTTGATTCATCACTAATGTGGATATGCCACAGGCATCATTCAGGAGCATTCCAAAAGTTTTGGCCAAAAACAGCAGTCTCTGCTGTCTTTCCTCACTTTCTCCGATTGACCAGCTTGAATTGGGAGTCGTTTTCCTCCTGAGCCACTAGAGAGGAAAATGCTGTGGTGTGCCCTAGAGAACAGAGCTCCACACAGAGACAGACAGGGAGCTGTCCGAGGGCAGGCGGGACAGATGACCTCCTGAGGGTCGACAACCAGACACCGTTGTTATTGCTCTATCCTCACTGGAAACCACAATCCTGCCAAATGTTTTGATTTCAGAGTCTCTATCAGCTGGGAAAGCCAACAAGCTGGGCTTTTCCCCCTGGGATTTAACTCAGGCATTAAACTGTATTTCAGCAGAATGGGAGAAATGGTGCGCTCACCCATTCACTGTGACTTTTGTTCCTCAGGTTCCATTTAAAGGGCAGTTCTGCTAGTTACTGCGTCTTGGTTGGAACAGAAAGCCTTTGGAATCACAGTGTTCCTGTGTGTGAACGTGAGTACAAAGAATGCCTGTTCAGGTCGGCACCTCCCTCCGTGTTTTGTTTGCTTGTTTGTTCGTTTAATGTGTTTTGCCTATAAAATTACCTAATATTTGCCCCTTTATTGATCTTCACTTTGGATCAACATCTCTCTTTGTTGCAAGGATTGTTTCATCATGTGTTTATAATGTTTATAAGCATAATGTGTGCTACAAATGGAGAGAAATACTTCATAGATAGAGGGAAATTTAGAGCCTGAAGCATTTTTCCTGTCAAAAAATGATAACTTTTCTATCTTTGTCTCGATCAGCTATTCATTCTTAGCCTCATTCTTTTGACAAATAGTTTTGAGCACCTGCTATGTGCCAACCAGTCTTCTAGACACTGGGAATACAGCTGTAAACAAAACAGACTAGGACCCTGCTTTCATGTTGTTTATATTCTTGTGTAGGGGGAAAGACAAAAAAATAACAAACAGGGGCCCCTGGGTGGCAAGGTCAGTTAAGCGTCAGACTCTTGGTTTTGGCTCTGGTCTGTTTCAGGGTCATGGGATCGGGCCCCACATCAAGCTCAGAGCTGAGCTCAGAGTCTGCTTGAGAGTCTCTTTCCTTCTCCCTCTGCCTTTCCTGTTTGTGCTCTCTCTCTCTCTCTCCCTTGAAATAACTAAATCTTTAAAAATAATGGCAAGCAAACACATAAATAGACTATTTCAGATAATACCAAGTGTTATTACAAAAAAAATAGGGTAATGCAATAAAATAATTCGATATTGGGAATACACCTGTAAAGAAGACAGACTAGGACCTTGCTTTCCTGTTGTTTATAATTGTTTTTAAGAGGACAGAAATATAATGTGTTAAATACAGAAATACTACTAATATATTCAATCTGCCAATTTATTTCTTCATGAAATCAAACAGGATGTTGCTTCATCTTCTGATCATAGCTATTGAAACATACATGTTTATAATAAATGCTTTCACATGAATATTTTGCTCTGAAGTCGTTTGGAAATTTTGTATTGATTTATATAATGAAACTCAATAATTACATCCTTCATATCTGGAAGTCAGCTATTTGAAAACCTTAACTTTCCTGGAATATAGTTAAGAAGTATGAAGGAAAGAAATAAAAATACTCCCATGAACCCAGATCACTCACTAGACTGTAAACATTGGTTAAGCTATTCCACCTTTTGATTGTTCATAATTCTTTCAAGCTGCGGTATCCTCTCCCAAATACAGATCAAATCAGAAAGGGAAAGGAATATCTCCAGACAGTTAGCTCAAAAGAAGAAATGTGTATTTCCACAATGAGAAAACAACCTGTAAAAACTAATAAATATCTCAAAAGTCATAACATTTCTGCATCTTCTGGATCGTGCATAGGACCAGTGGGATGTTTCACTCATTGTGATGGCATTACTATAACCATCCATGTTGTTTTTGAGCATAACAGCCTCGAGTCATCAAGAAAAGATTAAATCAGTGATAGACAAATAGTAAATGTATAATATATTTTGAAAGATCTCTCTGGGGTGAAGATCCTTGATGTCAAAAAAGATTTCCTCTATCTTGTGCTTAAAATAGTACTTGATAAAGAGTAGGTCCTCAAAAAATTCCTGTTGAATTGATGGATAATTTTCTTATTAAATGGTTGATTTTCTTCTCATTGGGATTAAGAAGACTGTTGTCTATTTTAAAAGAATGAGCTCTCAATTATCCAGAAATCTTAACTCTCCCAAGAGTTCAGGATGATTAAGTCCCTTCTGGGCTTTGATTTCAGTGTCATTTCATTCAGAAGCATCTCAACAGAGACCTAATATATTTATTTTGTGGTTTATACTCTTTTGAGAGTTAATTATTTAATTGGCAACACCGTCACAGCACATCCCATAATTGTGGAATCAACTCAGATTAAAATATAAACATTTTAATGTAACTTAGAACACTTGTGTTTTTTCTAGAAATCTTTTGTCCACATCCTCCCTCTATCCTTAATGGGCACCACACCGGAACTTCTCAGGGAAACATTCCCTATGGAAAGGAAATTACTTACACGTGTGACCACCACCCAGCCAGAGGGATGACCTTCAACCTCATCGGGGAGAGCACCATCCACTGCACAAGTGACAGTCAAGGGAGGGGCATTTGGAGCGGTCCTGCCCCTCGCTGTGAACCTGCTGGTCCTGCTGGTTAGTACCCATGTACCCCGAATGGATTCAGAACATCCGGCCAAGATCCTTCATATTTCCATAAGATTATGGTGTTTGTTTGTGAGTTTAACATCGTCATAAGTGGAAGTATCGGAGTTGCATGCCGTAGCTAAAACAGATGAGTCCAGCAGTGCCAGGCTGTGTTTGAGTAGTAAGATGTGAATAACTCTTCTTGCTGGCGCAGTGGCGAACAGAGTGGGGTAAGAGGAGAGAGGGAAGGGTGTTTGAATAGTAAGATGTGAATAACTCTTCTTGCTGGCGCAGTGGTGAACAGAGTGGGGTAAGAGGAGAGAGGGAAGGGTGTTTGAATAGTAAGATGTGAATAACTCTTCTTGCTGGCGCAGTGGCGAACAGAGTGGGGTAAGAGGAGAGAGGAAAGGGTGAGGGGAAAGTAGTAAGCATTGTGTATAAATCAAGAAGAAATACGTTTTCTTTGGAGAGGACTGGAGAACAACTGGTATGAACACTAACCAATGCCAGAGTAACTGATATACACCCCCCACAAGTTCATGGGCATGCAAAGGATCAAACTGGCAATATGGATATTATTTAGCTAAGGCTTTAGCTAGTCCTATGCTAAATAGGCTAAGTAACCAAAAAGACTCGACCTTGGTAGCTTAAGACCTTGACTCAAAGTATGCCCATTTGTCACCTGGCTTCTGAGCCCCACCTTAATCTTTGTCCTTGAACTTTTCCATTCTGAGAGTTAGAAGCAAGGAAAGATCAGCTCAAGGAAGAGTGCAAAAAAGGAAGAGGCTTTTTCTTCCTAAAGCCTGGAGGTCACCTGGTTCTTAAGGCCTGACTGTAGGCCTTCCCAAGGTGGAAGCGGGAGTATACTGGGAATGTGGCACCAGATTTGGAATACCACATGAGAGAGAAAAGCAAGCCAATGAGAAAAAGCAACACATGATGAAAGGCCTTTAACCTTTCTTTGGTGTCCCTCCCATTCCAGCTGGATGGTTATATTAGAATCCAGTGAGGTTTCTTTAAATGAAGTTGCCTAGGCCACCAGCCATGCATATTGAATGGGCAAATAGAAGCAGTCTCCTCCAATTCTTAATCGCAGGAAACAAACTGAGTGTTGTTGGAGTGGGGAGTGGGGTGGGAGGGATGGGGTGACTGGGTGATAGACACTGGGGAGGGTATGTGCTCTGGTAAGCGCTGTGAATTGTGCAAGACTGTTGAATCTCAGATCTGTACCTCTGAAACAAATAATGCAATATATGTTAAGAAAAAAAAAAGAAGAAGAAGGTAGCTGGAGGGGAAGAATGAAGCGGGGGAAATCAGAGGGGTAGACGAACCATGAGAGATGATGGACTCTGAAAAACAAACTGAGGGTTCTAGAGGGGAGGGGGGTGGGAGGATGGGTTAGCCTGGTGGTGGGTATTGAGGAGGGCACATTCTGCATGGAGCACTGGGTGTTGTGCACAAACAATGAATCATGGAACACTTCATCTAAAACTAATGATGTAATGTATGGGGATTAACATAAGAATAAAAAAAAAAAGAAGAAGAAGAAGAAGAAGAAGAAGAAGAAGCAGTCTCCTCCAAAAAGGAGATAGTTGAGTACAGACTCTATTCAAAATATGCAGCACGCAATCTACCCTTTCACTAATAAGACATAGCTGCTTAGACAAAGCTGCTCAATGGCTTAGTCTGTTTTGTCATTGTTCTTAAATATCTGGCTTAGCATCAAAATGAAAATGGTCAGTAATTTCCTAGGGCTGCCATAAAATTACCACAAACTAAATGGCTTAAAACAACAGAAAGGTGTTCTTTCACAGATCTGAGGGCTAAAAGTCTGAAATCAAGGTGTTGGCAGGGCTGCATTCCTTCCTATGACTCTAAAGGAGAATCCTTTGCCTCTCTCAGCTTCTGGTGGCTCCTGGCATTCCTTGGTTTGTAGACACATCATTCCAATCCCTGCCTCTGTCTTCACATGGCCTTCTCCCCTGTGTCTCTGTGTATCAAAAGTCCCTGTCCTTTCTCTTATAGATACCACCTATCATTGTATTTAGGGCCCACCCTGGTAATCCAGGACGATCTTAGTTTTTTTTTTCTTTTTTTTTTTTTAAAGATTTTGTTTATTTATTTGACAGAGAGAGATACACAGCAAGAGAGAGAACACAAGCAGGGGGAGTGGGAGAGGGAGAAGCAGGCTTCCCGCAGAGCAGGGAGCCCGATGCGGGGCTCGATCCCAGGACCCTGGGATCATGACCTGAGCCAAAGGCAGACGCTTAACGACTGAGCCACCCAGGTCCCACCAGTGTTTTTTTTTTTTCTTTTTTACTTAGAAATTTTATTCCCCCAATCACACTGTTAAAAGCTCCTTATAAAACACTAAACAAAAGCAATCCACAGAAAGAAAAGGAAATATATATATAAATATTTATGCCAAAAGCAGTAGCATTACAAATATCAATTGATTTTAAATAGAATATATCAAGGAAGTAAACAATTTTTAAATACCTTTCAAAAATCTGATTTCACCTTGAGAGTGTTACCTTAATTACAGCTGAAAAGACCCTTATTCCAAGTAAGCTTCCATGGTGAGGTCCTAGATGGGTGTACCTTTTGGGGGAACATCATTCAACCCACTACAAGCAGTGACTGCTATTTAGAGCCAGAGAAGCTGCTTATGGAAGATACCCTGAGAAGGAGGTAGGGAGGAATAAATGGAGAGAGAAGGTAAAATATGTGTTGATATACGTGAGCATATTAACACCAAGAAATGAGAATATGAATGGTTAACCCTACACACAGGCAGTCTAATAGGCCTGACACATGAAACCATTAGCTAAAATTCTTGCTTTGGTGAAACAAGAGCAGAAAGGCCAGAAGGGTGAATAGTCTTCCAAGTAGTAAAAAATTTCCTGATGAGTAGATGCTGTTGGAAAGCACCATCCTAAAGTAACTTGAAGGGGAAGAAAACCTTTTGCCATTATTGTAAGTCTCTGTTTCTCTGAGCGCATCTACCAGCTTCATTGGAAAGAATGAGGAAGTAGGGTGGAAATCACTCTGCTCACTGTGGTATTCCTGTGATTTTGCTCTCCAGGTTACTGCAAAGCCCCAGAAGAGTTTCCGTTTGCCAAACCTACAACCCTGACTGATGAGTCTGAGTTTCCGATTGGGACATCTTTGAATTATGAATGTTCCCCTGGGTATTTTGAGGATATGTTTTCTATCACCTGCTTAGAAAACTTGGCCTGGTCGAGTGCCGAAGGTATCTGTAGACGTGAGTAATGCCATCCTGGGAGCTCCTTCACGTATGTCAAGGCCTCTGTGGGATCCAATTTAATTTGTTCAAATTTTGTAGGCAAGACATCTAGGTTTGCCCAAGGCATTTAAATGGAGGGTAGACTTTGTCGGTCAGCCTTTCTTTCTTGTTGTGTTTTTTTTTTTTTAAGATTTATTTATTTATTTGACAGAGAGAGACACAGCCTGAGAGGGAACACAAGCAGGGGGGTGTGGGAGAGGGAGAAGCAGACTCCTCACCAAGCCGGGAGCCCGATGTGGGGCTCGATCCCAGGACCCTGGGATCATGACCTGAGCCGAAGGCAGAGGCCTAATTACTGAGCCACCCAGGGGCCCTGTTGGTCATCCTTTCTTATTGCCTGGAGTCTGTGCCTTGACTCGATATTCATGTCACAGCAATGTCTCTCACAAAAGGAATCCCAGGGGAAATTCCCAGTCACTGGTATTGATCTTTGATGGCTAAAATCTGGACATGAATGAAATAGGGACACCAAAGAAAATTATGTATGTCATAGTGAACGGTGCTTGGCTAACCCAGATGGAGGGAAAATCCCAAATTGTGAGGCCGTTGATTTAGGCTGATGGGATGAGAAAATAATTCTTTATCCATAAATGACTTTTATTGGGAGATTCAGGAGTAGTCTTTTAAAAAGCAGTGCTCTGTAGCTGCTTGATTCTAAGCTTGTATGGTGAATTTCCTCAAAGCAGTCATTTCTGTGGAGGAATCAGAAGTATATAGGCTGTTCAGTATGCTACACTCCAGGCTGAACCTTAAAAACAAAGGTAAATTGAACTCTACACCTAGCCCCAAATTCTGCTTCTTTCCCATAGGAAAATCATGTGAAGCTCCACCAGAACCCTTCAATGGCATGGTGCATATAAACACAGATACCCAGTTTGGATCAACAGTTCATTATTCTTGTAATGAAGGGTGAGTTGAGAGCACTATCGCTAGGATATGAGTTCCAGAACAATACTATCTCTGACCTAGTCTGACACAGGCAGACTAGACTATCACCTGCACTTCAACAAGTTAGCAATAAAGACTTCTGGGTAGAGATGGTAGCTTGAACATTGGCATATGGACAAAGGAATATAAAAAAGAAGTAGCAATCTCTATTTGTATTTTAATGAGGGGAGGGCACCAGGTTCCTGCTGAAGGTAATACATGTGAAACCTGGTAAGATATTCACTGGATAAAAAGGACCAGCCTGCTAAATGAGTAAAAGGAGAAATGCTAGTGGAACAATGCAGGCAACATTCTTAACTAAGATCAGCAAGTACTATAGCTGAGTTGGAGGACCTTGAAGTAGGGGTTGGAGAGGAAGTCTTAATGATGTAGTAGCTCTGGGAAATATAACTATTAACATGTACAACGAGCGGGAACATTCATGGAGTTCTTGCCCTCAACTCTTCCTTGGCACAGGGAACCATGCTAGATACTATTGCCTCAACGTAGAGGGAGCAGTTAAGGAATGTGTACTAACTTTCAGTTGCCACAATAAATTCAGAGAAAAAAATAGAATTTTATTGGATTAGAAAAGTAAATATATATGCATCAGACATATTTGGAAGCCATGAATAACACAAAGATAAAAAAATCACCACCCAGCATTCTACCACTCATCATAGTTAATATTTTGCTATGAGTTCTTCTAGGGTTTTTATCTGAAAATTCACATGTAACCCAGATGTCCATTGAGCTCAATTGCCCTTAGAAGGGAGAGCTGGTTAAATTGGACACAAGCATCAATGCCGTATCTGAAAATCATCAATTCTGCCCTCACCACCGCCCTCCTGCTCCCAAAAAGGACTTCTGATTTCTTAGTTCATCAGTCCTTCAAATGACTGTAGCCCCAGTCAACATCAATGACATTATCAAGACAGTGAAAAGAGAACCCACAGATTGGCAAAGAATATTTGTAAATCATTTCTCTAACAAGGATTTCATACACAGATTATATAAAGAAGTCCTGCAATTCAACAACAGAAATGCTTACAATGCAACTGAGAAAATGGGCAAAGGATTGGAATAGACGTTTCTCCAAAGAGGATATACAAATATCCAGGAAACACATGAACAGATACTAAATATTATTAGTCATTAAAAAAACACACATCAAACCTACTTCACATGTTATAGGATGGCTCTAATAATTTTTTTTTAATGAAAAATAAAAGTGTAAGGAGGATGTAGAGAAAATGGAACCCTTGTGGTTGCTAGTGGGCATGTGAACTCGTGCGGCCGCCGTGGGAAGCAGTTCAGTGATTCCAAAGTTACCCTGGAATTACCCAGTGACAGCAATTCCAATCCTAGGTATGTATTCAAACAGATTGAAAACAGAGACTCAGACAGATTTGGGTTTATCAGCTGTTCTACCTATTTTTAAGTATAACCTGATAAATTATATTTTTCCTACAAAATGACACATCTCACAGATGTTTTCAATTTCATTGGGATAGAGAAGACATATTTTTATAAAGTATTTTATAATGTGTACTTTATAAAATTTCCTCAATATCTATGCTTATAACTATTTTCTCATTCTTGTGTAAATCTGTAGAATTGTTATTTTGTGAAGTTACAATTGGCCAAGATTTGTTTGTTTTAATCAGCCTTTAAAGAAATTGCTCTTAGATTTACTTATCATTTCTATTCTATTTATTTAAAGAAACTGCTCTTAGATTTACTTATCATTTCTATTCTATTTATTTAAAGAAACTGCTCTTAGACTTACCATTTCTATTCTATTTTTCATACTTATTGATTTATTAATTCCTCAGACCAGCTTCCTTTATATGTTCATGTTTATAATCTTTAAAACATCAAAGTAAAATGTTGGGTTCATTTATTTGAATTTTTTTTTATCTTTTAAAAGATGTTTTTAATTAATTAATTTATTTATTTATTTATTTATTTGAGACAGAGAGAAAGAGAACAGGGGTTGGGGACAGAGGGACAGACAGACCCCCCACTTAGCACAGAGCCAGACGTGGGGCTCTATCCCAGGACCCTGAGATCATGACCTGAGCGAAAGTCAGATGTTTAACCAACTGAGACACCCAGGTGCCCCTGAAATTTTTCTTGTCAAATAACAAAAGTATTAAATGTTCTCTAAAGACAGTTTTGGCATTAGCACTCCAGAAATTTTCAAAGAGTAACATTTGCATCAGCATTTATAATGAAGGCACTGAATAATGTCAGGTTTATCACTACAGGCTGCTGAGGCCAATTGACATTCAAACTCTAACCTCAATATCTGTCATGTGAATTTGAACAGATTTGTTAAACTCTGTTTTCTCTCTTGTAAAATGGGGGCTAGGCATAATATTCACTTCAAAGCATTATTTTAAATACTAAGTAAGTGAATCTATGTCAAACACTTTGAAGAGTGGAGCACATGACTCGCTGATCATGTGTTATTCTTATCCTACAGGTAATCTGCAATGGCTGTTTTACTTTTGTCTTTGACCAAGATCCAAACTTTTGAATTTTGTATTTGTCCTGTGGTTATTAAATTGCTAGTGTTATTGTATTATAATGAGAGTGTATAGCTGTTTTGATTTTTCCTATGTGCAAATTTTTGGGGGTACACTCTGAGGAATGATATGTTACAACTTTTATAAATGGCTCCTAGAAAGAAAGCTTACATTCTCTGTAAGATACAAAGTTTAACACACAGCTGAATGTGCTGCAGAATCAAATCTGTGAGCTACTTTTAATCATTTGCAGCCTATTGAATGTCTCCATAGATTCCCTCTACTCCAAACTAGTTGAAAGTCCATGAACAAAATAGGAAGGACAGAAGTAGCACCATGTTCCAGCCGCTACATATCCCATCCCTGACCTTATGTAATAGCCTCTCTAATGTCTGTCTCAGCATGCTTCTGCACAGTGTGCATATTGCCTACAGGGAAGGGAATCTCATGGCTCTTCTTGATCAGTGGTTTAGCTTCATGGCCACCTGAATTCCTAATGTCCAGGGAAGCTAAGGAGTAGGCTTGAGTAAAAGAATTTCAGAGATATGGGAAATCCAGTCAGAAAAATTACAACATAATTGTTACTGGAGCATATTAGTGTTTCATAATACATTCAAAAATATTCCATTTTTTACAGCCATACATAGACTGGAACCTGCCTCACATTTTTTACTTCAATTCTCTAACTTAGTCATAGCGAACACATTAAGAGCAATGTCTATAGTCAAAAGTCAGGGAACATCCATGATCCTGTGCTCTTAAGACAACTGTTAAATGTATGATAGGAGAAAGGCAGAGGGAAATACACTACTGCTTCTCAAATTGTTTCTTTGAAGAAATTTTGAAGAGTAAATTTTTGTTGGCACATTTGAAAAGATTTTACAACATAGTTAATAAAAAAAAAAAACAAGCAACAATAAGTAAAACTCAATCACTACCTAAATATAAAAGTGACTCAATGTGTCTACAAAAGTATTCACTGCCATTGCTCTACCCACATAGTTCCCGTCACCTTTATGTCACTGATTTTGGAAGACCTGGTATATAAGTTAGGATTAGATTAAGCTGTAAAAGACAGAACAAACAAAATAACAGAGGCTTAAACAAGATAACATTTTACTTCTCTGTCAGGTTAAGAAGCAGGGGCAGTCCTTCAAGAAAACAGTAAAATGTACAAATCCAGGGCTAAGAGGTGGCTCCATGATCCACATTAACCTGGGATCCTTCCATTTGAGACTCTGTGTCATCACATGGTCCAACTCCAGCCAGCAAAGAGAAACAATGGAAGAAAGGAATACCCATTCCTTTAAAGACACTTTCCAGAAGTTTCACAAGACACTCTAGGTGCATCCCTGCAGCCAGAACTTGGTCACATGGCTATACACAACCGTAGGGAACCCTTAATGAAGGTGGCCAATGGCCCAGTTAAAAATACAGGGTTCCATCACTAATGAAAAAGAGGAAAGTAGATACTAGAGATACCAGTAGACTCTGCTACAAATGGTTACTGCCCTGATCACATGTCTTGGGTAATCAAGAAGCAAAGCTCTTAGCTGTTCCAGTAACTACTCACTATTATATGACATTACATTATACCCCTTACCTTTTTACTTCGTCAAGTTTAACCCTACTCTACATGGAATGTGTGAATAACTTAGTTGAATATCCTTTGTGACATTTCTTATAATAACAATATAGATACCTAATAAATAAAAAAGTAAGTGATGATGAAATGTTCCAATCTTCGTGACCTACTATGAATGATTTTATGGCACAATAGGTAAGTACTCCCACCTTTTACATTTGAGTCATCTTAGCAAAGCCATCATCCTATCCTTCACTCAACAGCTATTTTTTTAGTACCACGTGGTTGAAAGTCTCTAGGCAAGGTGCTAGAGAATATAAATATTTCAATAAGACATCTTCCCTGTTAATCCAGGAGCTTATCATTTCCCAGATGGAAGTACACATGGAGAGAATAGCTCTTGAGGTTCCATAAAGACAAGTACAATATGTCCCATGAAGAAGGGCATTATTGCATTCAGTGGTGAGGGACTAGCAATAAACATGGATGAAAGCGGTGAGAATGTAAACTTGTCCTTAGAAGTAAAGGATCAATTTGCAGATGGAGATGAGGTTTCTTTCCTTGACATCTCCTTTGTTTTAATCTGCCTGTAATTTGTAACATCTACCTGCAATTCTTTTCTCATGGTGATTTAAGTAGAAAATAAGTGTAGAGTATAATTTTCCATTCTTTGCTTCTAGGTATCGACTCATTGGCTCTCCTTTCGCAGTTTGTCTCCTCTTGGGCAGTACGGTCACTTGGGATAAGGAAGCACCTATGTGTGAGGGTGAGTTGAAGTGGTTTTTTTCCCACAATTCCCTCTGTTCCATCCAAATCTGCCCTGTGTTACAAAGAGGAAATCCAGTACATCTTGCAGGGAGTAGTCTCTCCGATATTCAAAAATTGGAGTCATGTGCTGCATAGTCCTCCAGGTGTTTCTTTATTTTAGGAGGTTATTTTCTGGAACTCAGGTAAGATTGCCTTCCTTTCCTAATTTGATAGTAAACACTTTCCAGGGTAAAAATTTTCCTCATGACTAAATTTAAAAGACAGTGAAAAAAATAAAATTTGTCTCTACCACCTCTTAATAGCGCATTATAAGCCCAAGAAGTAGATTACTCCCTTCCTTATTATTTGTACTCTGAAAAATGAAATAAGATCTCATAAATCTTAGTGATTGCCCTATGCCACAGGTCGTCTTGCACTTTATCCTTTCTTCAAATTCTTCCAGGTTCATGCCCTGGTTGTATTTGTTCTTTATTAGTTGACTCTGCATCTTTTCAGTGGGATGTTGTAAGGTGAACTTCCAAAACTCTGAGGAGCATGGATGAGTGATGGATTGCAAATTGGTAAAATATTAAGGCTGGAAGAAATCAGGATCACACACAGAATTGATGACAGTGAAAGTGGGCATAAACATCTGGAAGGCTTATGAGCAATATATACAAAAGCCTTAATGTAAATGCCCTTTCACCTAGTAATTCTATTTCCCAGAATTTATCCCAAGGAAATAATCATGGAATTTTCCCATGATTTTGGTCCACAGGCACTCAATGCAACAATATTTAGGACAGCAGAAAATGTTAAAAATCTAAATGCTCAGCACGATTGGAAAACAGCTAATGGAAGGAGTTTGATAAGTTTTGAAGAAAGGCAAAAAGTATGCCATAAGAAATTAGAGATTGAGATGCCTCACCCAAGTGGAAACAGATAGTGTATTTATGTTATCTACATGCCTGAATATTATTCAGCCACCAAATATGATACTGTAGAAAATATATTCGTAGCCACAGGAGCATATGAATACATACATATCTGAAACAATATACATTAAGTTGTTAAAAATCGTTCTTTTTGGACCATCATCATTTTCTTCTTTTTGCTTGTCCATATTTTATAAATTTTCCCTAAGAAATGTGTTCATTGTATTCACAAGTATTCATAAAAAGAAAATAACATTGGCTTTTAAAGATTCAAAGAAATGGATGAGGAGCCATATACAAGGTGCCTCCTTTACCTGCCAAAAATTTAAAATTCTCTGAAAAAAATTCAAAATAGGAAGATATCATCAATTACCGTATCAATTTTCCAGGGGGATGTCATATGATCTATCCTGGAAAATGTTTTGTGTGCACTCAGGAAGAATGTGTATTCTGCTGCTGTTGGATGGAATGTTCTGTATCTATCTGTCAAGTCCATTTGTTCTAGAGTATGGTTCAATTCCAATGTTTCCTTGTTAATTTTCTGTCTGAACTATACATTGTTCATACAGAGGAACTGAAGTTCCCTATTATTATTGTATAGTTGTCCATTTCTCCCTTTAGATCTCTGTGTATTTGCCTAATAGATTTAGCGCTTCGATGTTGGGTGTGTATATACTTACAATTATTATATCTTCTACATAGATTGGCCCTTTTATCACTTTATAATGACCTTCTTTGTCTCTTGTTATCATTGTTGGCATGAAGTCTATGTTGTCTTATATAAAGTATGGGTATTCCCACGTTCTTTTGATTTCCACTTGCATAGAATATCCTTCTCCATCCCTTCACGTTGAGCCTATGTGTGTCTTCAGAGCTGAAATGAATTTCCTGTGGGCAGCATGTAATTGGGTCTTATTTCTTATCAAATTCAACTACTCTGAATTCAGCTGAATCTGTGCCTTCAGCTACTCTGGGCCTTGTGATTGGTGAATTCATCCATTTGTATTTAGAGTAACTATTGCTACATAAGGACTTATTACTGCTATTGTATCATTTGCCTTCTGGTTGTCTTGTTCCTTCTTTGTTTCTTTTTCCTTCTGTTTCTATCTTTGCAAAAATGGTGATTTCCTAGGGTGATTTGGTCATCCACCTCATTTTTTATGTTTCATGACTCTAGATTTTTGCTTTGCGGTTACCACGTGGCTTACACAAAGCGTCTCATAGACAAACTTGGTCCTTTTTATGCTGATTAATGCCTTATCTTTTTGTGTTGTTGTTGGTATAACAAAATGTTGATTTATTTAATCCTTTTAAATCTGCAGTCTGAGTCAACCATTCAGTTACTTATGTCCTGATCAACCCAGATCACTGGTAAAATTACAGAATGCATATAGACTTTTGATATAAAAAAGGCAAATATAGACTCTAGTAGGGATCTGTTGTTTTTAGTTGCTCAACATCCACTATTCTTATAATGGCACCTGAGTTTCCTGTTCTCCTACTGTGGGTCCACGTGGTACACACCTAGTAATCAAGAGTAGTCCTTTTCTGTCCTGCTTCACAAATGTGTAATCCCAGGCAGACCAATGACAGTGGGGTCCTGGACTTAGCTGGAACTATTACGCAAGAAGCTCTCACTCCAGGGGGACCAGAAAGCTGGCAGAACATCAGTCTGGAGCCTCTGGTGGCCATCATTTTGCCTGAGCATGAAGCCAACTGAACCCCTCAAAAACAGAAAACCTTAAAACTACAACTGGGGCACTAGATCTTAAAGGTTCAAAACACCAGGGTCTTATCATTGTCAGATTATGATGTTATAACGCCATCTCTAAAAATAAATACACATTCATCCCAGAGTCTCCAAAATCATTTTAGACTCTAACCTCTTTCTAGGAAGTAGCAGACTGAAAGAGCATTTTTAGTAGTCTGACAAAAAACTGTCCATTATTCTCAACCATAAGAATTGAATGCAATGATTTAAAGAAAAATAGACATTATTGTTTACCTGATATATTCAGAATCATGTGGTTTCTAGGGATTAGAACTCGTCATGCTTGGAAAGGAACAGAAGACCGTCGCTGGGAAGCCCATCTCCTCATAAAAGACACCAAAACAGTATGCTTAGGATGATTAATATTAAGTATTGAACATAATACAGTTTTCCTTAGAGGAAACAATCTGAGTTTCTAAAGAGCATTCACTTCTGACATCTTGATTCCTGATTTCAGTGGCTGTACACTGTGTCTATGTGTGCCACACTCAGGACAAGGAAAGTCCCTGTCAAATAAGAAACTACTCTTCACACAGCAGTAACAGAACATATGCTCGCCTCCTCCAGTCTGAGGCATGCGGGGGCCACTCTCCACACAGAGAACACTGTTTGCCGCTGGTGGCTAATGTCTTGTCACTGTTAGGAACACCAGTAAGAGGAATACATCGTGAAGATCACTCAGCTTTCAACTTCTGGATATTAATACGTGGTAAAAGAAAAATCCGAAACTCAGCAAAACCATGACAGAGAAGTTCCCTGGTCATATACTCGAAGCCAACTTCACATTTTCTTTCGGGGCTTGTGACATACAGAACGAATGGCTAGGGAACGTTCTGGCAAAGTTGCAAACTTGCCCCTCTGAAGGAAAATCAGGAAATTAACCAGCCCTCCTAGTTTCAGAAGTTCAACCACGATATTCACGCACTGCCTGGCTTTGCCAAATGACGCCAAATGGCAGTTTCAAAACAGGTGGTGGCAGGGCTGTTGTAGCCAAGGAGGCTGGTACCTGGGCTTCGGGGAAACATCGTTTTTTGCACTGAATATGCAAAATGGGCTGTCCTCCGGTGGCATTTTTAGAGGAAATGGTCACTCGCCACAAGAAAAGCCACAAAAACGCTTTCACCTCTGGTTCAAAGTGGGCGAAGGGACCTGGCTTAAATCCATGAAAGGAGAGAGTAAACTGGGGCCAAACCAGCTGCTCCAGAGCCTTTTAAGTTCAAGTGCATCCAGCTGATTTATTCTTAGCATTCTCTTTGTCCTCTTCGTGTTTTCTCTGGAAGCCATGTCTTCTCTGGAGGTCTCTTGGGAGTCTGCAAAACGCCCCCGTTCCACATCACTTTTTCTGAAACATTCTCTGGGAAGCTTGGCTTCTCCTAGCAGAACCTGGATGACCCAGGCTTCCGGACCTGGCGGGCTTCAGAGCCCATAACGCCTTATCTTCATTCACCTATAAAGCTTCCAGCCTTCTACTCCTCCCCTTTTGTATTTTTGTTGTTAGTTTACTTCTTTTCATGCTTTGAAGTCATTGCGAAATTATAGTAGATACAGTTCTATTGAATGCTCTTTTCTGTGAGCTTTAATATTATAATTAGGTGGTTAACAATAGAGAGTTATGGTTTTCGGGTTTATTCTTCACGTTTGCTAGAGTACTCTGTATTTTCACTTGCTGTTATGTCACTTGCTGATGTCTTTTCATTTCAGCTGAAGACCTTCTTTCAACATTTCTTGTAAGGCAGGTCTCGCGATGGTGGTGGTGACCCTCCCTCAGTTTTTGATTTTCTGGGAAAGCCTTTATTTCTCCTTCACATCTGAAGGCTAATCTTGCTAGATAACGTATTGTTGGCTGGCCATTTTTCTTCCACCACTTTGAATATATCGTTCCTCATTTCTCCTTGATCATTGATTTTTGGCAGTTTCATTATAAGATATTTTGGGGAGGGTTGGGGCGCCTGGGTGGCTCAGTCGTTAAGCGTCTGCCTTCGGCTCAGGTCATGATCCCAGGGTCCTGGGATCGAGCCCCACATCGGGCTCCCTACTCAGCGGGAAGCCTGCTTCTCCCTCTTCCCCACTTGTGTTCCCTCTCTCACTGTGTCTCTCTCTGTCAAATAAATGAATAAAATCTTTTTTAAAAAAAGATATTTTGGGAGGGTCTTTTTGCAATGAGATAATAGGGTATTCTATTAGCTTCTTGACTTTATATGTTTCATTCCTTCCCCATATTAGGGAAGTTCTCAGCTACTATTTTTCTAAAGATACTTCTTGCTCCCTTCTCCCTCTCTTCTTCTTCTGGTGGACCCGTTGTCCTTATATTTGTTTTTCTCATATCTAATACCTCTCATAGGGTTTCATCACTTTTTAAAAATCTTAGTTCTCTCTCCTTTTCTGAGTTATCTCTAAATTTCTATCCTCCAGGTCACTAACCTATTCTTAATCTGATCTGTCCTATTTCCTAAACTCTCTAACCTATTCTTCATTGGATTCATTGAATTCGTCATCTCCAGAATTTCTGTCTGGTTTGTTGGTTTGTTTGTTTGTTTTAGAGAAATAGAAAACTTTATTGTGCATAAATAAAAGGGTGGTTTAGTTGTGTCTGGTTCTTTTTTTTGAATTTCAATCTCTTTGATAAAGAACTCTTTCTTTTTTTCAAAGTTTTATTTAAACTTTAGTTAGTTAACATACAGTGCAATATTGGTTTCAGGAGTAGAATCCAGTGATTCATCATTTATATATAACACCCTGTGCTCATCATAACAAGTGCCCTCCTTCATACCCATCACCCATCTATCCCATCCGCCACCAATCTCCCTCCCTCAACCCCCAGTTTGTTCTCTATCGTTAAGAGTCTATTATGGGGGACACCTGGGTGGCTCAGTTGGTTAAGCATCTGTCTTCGGCTCAGGTCATGATCCCTGGGTCTTGGGATCGAGCCCTGCATCGGGCTCCCTGCTCAGTGGGGAGTCTGTCTCTCCCCCTTCCCCAGCTCAGGCTCTCTCTCTCAAATAAATAAATAAAATCTTTAAAAAAAAAAAAAAGAGTTTCTTATGGTTTGTCTCCCTCTATCTCCTTGTTTGTTTGTTTCCCATACTATATGTTCATCTGTTTTGTTTCTTAAATTCCACATATGAATGAATTCATATGGTATTTGTCTTTCTCTGATTGACTTATTTCATTTAGTATAATACATTCTAGCTCCATCCACATGGTTGCAAATGGAAACATTTCATTCTTTTTGATGGCTGATAATATTCTATCATATATATATTTACATATATATATATACACCGCATCTTGGTAAAGAACTCTTTCTGTTCATTAATTTTATTCCCGAGTTCACCGAATTGCCTTTCTGAGTTTTCTTGTAGCTCACGGAATCTCTTCGTAACAGCTGTTTTGAATTCTTAATCACTTAGATTGCAACATTCCATGCCTTTGAGATCGATCACTTGCCATTAGATGTTCCTGTGATTTTTCAGTGTTTGACAAAATGTGTCTCTGCCGTCCCATTTGAAGTAGCACATACCTTTGTTTACTGCAGTTCAACATACTTGCAATTAGAAACCATTCCTTTGATTTCCAGAAGGTGGCGCTTTATAGCTCAAGTTTTTGGTTTCTCTGTACCTGCATTGGCTCTGGGCTGCACTGGGGAGCACTGGTTTTAAAAAAGCTGGTGTAGAAAAAGCTGAAGGCAGAGTTGGGGGAGGTGTGGGCTTAGTCCCTGTTACTTTGTGGGTGCCCACAACCTAACATGGGGCGGAATCCTCAAGTCAGGGTACTCCCAGAGTACCTCCTGCTGAAATCCCAAAGCTGATGGCCAGGGAACAGGTTCCTTCAATGCCCTTTGTTATTCTTGTTTGCCTCTCCCTCCCTTTCCTCTCTCCCCCAATCTTAGAGGTCCCGTCTCAGAAATCTGCGCAGCTGGAGAGAAATGGGTCCAGTCGATCACTCACCACTTCCGCTTTCTACCTGCTCCATTAGGGAGGTCTCTGGCCCTGAAGAGGGAGCTGGCTCCTCAAGATCCTCCTTCTCCGGGGCGCCTGGGTGGCTCAGTCGGTTAAGCAGCTGCCTTTGGCTTGGGTCATGATCCTGGGGTCTTGGGATAGAGCCCCATGTCTGGCTCCCTGCTCGTCGGAGAGCTTGCTTCTCCCTTTCCCTCTGTGTGCCGCTCTGCCTACTTGTGTTCTCTCTCTCTCTGTCAAATAAATAAATAAAATCTTAAAAAAAAAAAAAAAAAGATCCTCCTTCTCCTCTGCCTCCAATCTCCTCTCTGTCCTGCCTGGATGGGCGCCTGCTTCTCCCGTGAGGCTGACTGGACCTCTGCAAATTCTCTATCTGTGGTGCGTGTCCACCATGTTTGGCCTTCTCCAGTTTTGCTTTTTCCTCAGTTGCAGCAAATGGGGGTGGGGCGGTTCGCCCCATTCCTTTGGATTCCAACTCCCTTGGATCCACAGCAAGCCTCCGAGATACCATCCACTTATATTTTGAAACACAGGTGTGTAGAAATGTAATATACAGAACCACCTTCGTTCAGTTGTGAATCGCCCTTTTAATCTGGATTCTGTTAAAATATCTTGCTAGAAATCTATTTGGACATCTTACAGGATTGTGATGGAACTTTGTAAGAACATCCAATATGAATAAAACTCAGATATCCAGCAAACTCTACCTTCCTGAGACATATAAATCTGAAAGTAAATACATAAGTAAGCTTTAGATAAATACAAACACATAGATAAAATCCAGATATGAGAAGTCACTCACTGTTCGTTGTATGAAGGCCTTCACTTTGTTTATTCACACAATTCTGACAGGCTTGGGTATCTATTTCTAAATTCATATCAGATTCAAAGAATCAAATTAGTTTTAGGGAGAGAACTGCTAGAAACAGATACACTAAAAGCAGAAAGAAATGACAGCTGGTCACTTGGAAGGAAGAAAAAAACAAAAGAAGAAAAGAAAAAAAGGCTCCTAGAGCCACTTAATCTGGCTCTGAAGAGCCCGATAGGAATCAGTGTATTCTGAAGACACTATTGTGTATTTGGTATTGATACAGATGATAATGGTCTTGAATCATCAAGAAGCATTTACAGCTGCTGAAAACAATCGTCTATGTTTAATAAAGATTTACTAAGATTTCTTTGCAACTTCAGAGCTTTGAGGGCCAACCTCATCTGTCTTATACCGCCCGCGTCAACCCAGGACTGTCTTCATGCCAGACATCAAGCAGGCAAACAACAGCTGCTGAAAAACAAATCAGTTGCCTTTCCAATTGAATCTTAGCTACCTGGAGAGTCTTGGACTTTTGCAATAAACTGTAATTAAAGTCTCACTTCAGTTATTTCCTTCTCTGAAAAAGTCTTACATATTTAAATCCACCCACCTTAGTTGTGTTCTCAGGGCAAAAATACAGTCCCAGGGCACCATGGTTGTATGATCGTTTTGATTGAAACTCTAATGGAACCTAAAGCTCTTGCTTTCTTTCTAGAAATCTTTTGTCCACATCCTCCCTCTATCCTTAATGGGCACCACACCGGAACTTCTCAGGGAGACATTCCCTATGGAAAGGAAATTACTTACACGTGTGACCACCACCCAGCCAGAGGGATGACCTTCAACCTCATCGGGGAGAGCACCATCCACTGCACAAGTGACAGTCAAGGGAGGGGCATTTGGAGTGGCCCTGCTCCTCGCTGTGAACCTGCTGGTCCTGCAGGTCAGTGCACATTTCCCTATGCCCTATACAGATCATAGTATCTAGGCGAGAACCTCCCCATTTCTATGGGGACAGTCATTTTTGCTTGGGAACGTGGCCTTCTTGTAAAAGTCAGACACACAGAATTACCTGCCGGGCGAATAACAGCTGGGTTCTAGATGTGCCATGCTGTGTCCCAGTTGGTGGTACTCTGATGGCCCTTCCCGCTGGGGTGAGGAGTGTGGGATAGCGAGAAGAGGAGGGAGAGAATGGGGAGAATCAGTGAGGCCCAGACTTTATAGAGACTATTTTCCAACACTAAAAACGAATGCCAAAGAAAACACTCTGTGGTGCCATCTCTATTACAAGTTGTATTTCGGGGTGCCTGGGTGGCTCAGTCGTTTGAGTAGCTGATTCTTGATCTGGGCTCAGGTCTTGATCTCGGGGTTGGGGGTTCAGCCCTGCATTGGGCTCCCTGCTGGGTATGGAGCCTACTTAAAAAAAAAAAAAAAGTTGTATTTCTCTTGGATAGGTGGGTGTGCAGAGCAAAAAGCACATGTTGATGGTTTTATTTTACTTCAGACTTGATGCTGTGGAAATAACTGAAGAAACTCCGATGCAGGCATTTGTGTATTCCTTTTGTTCCTTCTAAGTGTTCTGCTCAGCCTGTGACTACATTTTGTTGACTCTTCCTCTCACTTTTAGCAACGGGAACTCAAGATGCCCTAGAGAAGTGGAGTTCAAGGTTGTGTTCTCTTTGTGCTCTCCTCTCCTAAAACTCCTTTCTTTTACATGTTAGTCTGGCATTAAATGACAGTAACTGACAATCGGGGGCTCATTTGTGGCTGTGATTGTCCACACAAGCTCTGTGCACCAGGGAAGACAGACAGCACTGAAGTGGTCATTTGTAGATCCTGGTGGTACCCCCGTCTGATGCAGTTTGTGGGTAGAGAATACAGGCGATTCTGATGAAAGGCAGAGAAGTCTCCATTAAGAGAGTCAGTCTTCCCACTGATCGGTAAATAAGTGGTGCCTTGAGACCTACCTGCCCTGGGTCTTCCTGTGTATCTAGTAGTCAAAGATGTTATTAGATATGTTGATGTATTTGTACTTCTTTGTTTAACTGAATGTCTTTTCTTGTGTTTTGGGGGAATCTTGTTCTTAGCATGCCCACCTCTGCCCAAGATCCACAATGGGCATTACATTGAAGGACATGCCTCTCCATATCTTCCTGGGATGACCGTCAACTACACCTGTGACCCAGGCTACTTGTTGGTGGGAAGAGCCTTCATATTCTGCACATACCAGGGAACCTGGAGCCAATTTGATCATTATTGCAAAGGTATTTCTTATTCTTGCTGGGTTTTTTAATGGAAAATGGATGCATGGAGCCGATAAGGCTGAGAGATCTTTCTGAGAAGATTGTGAAATGAGTGTCATTAGGGGGGCGAGAAAAGCAGGGAAGGAAAAAAAAAAAAAGATGAGAAGGAGGCTACCCAAGGATTCTCAGTTCTACCGAAGTAGTAGGAATAACTGATGGAATTTCCAGTAATACAGTCGACATCAAACACAAATTTAAAATGATTTGCAGGCTTTTAACTAATAATATATCTCAGCTCTGAAGGACCTCATAGGGTCACAAGTGGTCCTCACAAATACCTTAAATAAGAGGCTAGAAGCACACTTTTTTTGTGTGTGTGTGAGGAAAATTGAAGCATAGAGCAAGGTTGAGAGCAATTCATACCTGGAATTACTGAATATGGGTCCTTATTATAATTTCCAAGACCAAAGGTGAAGTGCTTATTTCATCTCTTCCCTAGAACAAGTGCCAAGACTTACTGCCTTTATTCCTGTCTGTGTTTGCATAAACTTAAAATCTTTTGTTGGTAATATTCTTAAAAACTACAAAATTTGGAATTAAAAATAATATTCTGTGACTAAGCATGGTACTGAGGTCTTTAATAAAAATTATTTGTGTTAGTCTCCAAAAGAGTCTGATGAGGTGGGATTATTCTTGCTATTCTACAGAAGAGGAAATTGAGAGAGAGCCCCAGTAACTAGTCCATGGTGCGTAGCTCTTGGGTGATGGGGCCAGCACTGGCCTCTGCCCAGCCCATGTTTTTAAACACTGCGCTATATTCTGTCTCCTTTCAAATGTGGTTCTTTGGACTTTGCACAACTGTAAGTTAGCAATTTGCTTTTTGTCTCTTTTCTTTTTAGAAAACTAAGCTAAGGCAGGGATGAGGTAGGAGGGACTTCAGACATGCCTGTGTCTCAAATGTTAAGGAGCAGTTAGTCCTATGGGCTGCCATGGTGGTTATAGGACCAAAGGTTCCTCCCCAACCTAAAAGTCTCAGAAGTCCTTGGCTAGCCACACTCTGATTTTAGATAGAGAAAAAATGAGGTCCTCTACAGAGAGGGTAAATGGCTCTCCTGTATTTATTTACAAGAATGGACTGCATAAACTGCAGAGTCCCTGTGTTTCTGCAGAAATAGGAACACTTACCCCTCCTTGCTTTAGTAGCATGGAGAAGTACAAAGATTCAGGGAATACTTCAAAGATTAAGTATTCAAATTAAGACTCTGGGAAGGTTCTTCTCCTGAAAATAAAAGGGTAATAGTCTATTCCCTTGGCAGCTACTTTCAAGTAAAATTCATTTTTGTCTTAATAACTGTCCTCTTGGAATGTGCTTTATAGCAGTCATTCTAGGTTTTGAGCATTAGCAAAATCAGCCAGGAACCTTATTAAAATTAGGATCTTAAGCGCCATTCCTAAGAACTCTGATTCTGACATTTTGAGCTGGAGTTTGGTCTACGTTTAACAAACCTATCAGTATATTCTGATGTAGGAAGACCACAGACCATACTTCGGGAAATACCACTTTACCTTATTGGTTCCTATACAGAAAAAAATAATTTAACCTCATGTTGGGATAATTACAATTAAAAAGCAGGCTTTGCTTGAAGTTGAAGAAGGTATTGATAGCTGGGCAGAGAAAGAAAGCAAAACAAAGAATAAGCTAAATAAGATAAAATAAAGTAGGAAAATTGTGTTTTAAATTTAGAATCATGATTTACTAGCTTCTTTGTTCTATGCATAAAAATGAGCCAGAAATATGCATTCAATCAAGAAGCAAAATACCAGTACCTACTGCATACCTAGAGAGACTTAATGTGACATTCCTGTTTCCTTACGGTGTGACCCAAGTGGATCCAGTGTTTGAACATGGATATCATTAACTCCCAATCTTTCCATAGTTGCAGAGGTGTCAATAATTAAAAGTGGATGTGTAATACATTCCATATTCTCTTACTTTACCCAAGAAATGAAAGTCAGAGAATTTAAAATCCTAAGATGTTGAGTGGGTGTCAGTAGTTCTCGATTGAAAACATGACTCATCTTTGCTTAAGGCAAAGCAGTTTGGGTCATAGATCTCTCCATTATGGCAATTTCAACTAACAATTAACAATAAAATATCAATTTCCTTCTGATTTTTCTAATTTCAGAGGTAAAATGTATCCTTCCAGAGTTTATGGATGGAATCCGGAAGGAGCTGGAAATGAGAAAAGTGTATCGCTATGGAGATAATATAACTTTCGAGTGTGAAGATGGGTATACTCTGAAAGGCAGTCCCCAGAGCCAATGCCAGGCAGATGACACATGGAACCCTCCTCTGGCTATATGTACATCTAGTAAATGGAGCTGCAAGAAATGTAGGTCTTTCCTTAGTCATGATTACTATTCATTCATTCATCTATACTGTCATTGAATGTGGTGTGATGTTTGTAGCACCTGCTAAGAGCTAAGGAGTACAACAGGAGCTCCTAATTCTTCCCAGAAAGCCCTTAGCAATGAAAATAAGGCAAGCCTTGCTCTTCTCACATTGCTCAACCCATTCATCTCTCCTCAGGAACCCCTCTGAACCTTTTTTGTCTGTATTACTCTATTGTTGATTGCACGGCACAGTAATGATTTGTTTATAGCCTGTGGGCCTTAAAGGTCAGGAGCACATCAGTGGTAGAGCAGGCCTTCAAGAATATTTCAACATGAATGAGGGAGCATTTTCCAAGGTGGAGAGACAAGATAGTTGGTCTCCCTCACTGGTGTAGGCTACAGGATTTTAAGCTGGTATAGCTGGATAGAGCAGATTTAGAAATCATGTGTCTTAAATTGCACATGAGTGAAATCATATGGTATTTGTCTTTCTCTGACTTATTTCTCTTAACATAATACCCTCTAGTTCCATCCCCGTCATTGCAAATGGCAAGATTTCATTCTTTTTGATGGCTGAGTAATATTCCATTGTATATATATACCACATCTTCTTTATTCATTGAAGAACAAAATAGATGAACAGAGGGGAAGGGAAGGAAAAATAAAATAAGTTAAAAATGGAGAGGGAGGCAAACCATAAGAGACTCTTAACTATAGGGAACTGAGGGTTGCTAGAGGGGAGGTAGGTGGGGGGATGGGATAATTGGGTGATGGGCATTAAGGAGGGGACTTGATGTAATGAGCACTGGGTGTTATATGCAAATGATGCATCACTAAACTCTACCCCTGAAACTAAGAACACACTATATGCTAACTAAATTGAATTTAAATAAAAAAGCAATTCATTAATTTAAAAAAATCATGTATCATTGAGCTCAGTAGAAGAGTGGCTCTGTGCTGGCAAGTAAGAGAGTGCTGTAAGATAGAAAATCCTAAACCTTAAATCCTAAACATCAAGTTGCTGATGAGCAAAATTAACAATGTATAATCATCCCTTAATCAAAATTAGTGCGAGGCTGCTCTCCACAATTCTTGTAACTCTTTTTATAATACATGATTGAATATATTAGAAACTATTTTTTATAGTTAATCCCTTAAACATGTTAACTAAGCTGACTCACATAATATTTCCAAATAATAAATTTGACACTCCCTTAATATCAAATTATATTTATTTCTTTGGCAAAAATCTCACTGTTGAACTGACTGGATGCCTTTAGAGTATTCTGAAGATGTGACTGTGAGAGAAAGAAAATTCACATAATTGGAGGAGCAACCTTACCAGATATTAAAACAAAATATAAAGCCATAAATACATGAATCACTTTATGCCAGCGCAAAATACAACTTTATTTTTATAAATAAATGGAACAAAGCAGATATTAATAAAATAAAGGCTATTATAAATAAAAATAAAAGTATCTTACAGATAAAACATAATAACAAACATCAATCCATGGGAAAGAAAAAGATAATCAAATGCTATAAGGTAGCATTGAAGACATTTTGACCCTTTCTTTTTATCCTTTAATAAATACCAGGTGGAATAAAGAGTTATAAGTTTTAAAAGTGAACATGGAAAAGCTAAGGTAAAACATAAGAATATTTATGAAACAGCTAGAAGGCGGCCAACTTTTTGAGCTTTCCGACAGCATAGAGAAAATCATAAAATGTCAACAAATTTGACTTAGAATTTATGTACTTTGAAAAGTAAATTAGAAGACATTAGCCAGATGAAAAATATGTGCAACTATAAGAAGCGTTAATAGTGGTATCATGCAAATAGCATGTAGTGGTTGTGATGATTGTACAAGTTGACATATATTGAGCTCTTCATTCCACTGTTGAAATATTAGATAGATACAGAGAGTCTGTAACTACGTAAAAACTTAGATCACAGGAAAATGTCCCAGAACGGAATGTACCAGAACATTTCAGGATTTTTTTTAAAAGCAGTGGTTCTCAGCCAAAGCAATTTTGTTCGCCAGAGAACACTGACAAAGAAGAAGAAGAAAAAAAAAAGACAAAAAATCACTTGATGCTTCCGCGATGAATACTGATTATAGCCAGAATTGTTGGCTTATTACATCCTGAAACTTCATTTCACAGATGCCCTAGGAAGAGAAGTCCACTAAACAAATTATGAGCCAAATTCTTTACAGGAGAAAAATTACAGGGACTCTTATTTTTACTTCACATATTTCTGTATTATTTGGATACTATTACATTTGTGATGAAGAAAAAGATATATATATATTATGAGCAGTAAACAAGAACTAATATGCATCTATTAATGCTTCCTTTATGACAAGCACTTCTCTGAGTCCTTAACATTTGTTCTTTTAATTTTATGAGCTCTTGAGCAAGTTAATGATTATACCTAAAGTAATGAAAATAATTTGTCCCATTAAGTGGTTTTCAAGTTTAAGTGGGGAGAAATATGTCTATATATTTATATAAATATAGAGATATATAAAAGCTCCATGAGGGCAGGGATTTTTGTCTATTTCACTTGTGTCCCCAGTACCCAGAATTAAATAGCTCATAATATGTTCTCAATAAATATTTAGGGAATGAATGATCTTATGAGTTAGATGTACTGTGATCTCTAATATACAGGTAAGATAAATGAGATACAGAAATATCAACGAACATGGCAAATATATGCCTATTTAGTAATAAAACTTATTTTTAACCGAGCCAATTTGACTCCAAGGACTTGCACCCTCTTTTTTTTTTTTTTTTAAGATTTTATTTATTTATTTAACAGAGAGAGACACAGCAAGAGAGAGAATGCAAGCAGGGGGAATGGGAAAGGGATAAGCAGGCTTCCCGCGGAGCAGAGAGCTTGATGGGGGATGGGATGCTCAATCCCAGGACCCCGGGATCATGACTTGAGCCGAAGGCAGACGCTTAACTGACTGAGCCACCCAGGTGCCCCTCCTGACTTGCACCCTCTTCTATCATTCTTCTGATTCCTTTTAGAGCTGACAAGCTGAAAGAGACAGAAGTAGAAATTAGTCCTAGAAAAGTAAGATTGATTTAAGGCTCTCTAGTCCCTGAAGACCTCCTAGAGGCATCCTGATATCATAGCTTCCAGAAATAGCTTTCTGGAACTAAATGTAGAAAAAAGTAGGTAGGCTGGCTTAGTCTGCCTAGGAAGCTAGAAAAATGTACACCACAATTTTAGAACAGTTTCACCAAGTAAAAGATTTTTCAGGGTAGTATGGTCATGTGTGATATTTTTCTTCTATACTGTTTTATAAATTCAATGCTGTAATTGTGTTTTATGATAAAATTTTAAGATACAAAGAAAAAAACATACTTTGCTGAGTGCACAAGATAAAATGAGGTTGGGTGAGGGAAACCAATGGCTTTTTATATTAGAAAAACATTAGACTGTGTGCTGAAAAAATCAGGATGACTTGTCACTGACTGATCTGTTGATCATGCCGTGTGCCAGGCTGATGTTGTCCTTCCTACTTTTGTCTTCCCTTCAGGCACAAGTGATGCTCTCATAGTCGGTAAGTTTTGTGAAGAGTTTGATGAAGAGCTCTAGCACCTTTAACGTAAGTATTCACTTACAGTGAATGAAACATAAAAGGCGAGATCAAGGTCTCCTACATTACAGTTTCAGTTAGAAGGAAAGTAAGTTGAAATTCAGGCCATCGTGTGGCAAGACTGGTATCCTCACGGGCATATATAGAGTGAGTGATCTTTATTGAAGGTTCTATACTGGCTTTAAACTGTTACAAATGAATAATCATCCTTCCTGTTCTAAGGGAGCTAGAGAGCACAACTTCCTTTTTGGTTTATAACCCAGGAAATTTCTTCAGGATGGTATCACGCCCACTTGCACAAACCGGAAGCCACAAAGACCAATTTCCTGAGCCCATTTCAGAGGAGTGGTTTGGCAGTAGACTCTGTTGCAGAGAATAGCTTGTGCCTGTGACTCACACAAGGCAGGAGCGCAGGGGTCTGGAGCCCCTGAGCCAGGAGCTCTGGGGCTGTCCTCACCTGTTTGTTGAAAGTCTGCTGTGGACTACACGTTACAGACTGCTCTGCTCACCCCTTACCTATGACCCTGTGGTCGTAAGACTCACGCGCTAGATTAAACCAGGAGCAGAGGGAAACTCTCTGATCTCAGAAGCTAAGCAGGGTCGGGCCTGGTTAGTACTTGGATGGGAGGGAAACTCTTAAAGGTAAGCCTGAGTGAGGTGTTTCTTAAAAGTAGAATTTATAGCTACATTTAAAAAACTCACTGGCAACCTCTAGTGGGACTAGATATTTAGAGTTTGAAACCTATGGGTCATATTTTCCATGAATTCAATGACCCTGTTTTACTGCCTAGGTATTTTCTTTGGCGTGATCTTCTTCCTTTCATCCATGATGGTTTCCGGTTGGATAATTGTAAAGCACAAAAAAGGGTAAGTATGGCCATTTTCTCCTAGAAAATGTCCACAACTATACCTGCCTCCTCTTGAAAGCCAAAGAGAAGTGAAAGAAAACCTCAAAAAAAAAAAGAAAAACCACTACTACATAAACAGATGTAATAATTCATAATTATAAAGAAGGCCCTTGATGTACATTATGGATAGAGAAGTATTCACACTAAAAGAAATATATATGATAAGAACATTTTTTTCAAGTGATAATTAAAATTATATAAGCGTTTCAGAGATCTGTGCCAGCTACTGAGAGAAGAAACTAATACATATTTTCTATTATCTTATAACCACCATCAATCAGCTGGATAGCCATTCATTCAACATACACTAAGGTTGTGTTTTCTCCCACCCCACGTACCACTTATTACCCAAGACCACTTCTCGGCCTTCCCTCAGCTATCCACTTAGTCATTGCTCCCTGGAAGTCCCTCCCAGACCCCTGTCGGTACTACCCTCTGCTCTTCCTCATGCAAGGATCTCAAGTTTGCCCTTCCTCATCCTGTGAAAACTTTGGCTTCTGACTCATTCTTCCTCTTTGTCTCAAGTGCCCTCGTTCTAACGTCCAAGAAAGGGTAAAGGGTAACTGAGTAATGAGGATGTACTGCTAAGTGGTGCAGTGAGTTAACTCCTTGTGCTTCCACCCTTAAATCCCCGAATACCAACACCTATTTGAAACCTAAAGATACCGGTATTGTATCATTTCTCACTTCACTGATGTACAATGAAGCGCTTACACTTCACCCCTGAAGAGGCAGAGCAGCATTACCGGGTGAGATCATGAGCTTTGCAATCAGCAAGAGCTGTGTTCACACCCACTTACTAGTTAGGAAACCCTCGGCAAGACACTGACTTTCTCTAAACTTCATTTTCCTTGTCTGTAAAGTAGGGACAATAGTTCCGACCTCACTTAACACAGTGCCGCCCTTAGGATGAAGGTCAGAAAATGTGAGCTATTGTTACTTACACGTGATTGTTACTGGCATTTAAAGGGGATTAAATCCTTGGAATTACTGTCAGTGCCCCTGTGCCTCAGGACAAGGACTGTGGACGTTAACTGTACAGAAAACAGAACTATCTTCTCTAAAGCAGAAGAGGAAGCCTTGAGTAAGATCCGCCGCGCAGAGCCACTGACCCTGTGAGGCTTAAATGTCACAGTCTGGCGCTGAGTGATTATTTGTCAGTCAGAATTGCTTTGGACATAAGTGTTGTTTTAAGGCGTGGACACTTGTCTATAAGGACGCAGTCTTCTGACACAACGTACGGGCTGGTTTTCATATTATGTCCTCCTCTGTCTTTTGACTTTGTGTGGAAAGGTGGGATTTGGTTATGTTTTCCTTTTCCATATCTCGCAAAAATTTCAGAAACTTAGGCAAATTCTGTCCTAAATCTCAAAATAAAAGAGACTGAGGAATTTCTTCCAAGACTGAAATGTATAGAATTAAGGTATTTTTCCTATTTTTCTTCTTCTGCCAATTAGCAATATCACAGATGAGAAACCTAAAGAGATGATCCACTTACATCCTCTAGAAGACAGCAGTGTAAGGCCTCAAACTCTGCAAACAGATCGGGAAAACAGCAGGTACCTAACGTAAATACTGAATTCATAGTGTCTTCAAGAACTCAAATCCTGCAAATGAGAACAGGATCTGCGTATGTTCCCGCTCTAGTTGGATCGCTGGTACCAGGGGAGTTCGAAGGGACTTCAGGAAGTGGAAATGCCTCGGTTGTTGTCTTGTTGGATTCTGGTTGTTTCCAGTGAGTTGGGTGAGGACTGTCCGCGCTAAGCACAGGCCGTTTTCACAAAGCGTTCCCGTATTTTTGTGCAGGGCTGCTATGAACCTTTGAGAAGGAAGCCTTTGTTTTTCTTGTGGAACCCAAGCACTTGCCACGTGGGCGTGCCTCTGGGTCCCCCACTTCCCTTCAATGCACGGGGTCACCTCAGGACCCCGTGGAGACTCTGGCTTTCCTGCCTCCCCACTCCCACTGAATTCCCTGCCTCCCCTGGCCTCCTAGGACTGCTCTCCCCGCCCCCCACCCCCGGAGGCTTGTCACCACACCTCATGCCTGCATTCCAGGAGGTCAAAGTACCAGCTTACTAGCAGAGCTGCCGTGTAGTAAACGTTTAGCTGTTTGCTAAAGGATTGGGGTGAAAAGGGAGACGGTGCTACAACCCAAAGTGGCACACAACGTGGAACTGAATGGTAGAAATCCCGGGACCGTAAAGTGACGGTTTTTGTAACTAAGGTCTGACTGGAACACAGCCTCCCTCACTGGTAGCCTACTTATGGCTACAGCAGCTGAGTGGAGTAGAAGCCACAGAGGGCGAGACGGGGTGACACCCAGAGCCAAAATATTTATTATCTGGTCCTTAAGAAGAAAAGTGCCAGGCCCTGAACTGTATCGTATGATCAGGATTTTCTCACTGCTTGGTCCCCCCGGTAAGCCTTGGCTTTCCACCCTTTCCCTAGGCTTCTCTCACATGAGACTCCTGTCCGTTTTGTTAAGATCTTTAATGTGTTCTCAGGGGAGCTCATTTTGACTCCTGGTTTTCTTGTAAATTCAAACTTCCAATTTTCTTTATCAGACAGAGCAATTTGCCCAGTCCTTGCTTACTCTGCCTATGCCCAAGTGTCCTAAAATTTCTATCCATTCAGATTTAGGACAATGTCAGCAACACCAGCACCGAAGCCCATAAAACAGATGAGGCCACTCCTGTAGAAAGCAGAAGCCAAAGTATCACATTTTTAAATAAATTTCCTTTCTGTCCTCTTTCCCATATATCAATGTGCATTAATTTAAACCTGTCCGTTTTTATCAACAAACATGTCAGAAATCTTAAACAGAGGACAGTAGAGTGGCCACAGGAAAAGGTAAGGGGGTAGGAGAGGCATTTTATAGTTAATCAAGATACAGGCAATTCAGATCTTCTAAACAAACATAGAAGGTAGGTCAACTTTCTCCTAGTTAGAATGTGTGAATCCCTATGTTTACTACTTGGCTTTTACTCACTATGCTTTTGCTGAATAGCTTATTTTTGGTGACTGTTTATAGAAGCAAATGAAATAGGCACTGCTTTTTAAAAATTCTGAATTCCTAATTAACTTTTTGAAGCTTTAATGATCATCCAGCCTGATTCTTCTCAAAAGAGCATTTGCATATACTTGGGGAAATTTGACTGGTAGATCCATAGGATATGGAAGTCGTGACATGGTATGACTTCCTAGGAGAGTATTTTTTTTCTAATGTTATTCCAAATGTTGCAAGGGAAAAGAGCATTATATTAACACAAATACATATATATATATGGAACAGAAGTCAAACAATGCAGGAGATTTTAAGATAAAATAAGACAGAGAACATTATGCTCTCAGGCATGCTTTACCTTATGCTCTAAGGCTCTTGGGTTGATGCATTCCTTGTCCTTTACTCTGAAGGAAAAGCTGTGCGAAACTGATTCACAGCCCACCGTGCTGCCACCAATATAAACACAGAAAGTAACTGCCCACTGTGAGGGCCGGGTGTCTTTCCAGAAGTCCATTTAAAAACACTACATCAAACACTAATGATGTAATGTATGGTGATTAACATAACATAATAAAAAAAAATGCACAAGAGTACTTAAAAGAGCATTTGATTTCTCCTCAGTCCTGCTAGGGTAGCTACCTAAACACTTGACTATTTTTATTCCAATCAAACTTGCATTAACCCAGCTCAGAATTCACTCACCCAAGAAACTCTCCCAAAGTGCTCTGGTGCAAAGTAATGTCTGTCTTTGGAACTCATAGCACTTACTGTCTATACCATTTTTAGAATATTTTCTTTTAATAGTAATATGTGCTTATGGAAAATATAGAAAATACCAGAAAAATATAAATAGAAAAATAACCTGTAATGGCCTCCATCCAATGGCTAGTATTCATAAGCTTCTTCACATACTTTACAAGGTTATACATTGAGATTTTATTAACTGCATAATATTAAATCCTGGTTTGGTTTCCACCAAATGATAACCATTCCCTTATCATTACAAACTGTATATAAACTTATATTCTATAGTATTCAAAATTTCATTTATCATTGTTGCCTCTTAGCACTATTGCACTTGCTCATTCTTCAAACACTGATCAGTCACTTAATGTACCAATATTGTACCTATGTGTTTTCTTTACCATGCTAAACTAGAGTAAGGGAACCCCTTTTAAATTTCCCCTAATTCTAAGTATAGACTTAATCAATGAGAAGTGTACACAGTTGAGGATAAACTGATCAAATTTCATGTATCCTCAACTCTTTTGAAACATTCTTTTATATCAAGGTACAGGTAAAATTGTGTACATTGTTGATCAACTTTTAATAAAATGGTAGGAAGTCCTTAATGAATTTGTGTCTAATCTCCTTTTTAAGACTGGAATTTTGGCCATAGAGTTCTCCAGGAGCAAGGTTGATCCTCTGTGGCAAGATGTGGTAGATAAGGAATGAGTCAGATCTGCACCTTGTGCACCCAAGCAAGGTGCAAGGACCGAGAGGGTGATACAGGTAAAGAGGCAGATTCCAAAGACACAGCTGCGTGCTAAAGGACATGAGAATGTTCAAAGATGGCGCAGGTAACAAATGATGTTGGGAAGTCTTGAGAGGTGGAAAGAGAACAATGATGAGGGATCAGGTGGCAGTAATAATAGGGGGTGTCAGATGAGCTGCTGGGCCTCCACAGGGATCTGTCCACTGGCGGGAGGACAGTCTTCCTGGCCTTACGGAAGAGGAGAGCTTTCAGCATGGCCAGGCAAGCGTTTGGACATCGTGGACTATACAATATCTTCTTTCAGTCATGACGGTGGTAGGGGGAAGACATGCTCTCTGAGGCAGACCCTCCTCCAAACTACCAGTTCCTGTTTACGCTCCCCTGCCAGGAGCTGGCTCAGAAAAGAGAGTCAGAAATACGTTGTGTGTTAGGAGGGACCTCTATGTTTCTGGAACAAGGCTCTTTCTATTTGGTTGCTCAACACTGAGAACACTTTTCCTTTGGCAAAAAAGGCAATGAGGAAAGGTCAACTTATTCATTAATCTCTCTCTTGTCTACTCAGTGTCTCAATCTATGCCATATTTTCTTGTGCCCTACATAGCAACCACTAAGGAGGGCATAAACACTTCTTCTGAACTTGTAATTATGTGTAATGTTAGCATCACCATTTTAAGCAGCAAATTCTGGGCAGTTCAGTTGTCACCCATGCTGTCACCCGAATAAAAATATCCTGTTATTTCAGTGCCCTTCCTTGACAAAGTACTATAGAGCTGGAAACACCTCGGATCACAATGTTGCTGGAAAGGAGCCAATTCAACAGAGTAAGATGTGAGACTCATAAAATCTTGGAAGTGACCTCATTGAGACGCAGACATGTGCACGTGAAGACGCTGCCGGGCTCCCAGGAGCTAGTAAAAGCTCCCTCCTCTTAGCTTGGATTACTGTCACTCCTTGTGCTTTCTCCTTCTGCTGAACGCACACATCATCAAGTTGGGGGAAAAGACTGCACTTAGGGTATATAAATAGTCTCAATTACTTAAAGGAAGAAGGTGGCACTTCGGATTTCTGTTTACAAGTTTGTTATTCGCCTTGTATGTAATTCACCTATGTATGGAATGGGCTCATTAATGAGAAGATCAAAATCCAGGAGGAAGATGTGAAAAACTAAGTCACATACAATTATACTACTCAGTGATAACCACTGTTAATATTTTGATTCATTTTCTGCTAAGCTTTCTTCATATATGTTTGTTTCTTTATACACACATGTCTTTCTTAGTAACTTTTTCTTCTGTAGAACAAAATCTCCTATTAGATCAGAGTAAAATATAGAGAAATCAGTTTTTACTTTCTCTAGGAAAAAAAGTATCTTCTGTTTATTGTATGTGCTGCTGAAGCGAGCACAGCATTTTCTGTTTATTAAAAAGGCGTTAAATGAATCCGAGGAACAGGTTTTCAAGAGAAACATCTTAACCAATGAGCTTTGGATATTTCCTAAGTTCTATTTCAAAAGCAATTTGTACTGTGTGTATAAAAACATACTATTTTAAATGAAAGACTAATTTTATTATAAAAGCAAGTGACTTTTTGTATAGATTCAGAAGACACCAAATAAACTAAGAAACCATGACTTTTAAGAATTGCAGAATTAATGTACAGGTCTATAAATAAGTGATCCTGGAGTCCATAACTGGTCCACATGCTTACAGATCAACAATTTATTTGGTATGATAACATGGGCCATGCTAACAATCTAGAAAATACCAGAATCTTTCTGGATATTTAACAACAGATTTGCATATGACGACCGCTAACTACTGTGTAATTCTGGGTTTTAAGTTGCTTTTAGAGTATATTCTGCCACATTTACCTAGATAAATAAATATAAAGAGTGAACTGGACATCAACTTGAACTTTCTTTAAAATCATGGAAGAAAGGGAGAAAACAGCATAAGCAAAGTCAACTGACAAACTAGGAGGAAAAAATTACAACTTATATCGTAGACAAGGGTAATTGGCATATTTAGAGTTAAAAATTCAAAGACCAACCCTCCCCACCCACCTCCCTGTAAATGGGGAAAGGATATCCAGCCAGGCCTCCAATAAAAGAAAGGCAAGTAACCCATGAGTATATCAAAAGATCCTCAATGGTTTTGCTTAGTTGAAACTTAGGGAAATCTATTAGGTCTTGAGTTTCTGAAGAAGTACATTTTAAAGGAGGGCTAGAAATTATCTGTTGGGAATTGGCCTTGCTTAGAATTAAAATTCCCTATCATAAGAAAAAAATGTAAATTCCTCTTTTTCCCCCAGAATGCAGTAGGTCAGTGAGTATTGCGATTAACCAGCATCTGACGCCTGGGACATTGAATCTCAAGAAATTCATGAGATTTTATGCCTGTGACATCAGTGATACATGGGAAATACTGTTTATACTAACTATGGGTAAAATACTGAATTGTCTAACTTCATTTGTATTGTTGAGTAATTCTGTTAACCTCTGGCCTTACATTTTTCATCTGGAAAGCAGGGCTGGACCAACTGGTCTCCAAAGGCATTCTTAGTGCTAACAATCTAATTTTTTTTCTCGTTTCCTTTTTGTGTACACGTAAGCGTGAGGTGTGAGTTCAAGCCTATGACATTTAAATAAAATGTTCTGTCTCCATCACTGTAATGGCAAAGGAATAAAAGATTTTTTCTTTCTAAATCGGTGTCTGGAAAATGGTTTGTAATATATTTACTTTTTAAGGCCTTCAAAAGCCAAGACGAAACAAAATGAATATGCATTCCTTCCGAGAAGTGTCCTCCTTTCTGTACTTAATGGTTTCAGAATCCCTGTGTAAGGTGCAGCTTACCACTGGAATGTTCTTGCTGGTAACAGCTAAATATGAAGGTCAACTGGCTGGCAGGTGCTTACCAGGTACAAACAGGTGGCACAGCTCCCAGGGCCAACATCAAAAAGATGGCTTATCTATGCTCTGTTTAGCCATTCTCTTTCAGCTTTTCACAGCTAACCTAGTGTGTAATTCACCACGACAGTGGAAAGCCTTTTCTGAGAGGACTCACAGGCCCATTCATGCTGCTACCCCCACCTCTGAAAAGCATGATGGAAATATACTAATTTAGAATCATCTAACATTAAGATTTACTGCACAGAAGTTGGCCTCTGTTCAATGACATCCCCACACACCTACCTGCACCCTAGTGCCATTCATAAAGCCTTAAAGGAGATCTAGCACATAGCTCAAAACCTGGTCGACACACAGGCATATTCTCCGTGCTCTCCTCTTTGTCACTTTGGCAGTGTGACAAAATCTTTAGGGGGCGTTGCAGGCACCAGGAGCCTTTACTCCCCTACCTCACTCAAAGCCTTGATTCTTGAGTTCTGTTCCTGTCCAGGCTACAGGATGTTCATTGTCAACACTCTCCCTTTGAACTAAGTCACGAAAATGATCTGAGGGCTAAGGGACAGACAGTAGCTCCACTTCATATCAGAGCTTGCACTGCTGATACAGGAACGTTTTCTGTGCAGACAGTCGTAGCTCCCTCCTTTAGACGCAAACCCCACCTTGTTCCTAGTGTCTAAGACGATTAAAACAAAATCTCTCAGCACTTTCCCAGCACTTATTTGGTAAATCCACGCTGGGGGAGAACTGGCAGAGACATGTTAGATGCACCTGACAGCAACGCCCATTTATTTCATGCAGTATTCAGAGGCATTTATTATGTACCTACTACAGACCTAGAACTGGAGCTGCAGCAAGAAAACTCCATCCCTGTCTCATGGAGCTTGTCCAGAAAAATAGTGAACAGGGCTCAGAACCTTTCCAGTGAAGCCATAATTGGGGCAGATGAAAATAAATTAATCAATGTGAAATTCTCCAATTATATTTAGAGTGGCTTGATGAACCCCAGGTAGAGATTTTACTGATTGAAGGAAAGTTCCAGTAAAACCCCAATTCTTGACTCTAATCTAGCTTGTGTAACTAGGAAACCAAACACGTATTTTCCCATCTTCGGGGAAAAAAAACTTTTAGGGGTAGAAATAGATGGGAAAATGTTTTCATCTTACTGAGATGTAACTGACATATGCCATTGTATACAGAGGGCTGCAGAGAACAATAGATTGTTTTCACAGTAAGTGTCAACATTGATCCAGAGTATTTCTGTTCTCTCACTTACAATTCTAAGAATCAACAGAAATGATAATTTCCCCTCATTGAGTTTCCAGTGTCTCCTTAATTAGACCTCCTTCAATTAAGTGTCATCACAGTGTATGGTTTTTGATGGAAACGTTGGGGTTCGGGAGTGAATGGTCACAAAAGATTTCTTTTAGAGGTCTTTAGTGCCAAAAGGTCCTTTTATGAAAGCACGTGGACAGGACCCCTGGGCACAAAGCACTGCACTGGGATTGTGAGGAGCGACTGATTATATACTTTCAAGGGGGAGGGGGGTGCAGTTAGGTATAGCATAACTCTCTAAGGAATTTGGAAGCAAGGTTTCCAGGACCTTAAGGAGCTAGCTGTTGTTAGGATAAGGTCATTTATACTGTCTAGTAAAACCTTAGTCATGAGACCCTTCAGATGTATTATCAATCAGCCATATGCTTAGAAGATGATTGCTAACATGTATCTTGGGTGGGGGAGAGAGATAAAGGAAGTTTCTGAAGGAATTTTCATGTTAAAGAAGACTTAACAGGATCCTGGACTTCTGGGAGCTAAGGCTGCCTTTTGCCTCTAGCAAAGTATTACATTGAGGGAGTTGAGATCCTGGAGTAGGGTCATCCTGCCTGTCCCAAGCACTTGTCAATGGGCTGTAAGCTATAAGAAAGTTTAATTTTTTTTATTTTGCCTAGGTTCTCCACATAAGTTTTTATAATCCAAGATACTAAGGTGTTTATTTTATATATCAGTGCACAACTTTGTGTCATACATGCTATACGCAGAATCTGGAAGAGTCAATTCCAGAATGTCTTCAGTACCTTTCAGATACAAAATTTTAAACATACAGAGAGATTTGTAATTCCAGAATATGAATCTGAAGTTTATACAGAGAACTTACATTTCCTTCCATCCTCTCATACCTTACTCTGTATGATGCAGGTTTGTTTTCTTTGAAAACTGTAGCAGTTGAAATATAGGTTGGATTTAATATTTTTTCCTTACCTGATTGCAAATGTAACATAAGGTCTCCATAGAAAATTAGAAAACACAAAGAAAATGAAATATCCATAATCCTATGAAGTATTAGGTAATTTTGGTATACTCCAACTCTCTTTTTACATGTATCAATATACTCACTTTACTTTAGTACTTTAGTACTTTACTGTACTAAAGAAATACCAAAAAGCACATACTGATTTGGAATCTTTTTCCACTTACATATACATCACAGTTTCTCACATAGACTCTTTTACACTGCCTGCTACATAGACATTCATACCATAAAGCCACCTACCAAAAATTCCTTATACTTTGGCTAGACACTTAGGATTCATTTTTCTTCCAAAATTATACATCTTTGGTCACAGCTCTGATGATTTCTTTGGGATAAACTCCAAATGGGACTGGTGGTTTCAAAGTCGTGGCCATTTAAAAACTTAACATATGGCAAAGTTTAATTAAAAGCCAAAAAGTTTGAGGGTGTTGGTCCCCCCCAAAAATGTTTACTCACATTGGTTGACATTTATCATTCTTTGCCAGCCAATGGGAAGAAAATGTCAATTCCTTCTGTGTACTCTTTTAATACAGGTCATGTGACTTTTTTTCCTCTTACTAGTCATACAGGTTTAATCACAACTCTACAAACAGATTTGGCTCATTCTTAATTTTCCACTTGATTTTCCATTGAGAGATGTTTCACCAGAAAAGTTCTGCCTCTTACGGATCCCTCTCCATGCCAACAATAATGGCTTTAAGTACTTCCAGGAGACTGGCAATTCATACACCCTTGTCCTTACCTTTTTCATGCTTGTTTTTTGCCTCCTCAATAGAGCATTTAGTTGCTCAAGGGCCAACTCAGAGAGGTGAGGCCCCAAATGCTAATGGCTCGGTGTTGTTAAATAATGCATCCACCTTGCTTTACTGGAGGGGGTGGGAGTGCAGTGGCCAAACCTTTGAGATTCTGAAATCTAGGCCCCGAGAGGATCCAAGCGCAGATGCTGAGCCACGGAAATCGCAAGTATTGTCCCTCAATATGCCCGACTAAGGCCAACTCTGGAAACAAGGGCCCAGGGAGTCCGGGCGGTGCGGAGCGCCCCACGCCACACTGGAGCCGCCAGGGGGGCGGCCCCACGACGACCGCGGCCTGGGCCGTGGGTTTCTAGGTTCAGGTCGCGGCGCTTTCCGCGCAGTGCGGCGCTCCGTTCCGGAAAAGGGACAAAGACGCCGCCGCCAGCTCTGCTTTCCTTCCCACCCTTCCGGAGTCCGGGCGGCGAGGCGGCCGAGCGCCGCAAGCCCCGGGGCCCTCGGGTCGGCGTGCACACGGATCGTCGCAGGGCCGCCCGGCGCCCGCGGGAGGGGAGCGAGCCGCTGTGCGAGCCGGCGGCGCGGACCCCGCAGGCCCACGCCGGGTCCGGGAGGCCTGTGGGCCCCGCGCTCAGGCCCCGCCTCCGGGCGCCGGCTGGCCCCGCCCATTTCGGGAAGGCGCGCCCCTTCCGCCCAAGCACCGCTCAGGCCACGCCCCCGCGGCTGGCTCCTGACCCCCGGGTGCCGGGGGATTGTTGCGTCTGTTTCCCGGACCTGGGACGGTGAGGGCTTGGCGGGCTCTTAGGTTCCCACTGGTCTCCTGCAAGATGACGGCGTCCTGGGCGCCGTGTGCCGCCTGTGGCTTTCGCCCCGAAAAGCGCTTTTCTTGGCGCTTGGTCGGGTTCCTTTTGGTGGCCCCAGTGCTCCTGATCTCTCTAAACTCCGGTAAGAGCCTGGAGAGGGTGTGCCCTCTGGCGGTGAGCAGGAGCGGGTCGGGGAGCAGGCCGACGGGGCCCAGGGCCTGGGAGCTTCGCTTTCCCTGACTTCGTGATCCTGATTTCACTATTGATCTGCTTGCACTCACACAAGTAGAAACAGAAACTGTTTTGCTCACTTAGAACCCCAGTGCCAGGCACGCAGTGGCAGTCGAGAAATCGTTGCTAAAATTTATGGGGAGTGGCAGACAAATCAAAACGCTCTATGAACAGTTATGTTATAACCCAGCAGAAGTGTTTTGGAGGAAAGGAGCTCGATTCTCTGATAGCATTTAACAGTGACTAGGGGCCGGGGCAATTTCTCTTACTGAAGAGGCCAAACTCTGCCTCTGTGGGGCTTCTGTACTTACTGTTCCCTCAGACTTGGAACATTCTCTTCCGGCACCTTGCCTGTCACCCCCTCAGGAGGCCCCCCTCTGACCACCCTATCTCAGATAGACACACACACTCCAGCCCAAATCCCCCCTGACTGGGAGTCACTCTTGCCAAACTGTCTTCTGCTCTCCCTACTAGAATGCAGAGAGCTTCTCTGTCTTGTCACACTTGTGGTTCCAGATTTGCAGTTTTTTGCCCAGTGTCAACACTCTTGTTTAACTATTGAGTGCCAGAAAGTGAAATATAAATAATATACTGTAATTAAGCTGGGACTTAGAGTGCCGGCAAAAATTCCTCCTGCTGCCAGGAGGAAGGTTCTTTAAACACCCGTCCTTAGGATGGCCTTTCTGTGGTGCCTAAGCTAAGTCAGGGGAAGCTGACTGTCAGAGAGGCTCTGTCTTCCACTGTTTATGTGGAGTCTGCAGGGCTCACAATACTGTAGTCTTGCTTGTTCCTGATCATCAAAAAGTTCATTTCTGTGGGGGGAGTAGCGTGGGGAGGGGCCAGTGGCAATAAAAAGAAACGGAAAAAAAAACGTTTTAAAAAAGGATCAAGTTTAGATCAGGCTTGGAGCCAACAGTTGAAGGAGACCATGACTGTTGTTTGGAAGAGAGGAAATAAAATGAATAGGGTGCGACATGGAAGGTAACAAAACAGAAATGCAGAAAAGGAAACACAAGGCCAAGTTGAGAGTTCAAAGGTAAAATCAGGATAGGTATGAAACTAAGAGAAAGTACAAATGAGCCTCATTCTGCCGGGCAGAGAAAATACGGCACTAGAACACACATGTGAGTTTTTAAGCAGCTCCCAGGCCCAGAAGCGGGTTTGTAAGCAGACAGTGTTGTGCCTGGAGGCTTGCCATCTCAGCGATGGTTGCCAGCTACATGGGATGGTAGAAGGGAACACTTGTCCAATTCGGGACCAGTCTCGTTCTTCCAGAAGGGCTCTGCTTTTTGGACAAAACCCACCATCTCCTGCTGTGAGTGGTGTCTTTTTTAGGTCTTTTCTTTCTCTCTAATGGACGAAGCCAAGATAGATCCATAAGTGCTTACAAGGTAGTTTCTTCTGTCCTTACTCTACATATTATAAGAGTGTATGGAACTGGTAAGAGCACTCATTCAGCTCTGGCACTAGGTATTACAAGTGCAGTGAGGTGTCATCCATGGTCCTCAGAAGGTAATCGTCTCGTAGGGAGTACGAACTCTAACGACTTCCGCTATGGAGTAGTCTGTGGAAGAAGTAATGGGGATCGTGACGACACTTAACCCAGTTTTTTTTTTTTTTTAAGATTTTATTTATTCATTTGAGAGACAATGAGATAGAGAGAGAGCATGAGAGGGGGGAAGTTTAGAGGGAGAAGCAGACTCCCTGCCGAGCAGGGAGCCCGATGCGGGACTCGATCCCGGGACTCCAGGATCATGACCTGAGCCGAAGGCAGTCGCTTAACCAACTGAGCCACCCAGGCGCCCCAACCCAGTTTTTTTTTTTTTAAGATTTTATTTATTTGTCAGAGAGAGCACACAAGCAGGGGGAGCCGCAGGCAGAGGGAGAAGCAGGCTTCCCACTGAGCAAGGAGCCCGATGCGGGGCTCGATCCCAGGATCCTGGTATCATGACCTGAGCCAAAGGCAGACGCTTAACCCACTGAACTACCCAGGTGTCCCTTAACCCAGTTTTTTGATGAGAGATGTCAAGAGCCACAGGAGTGGCACCTCAGCTGAAACTGAAGGACGAGTGGGTGGGAGGGTGGGAGGAATGTGGGGTCTCTGGTCAAAGCTGAAGTTAAATGATGCAGGGAGGTCTGGAGTGCTGTCGTAATTCAGGTAATTTAATGGACACTGCCAGGAATTGAATAGGGCTTGAGACTAGGGTGCAAGAGTGAGCAGAGTCCTGATAGTGACGGGCTTTACAAGTCTGCTAGCCATGATAAGGAGCCATAGGCATTGTCATGAAGGCGTTGGGAAGTCACTGAAAGGTATCCGACTTGGAAGAGCTTTGGTCACTGTGCGTCAACGTGACTCTGGCAGCATTGTGAAACATGAAATGAATGGAAAGGTGGTGAGGTAGGTAAGGGCGCCTGTTCAGAGATGCTGGTAGCACTCTAGAGAAGAAATGGCAGTGGTTTGAACTGGAGGGAAAGGTAGAATTGTGAGTTGTGAAAACTGTCTATCTTGTTTGTTGGGGCAAGAGGTCACACTCTGGCTTCATAACGTTATTTGAGAGAACATGACACTTTCCAAGTGGAGCCTGCGGGGCTAGAACCAAACCCAAGTCCATCTGCCCGATGCGCAGCAAAGCCAATCACAGAGACATTAGGTATGTAGCTAGGAAAGTTTGAGAGGTAACCAAAGGAGGCAGGAGCTTCCTTTCTGAAGGGAGAGAGAACAAAGGTTTTTTTTATAGTCATAGGGGTTGAGATTATATACATATTTATGAAAACAACAGGGAAACTTACAACTTATTCATGAGGAAAGATGGAGCTTGTACCTTGAGTGTCATACATGCATACATCCCATGTTCCCTTTGGGGTGGATACTCAGCATCAGAAGGAGGCAAAATTTAGCCCCTGACCTCAGGAAGTTATCTCAGGACAAGGAGAAGGGGCTACAGGCCTGCCCTGAGAGCCAGTATAACCTGGATTGGGCCTTAGACTCCTTATCTAGGGTAAAGAATGCACAGCCTTGCTTGTTCATAGACTGGAGCCATATCCATTGACCTTGATTCCAGGCTTCTGCAGTAACAGCTCATGAGTTTGTCAGCAGGGTCTGAAAAGACACACTAGCTGATTATGGAGAAACAGTTCTCTGAAAAAAAATGTTTAAACTTTCTGCTAGTTTCAACTCATTAACACTATGGGGTACAGTTTCAGGGAGGCAACTGAATATATACAGTCGGCACCTTGGCTAGAGATCAAGCATGGAGACCAGGATTCGGGAGGCAGCTCTTCTCAGTGGTAACGAGGTCATGGGAGTATACACACTCACCCAGAGGGATGTGCAGAACGAAGTAACCAGAGGTCCCACAGCAACCCATTAGGAACATCACATTATGGAATTAGGCATAGAAGGAAGGGCAGCCAGAGGACAAGCTGCCAACCTGGGTGGTGTGCTTTCCTGGAAACCAGGGGGAGAGCTTTTCAGGCAGGAGAGAGCCAAGAGTGATCAGTGGCTGCAGATGTTATAGACAGAGTGACATTACCAAGGAAGCAACTGTTAAAATGAATTTACCAAGAAGGGAGTCAGCTAATGACTTTGAAAGTAATTTAACTGATTTTCATGGGCCCAGAAATGAGTGGGAAGTGAAAAATACAATTGACAGGTATAGATGCCAGAGTCTCTATCTGAGGAAGCAAAGAAAACTTAAAACCAGGTTGTGTAGCCATAGGAGACATAGCGGGTAGGTCAGGTTTCATTGAGATTCCAGTTTGGGTCGGAGACCAAGATTTTCTGAAGGTAGTGTTTTGGGCAGGGCTGTAGGTTTGTGCTGGTATAAGAGAGTTATTTTAATTTTTGCAAGGTTAGGGAGTACTTGTATGATTTTTGCAAGTGTAGAAGCGGACAGTTGTGTTGACCTATGTTAGCGCACTATTTGACTGTCCTGAAACTCCCCTGGAACATTGGGGAACTTTCTGCATGCAGCCTATCTTATTATATAATGGCATCTATTGTTAAAGTATTGTAATGCCCCAAAAAAGCGACATTATTTTCCTGTAAGGTTATTCGAAGTAGTAAATTTTGATATTTAAATGGTATCTCTTCACTTGTGAGAAGCTTAGTTCACTCATATGAAACATGAAATGGAGTCTTACATGAAAGACTTTAGTGCATATTTATCTTCATCTATGAACTTCATAATGCTTATTTAATAATTAATAATGCTTATTTGATAATCACTTGTTACTCTAGCATTTCTGAAGCACCCACTGGGTACACAGTGCATTAGAAAAAAGAAAACCCATGATCCCTGACTTCTAGGAAGTTGCCTTCTGCAAGGAGACTGAGCCTGAACTGACGAGTTATCATTAGTTTGTTTCAGACTATGGAAGAGTAATTGGAGCAGAGTGCTGTCTGTGTACTACAGAAGGCTTCTTAGAGGAGAGGCTAGTTTTTAAATGAATTTAGAAAAAAGTGGGGATGGTTGCATACATATATATATTTTAAGACCATAAACATTGATTTTGTCTCTTCACTTCATCGTTGCATGAAAATTCAGCTTATTTCCCATCAGATAAAATGATAATAGCCTGTTATTTAAAGCAAGCGGGGCATATCCTCCACTACTCCCACCACTTGGGTAAAAGCATGTAAGTATCATTAAAAGCTTGCCAAGGATCTTTCCATTTATTCTGTATTACCTACCTCCTGCCAGACCACAGTCCCTGGCTGGTGAATGAGATAAACACTTACATGTATTTAAAAAAGACATAAAAAAGCATACAAAAAAAATTTCATGTTCTTATTCTCTTATCCCTAGATGCCTGTGGTGAGCCACCCAAATATGAAACTATGGCCTTGAGGGATAGCCCTAAAAAGTATTACGAAGTTGGGGAGGAAGTATATTATCAGTGTTATCCAGGATACTTAACTCTGCGATCCGTCGTGACTTATTGTGAGCAAAATCACTCATGGTACCCTCTTGAAGAAGCTTGTTTCAGTAAGTAAACAAAAAAACAACAAAAAAAATTTTTTTTGCTTTTGCTTTCTCTAGAGATTTTTACAAATTTTAGGGTGCATTTTCCCCTACAGCAAGATTTTCTCATGTGAAAATTGGTTTCAGATAGTAGTATTTTTTCCAATATTTAAGAAATCCCCAGGGGATCTTTTTCTTGGCAATTGTTTACCAGGTTAAATGTGAATTTTAAGTTTGCATACCAATTAGTTATAGAAAATGATATTGCATTAATTGCAGAGAGTAGTGCAGAATTTTGATCTTGATTTAAATCTGTTTTGAAATTGGTGTTAAAAAAATTTTTTTTTAATTTTATTTTAGGAAAAGAATGTAATACTCCAGGACTCGAAAATGGTGAAGTCTTTGCCCCAAATTTCACCTTTCAATTTGACAGTGAAGCTTACTTTTACTGTAATGAGGGGTAAGTTGCTCCTTAGAGGAAATAAGGTAAATGTTACTAATTCCATTTTTGTTTTGCTTCTCAAGCATTCCCATAAATGTTGCACTTATAAAAGGCCCTTGGGCCTTTTGTAGAGACTGAAAAGATAATTAATTCAAAGAAATTTATATTGAAGGAAAACGAAATTGTCTAATACTTACATATCTAATAAGTTTATTGTAAGCATCAAAAATGTAGTAATCATGGTGACTTTATCCTTGGCAAAGTGCACCCTATTTAAAATGCCAACTTTCAGATTTGAAGGAGGACTCACAGAAATGTTGTGTTCTTGAAGTCCTGTATTTCCTTACTTACATTGTCTGGTGGTTCTATCCATTACAGTGAACTGGGAACTGAAGTCTCCAACTAGTAGAAATGACTATTATGTAGAAATGTGTATTTCTTTGTTCAATTCTGTCAGTTTTTGCTTCGTATGTTTTGATGGTCTGTCATCAGGTGGCATAAATGTTTACAACTGTTAAATCTTCTTGCTGTATGAACCCTTTATTAATGTATAATGTCCTTTGTCTCTTGTAACCTTTTTTGATTTAAAGTCTTTGGTCTGATGTTAGTGTAGCCAACCTTACTCTCTTTTGGTTACTATTTGCTGAAATATTTTTTTCAGTCCATTTACTTTCAACCTGTTTTTGTCCTTGGATCCTAAGTGAGTCTCTTGTAGATAGCATAGAGTTAGATCGTGTGTTTTCATCCATTCTACCAATCTCTGTCTTTCAATTAGAGAGTTTTAATCCATTTAAATTTGAAGTAATTACTGATAAGGAGAGAATTACTTCTGTGTTTGTGCTATTTGTTTTCTATATGCCTTATAGCTTTATTGTGGCCCTCATTTCCTGCATTAGTGTCTTCTTTTTTTGCTTATTTGACTTTTTGTATTGAAATGTTTAAATTCCTTTCTCATTTCCTTTTGTGTATATTCTATGGCTGTTTTCTATGTGGTTATCATGGGGATTATATTTAACATCCTAAAGTTATAACACTCTAATTTGAATTTGTACCAGTTTAATGTCATAACATACAAAAACTCTGATCCTTTAAAACTCCACCCCACCCCATTTGATTGTTTATTACACAAAATTACATCTTTATACATCGTGTGTTCCAAAACATAAACTAATAGTTCTTTTAAATTAGTCCTTTAAATTATGTAGAAAACAAGATTTGGAGTTAAAAACCAAAGTTACAGTAATACTATGTTTTACATTTCTTTTTTTTTCTTTAATGTATTAGTCTCTTAAGTTACAAAGAAAACAAAAATTACAGTTATAAGTCATTGTTACAATCATACAAGCTGTTTTAATTACCTGTGTATTTATCTTTAGTGAGATATTTATTTCTCCGTATGGCTCAAAGATATTTTCTAGTGTCCTTTCATTTCATCTTGCAGGACTCCCTTGAGCATTTCTTATTTCTTGCAAGGGACATCTAGTGGTCACTAACTCCCTCAGCTTTTATTTATCTATAAATAGTCTTAGTTTCCTTGTCACTTTTGAAAGATAGTTTTGCTGGATAGACGACTATTGGTTGACAGTTTTTTTGTTCTAGCACTTTTTTAAAAAAATTTTGTTTATTTATTCATGGGAGACAGAGAGAGAGAGAGGCAGAGGCAGAGGGCTCCTCTGCAGGGAGCCCGATGTGGGACTTGATTCCAGGACACTGGGATCATGACCTGAGCTGAAGGCAGATGCTTAACCAACTGAGCCACCCAGGTGCCCTCTTCTAGCACTTTTTTGAGTATACTGTCCCCCTATCTTCTGGCCTCCAAAGTTTCTGATAAGAAATCTGCTGATAATATTATTGATGATCCCTTGTATGATGACTCACTTCTCTCTTCCTGCTTTTGTGATTCTCTCTTCATCTTTGTCTTTTGAAAGTTTATTATATGTCTTAGTTACTTTTTGAGTTCATTTTTGCCTGGAGATTGCTGAGCTTCTTGGATGTTTATATTCATGTCTTTAATCACATTTGGGATGTTGGCAGCCATCAGATATTCTCTCTGCCCCTTTCTGTCTCTCTTATCCTTCTGGGACTCCCACAGTGTGTATGTTGGTCTATTTAATGGTGTCCATAAGTTCCTTAGGTTCTGCTCACTTTTCTTCACTCTTTTTTCTTTCTTGTCCTCAGACTCAATAATTTCCATCGTTCTGGCTCCATGTTCACTGACTTCTTCTGGTGCTCAAATTTGCTTTCGATGCCTCTAGTGAATTTTTCATATCCCAGTTATTTTACTTTTATGCTCCAGAATTTCTTTTTGGTTTCTTTTTAGGTTTTCTGTCACCTTATTGACATTTCCATTTCATTAATACATCATTTGCTTGACTTTCTCCAGTTCTTCCTTTAGTTCTTTGAGCATGTTTAAGATAGTTATTTTGAAGTCTTTGTCTAGTAAATCTGCCATCAGATCTTTTTCAGGAACAGTTTCTGTTGATTTATTTTTTCTTGTCAATAGGCCAAGCTTTCCTGTTTCTTTGTATATCTTGTGATTTTGTGTGTGTGTGTGTGTGTGGAATACTGGACATTTGAATCTAATAATATGGAAATAAAATTCTTCCCTTCCCCTAGGACCAATGTTTTATGTTATTATTCATATTTTTGTGATTGTGGTAGGGTATCTCTGTTGAGGATCAGCCTAACATTTATTTATTTATTGTTAATTTAAAATGAGTTTAATTAATATATAGTGTATTATTAGTTTCAGGGGTAGAATTTAGTGATACATCAGTTGCATATAACACCTAGTTCTAACTACATCAAGTGCCCTCCTTAATGCCCATCACCCAGTAACCCCATCCCTCCACTCACCTCCCCTCCAGCAACCCTCCATTTGTTTCCTATAGTTAAGAGTCTCTTATGGTTTGTCTCCCTCTCTGATTTCATCTTATTTTATTTTTCCTCCCCTTCCCCTATGTTCATCTGTTTTGTTTCTTAAATTCCACATATGAGTGGAATCATAAAATATTTGTCTTTCTCCAACTGACTTATTTCGCTTAGCATAATACTCTCTAGTTCCATCCATGTTGTTGCAAATGGCAAGACTTCATTCTTTTTGATGTTGAGTAATATTCCATTATCTCTATCTCTATCTCTTATCTATCTATCTATCTATCTATCTATCTATCTATCTATCTATATCTATTTCACATCTTCTTATCCATTCATCTGTCGATGGACATCTGGGCTCATCCCATATTTTATCAGCCTGACATTTAAACTAACAGTCTTTCCAGTCTTTTCTGAGACTTTCCTTGGGCATGCAACTTCTTAACTTCTCTTCACATATGCAGTTGGTTTTGAATATTCTAGTCTTTAATGTTTGGCTCCAGAGAGGGAAAAGTGAAGAATGAAGTGGAGAGCAAAGAGTACTGGATGTTTACATTCCCTGAAAGGCACTTCAGACAGTTAGAGAGGGGCTTACAAGAGTTAGGGGTGTACATATGACAGCAGTGGCTGCCCGCCTCTTTGATTGCTTCCCTGTGATTGGAAGCGGAATTCAGTGATAAGAGCAAAGGTCCCCAGTATTTGGAGGACAGGGTCCTTTTTGCCCACCCTCGCTCTCCAAAACTGCTTCTAAGCTGCTCCAGGAACACATACACAGCTGCCTGCAGGGGTAGGAGATGCATACCTGACACGGCGCTAAGATGATATTGACTGAAATCAATACAATTTACCTGTCCAAGTCTTTCTTTGGAAGTTGCAAGCCATCATCAGACTTGAGCTCCAAAATAGTTCCATTAGGCAGATTCTCCCATTGCACTTGTTGTCTGGTTGGGAAGACAGATTCTTAGTGCTTCCTACTCTGCCATTTTCCCAGAATCCTTCCCTAAATACCGTAATGTAGAAAAAAGGCAACTGGATCCATATATAAACAGTTTCACTGACTATTTTCTTTTTTAACTTGATCAAATAAAAATATTGGAACATCCAGTTAGTAGTTATATAGAGTGAGCCTGCTAGGCAGTTTGAGGGATACAAAAGTTTAAGACATATTCTCTTCTCAAAGAAATTGTAGCCTTGTTGAGAAACACAATGTATAGAGAGGTGTCAAAGCAAAATAATAAATGAGAAGCAGCAAATAAATAGAATTATTCATGATTATTACAGTAAGAGTCCAGCAGGAGAAGAGAGTACCATGAATTTAAATCACAAGAGAAAATTTCATTGAGTAATATTCCTGAGCTAGTCCCAGAAAAATATTCTTACCTAAAGAATATTAACAAGAGCTAAAAATTGCCTAGCACTCAGTATGTACCAGATGCTAAGTCATCTAATCCTTGAAACAATCCCATGAAGTATGCACTGTTATCCTCTTTTCATAGATGAGGAAGCTGAGCAAGGGGACCATTAAGGGACTTGCCTGAGCTCAGATAGAAAGTGAGTCATGGAGCTGGGACTCAGATCCAGACAGGCAAGCTCTAGGGCCTAATCTCTCTACTCGGTTGTTGTTTTTACTGAGAAGAATGGTGTGAACATAGGCATAGAAATGAATGTATAATGTGATTGCTGGAGATAGCAAAGAGGCCAGACTGACAGGTACAGTAGATGTATTTAGACATCTTTGCTTTTGTTCAATGAGGGTTCAAATGTAGAAACTCTATTTATTTATTTATTTATTTATTTAAAAATTTTTTTATTTATTGGACAGGGAGAGAGCACAAGCAGGGGGAGCGGCAGGCAGAGGGAGAGGGAGAAGCAGGCTCCTTGATGAGCAGGGAACCCAAAGTAGGGCTCCATCTGGGATAATGACCTGAGCTGAAGGCAGATGCTTAACCATCTGAGCCACCCAGGCACCCCTAGAAACTCTATTTAATTAATAGCATATATGGTTAGCACTTACACTACATAATGTTATTTAAGAAACTTCTCCCTCAAACTACTGTGTAGAAAAGCAATAGTATTAAAATTTTCATTTTTACATGCATCTTGTTAACTAATAGAGAAAACAGTAAATTTTTCTTTTCTCAGTTATTACTTATCTGGAAAAAAAGCTCTACTTTGTGAACTTCGTGGGGATGATGTGTTTTGGAGTGATGAATTTCCAAAATGTTATAGTAAGTAAATTTTCATTTTAGAATTTAGACAAGCAAGCCTCAATCTTTTGGGCCTCAGATCCCCTTTATGCTTTTAAATTGACAAAGATCCCAAAGAGCTTTTCTTTATGTGGGCTGTGCTTATTGATATTCATTATATTGGAATAAAAAAATGAGAAGTTTTAAAAATAATTATTCATTCATGTTTAAGAATAGTAAGTTCAATACATTAACATATGCAGCGTATTTTTATGAAAAATAAATTTTCCAAACCAAATACTGAAAATAGTGCCATTGTTTTACATTTTTGCAATCTGTTTCATATTTGGCTTAAAGAAGGACATCTGGATTCAGTCTGTTGTGAAAGCACACAATATGTAGCCTTGAAAAATTTCACTGTATGTTCATAAGGATGAAAGTGAAGAAAGACAATATCTTGGTATTATTGTGAATCACTCATTTAGCAAATGTATACATATATATGCGTGTGTGTGTGTGTGTATTTGCAAATGGATATATTTAAATATAAAGAATTTCTCAGCTAGCAGTGAATTTTATTTTTGATCACAAACATATCTTCTCATTAAAACTTCAGTACCTTTTATGATGACTAGAACAAAACTTAGCATGGCCTTATAAAGTAATAATAGGTATTTCATATAGGTCTTAAAGAAAATGAGTTTTGTGTTTTGAAAGTTTATTTGTGCGTGGTTTGAATTTGGGATCATTCATTTTCTCATAGAAGCCTAAATAGGTGCTAGATTCACAGCTAGCTTGTAGAAATTGTTAATGAATTTACTGAAGGCAGTTCATAGGACTTTATAATGCTATTTTAACACTTTTCCTTTTGTCCTTTATTTCCTCTTTTTATCTCCTTTTTAAGGGATTTACTGTAAACCACCTGCAAAAATAAAAAATGGAAAATACAGCAATAGTCACAGAACTATATTTGAATATAATGAATTAATTACTTTTAGTTGTAACCCTTCACAAGGACCAGATGAATTTTCACTTGTTGGAAACAGCAAACTTATTTGTGTTGACAATAACAAGTGGAGTAGTAGCCCTCCTGAGTGTAAAGGTAGTGGTATTTCCATTTATTTCCTTCTTCATTTGTAAATTTTAAATTTGGAAACATTTTATAAATAGTTTTATCTATAAGTAAACAAAATAGTCATATATGCTTCCTCCTTCTGTTAAATTGACTTCCAATGTAGATTAATACAGGTTGAGTGAAATCAGTTCTAGTTAGAGTTCCCTGCTCTTCATCCCACCTGTTCTCAGCATTCTAGTTCACACAGGGTGAACTACTGTGTATATGCACAAGTTAGGAGTTTTTTGCTTGAAAGAACCCCAAAACTCAACACATACTGGGTTAAAAATAAGAAAATCTTTTCTTACATCACAAGCTATCTGAGAGTTCTGGCTACAGGATAAATTGTAAAAGACTAACCCTCTCACCGCCAAGACTGAAAAGCTCTGGACAAAACATATTTAAAAAACAATGGTCACGACACTGGAGAGTGATCAAAAGCTGGGAGGCACTAGAGGGGATTTGACTCTTGGAAGAAAGGGACCACTGAATAACAGCAAAATATTTACTCTTTTCTGACTTTTTTTTTTAAGATTTTATTTATTTATTTGAGAGAGAAAGCATGAGTGAGGGGCAGGGAGAGGGAGAAGCAGGCTCCTGCTGAGCAGGGAGCCTGACGCAGGGCTCAATCCCAGGATCCTAGGATCATGACCTGAGCTGAAGGCAGACGCCCAACCAACTGAGCCACCCAGGCGCCCCAAAATATTTACTCTTTTCAAGTGCACATGGAACATTCTCTAAGATAATTTTTAACAGATTTCAAAAAATTGAAATTATTCAGAATATATAACTGATTACAATGGAATGAATGTAGAAATAAAACAGATAACCTAGAAAACCTTCAACTATTTGATAATTATGCAAGACACTTCTTTTTTTTTTTAAAGATTTTATTTATTTATTTGACAGAGAGAGACACAGCAAGAGAGGGAACACAAGCAGGGGGGAGCGGGTGAGGGAGAAGCAGACTTCCCGCGGACCAGGGAGCCTGATGCGGAGCTCGATCCCAGGACCCTGGGATCATGACCTGAGCCGAAGGCAGATGCCTAACGGATGAGCCATCCAGGCGACCCTATGCGAGACACTTCTAACCAACCCCTGAGTCAAAGAAGAATGCACAAGAGAATTTATTTCTCTTTTGAATTGAATAAAAATGAAAACATGGCATATCAAAATATCAAAATTTGATACATGAAAACATTGCTTAGAAGAAAATTTATAACCTGAAATAGTTATGTTAGAAAAACAGAAGTCTCGATAATCTATGCTTCCAAAAAAGAAGAGCAGATTAAACTCAAAACAAGGAGACAGAGGAGATAATATCAATCGAAGTAAATCAATGAAATTGAAGAGAGAAAATTAATGAAACCAACACCTGCTTCTTGGAGAAAAATTAGTAAAATAGATAAAGTTATAGCCAGGCTGAAAGAAAAAGAGAAGATACTTTATCAATATCAAGAATGAAAAAGAGGACAACACTAAATATCCTACGGACATTTAAGGGATAATAGGGGAATATTATGAAAACAACTTTGTGCCTATAAATATGACAACTTATATATGAAATTGACAAATTCCTTGGAAGACACAAAATACCAACCAAGGCTCACTTCAGAGACATACATAACCTAAATAGTCATCTTCTTCTTCTTCTTCTTCTTTTTTTTTTAAGTAAGCTCTATGCTCAGTGTGGGGCTTGAACTCACAACCCCGAGATCAAGAGTCACATGCTTTACCCACTAAGCCAGCCAGGCATCCCTGAATAGTCTTATATCTATTAAAGAAATAGAATTTTTAGTTAAAAACCTCCCCACAATGAGAACTGCAGGCCCAGATGGCCTCCCTTGAAAATTCTAACAAACGGTTCAGGAATAAATAATAGTAGCTCTATGCAAACTCCTCAAAACATTTAAGAGGAAGAATACTTCTCAACTCATTTCATGAGGACATCATTATCCCGATGCCAAAACCAGACAAAACCTTTGCAAGAAAATTACAAACAATATCTTTAATGAACATAGAACCAAAATTCTCAAAATATCGACAAAGCAAATCCTGCCACATATAACAATAATAATACATCATAGCAAAGTAAGATTTATCCCATAAATGCAAGATTGGTTCAAATTTAAAAATTAATCAGTGTAATTTACTATGGCAAGAGACTATAAATAAGAAAAAACCATGATCCTCTTAATAAATGTTAAAAAAAAAGCACTTGACAATTCATCTTTTTCAGGATAAAATTTCTCAACAAACTAGGAATAGAAAGGAAGTAACTATCTCATCTAATAAAAGGCATCAACAAAAATCTCAGAGCTAACATTATATTGAATGGTAAAAGACTAATTTCCCCCATGGTAGGAGTAAGAGAAGGAAATCTACTCTCACCACTCTATCCAGCATTGTACAGGATGTCCAGCTACTACAACAAGGAAAGAGAAAGAATTAGGCATACATATTGGAAAGTAAGAAATAAAGTCACTGTTCACTTAGGACCTGATGGTCTATGTAGAACAAAGACAGAAGTTCTAAAAAGCTTGCAAAATACAAGATCAACATACAGAAGACAGTTATAAGTCTGTATACTAACAATAAACCATTAGAAATTAAAATTTTTAAAAGTATTTACAGTAGCTCCGAAACATGAAATACTTGAGTATAAATCTAACAATACATATGAAAGATTTTAAGGCTAAAACCTACTATACAGTAATAGAGGAAATTAAAGAAAACCTTAATAAATGAAGGGATAGACGTTAGTTATGGTTTGGAAGATTCAATATAATAGTCAATTCTCTGTAATTTATCTAAATTCAGCACAATCCCAATAAAAATCCCAGCAGAACTTTTTGTATAAATTAAACTGATTCTAAACTTTATATGGGAAAACAAAATAACTAGAATAGTGAAAATAATTTTGAAAAAAATTGGTGGATTCACTCTACCTGATGTTAAGACTATATAAAGCATACTTAAGGCATATAATTAAGACAATGTGGTATATGTGAAAGAATAGCCATATAGAACAATGGAATCGAATACTGAATCCAGAATTAGATGCTTGCCAATATATCCAGTTGATGTCCTTCAGGTGTACAGGTATACAAACAACTCAGTGGAAAAACAATAATCTTTTCAACAAATGGTATAGCACAATTAGACGTCCACGTGCCCCCCCCAAAAAAAACAAAAACAAAAAGGAAACTTGACCGAAGTTAGCACCAGAAGCCAACGTTTATTCAAAATGGATCATAGAGATCCAATAATTCCACTACTGGGCATACCCAAAGAAAACAAAAACACTAATTTGAAAAGATATATGCACTCCTTTATTGCAGCATTATTTACAATAGTTGAGATACAGAAGCAACCTAAGTGGCCATCAATAGATGAATGTCTAAAGAAGGTGTGTTGTATGCACACACACACACACACACACACAGAGGAATGTTACACAGCCATAAAAAGGGGTGAGATTTTGCCATTTACAAAAACACGGATAGACCTAGAGGGTATTATGCCAAGTGAAATAAGTCAGACTGAGACAGACAGATTCCATATGATTCCATTCATATGGGAATCTAAAAAACAAAACAAATGAAGAAACAAACAAAAGCAGAATCAGACCTATAAATAAAGCAAACTGATGGTTGCCAGAGGAAAGAGAGGTGGGCGATGAACAAAATCGGTAAAGGGGAGTGAGAGATACAGACTTACCATTACAGAATGAATGAGTCATGGAAATAAAATGTACAGTATAGGAAATGTAGTCAATGATATTGTATAGTGACAAGTGGTAGCTACATTTGTGGTGAGTATAGCATAACATGTAGAGATGGTGAATCACTATGTTATACATAACCTGAAACTAAGGTAACATGTGTCAACTATACTCAAATTTCAAGAAATTTAAAAAATTAATAAAATTTAGGGGAAAAAATGGCCCACAGATTTACATGTAAAACCTAAAACTGTAAGACTTTTGCAAGAAAACAAACAAAATATTTGTGACCTAGCCAAAGATTTCTTAAATACCACCCATAAAGCATGATCTTTTAAAGAAAAAAAAAATTTGGATGTTCCAAACTCAAAACTTCTGGTCTGCAGAAGAACTGTTAAAAGAATGGGAAAAAGTAAGTGACAGACTAGGAGAAAATATTTGCAAAGCACATATCTAATGATGGACTTTTATCTATGATACATAAAGAATTCTCAAAGCTTAATAACTAGAAAACAAAAACAATTTTTAAAAAAATGAACAAAATATTTGAGTAGACCTATTTCAATAAACATGATATATGGATGGCAAAAAAGTACATGAAAAGTTTCTCAATATAATTAGTAATTGCAGAAATGCAATTTAAAACCACAAAGAGATACCACTAAACACCTATTAGAATGACTGAAATTAAAAACAAATGACTAATACCAAGTACCAGCAACGATATAAAGCAATTGGAACTTTCATATATTGCTGGTAAGAATAAAAGTGGTATGACCATTTTGGAACCTATTTTTACATTTATTATAAAGTTAAACATATATTTACCATACAGCTCATCAATCCAAGTAAAATGAAAACATGCTTGCATAGAAACTTGTATGAGAATATTCAGCTGCCTTAGTTATAATCACCCCAGACTGGAAACAACCACTTGTCCTTCAACTGGTGAAATGGATTAAAAAAACAATGGTACATCCATATAGTGGAATACTACTCAGCAATAAAAAGGAGTGAGCGCTAATCCATGCAGCAACAGGAATGAATCTCAAAGGCATTATGCTAAGTGAAATAAGCCATACTCAGTGGCAGTGATCCCATTATGACATTCTGGAAAAGCAGCTGTATAGAGATAGCAAACAGATCGGTGTTGGGCTGGTTGGTGAAGGTGGTTGTGGGGGTGGGTAGGGTTGATTCCAGAGTGGCATGAGGACATGTTGGGGGGTAATGGAACTTGTCTGGGTCTTTATTGTGGTAATTTCATGATTATTTGCATTATTTGCTGGATACTGGAAAGGGTGACGTTTACTGTATGTGAGCTGTGTCTAGCCAACATGAAGAAGCCATTGCCGGTAACAGCAGCTTAGCACAACAGTGCGAAAGTCAGGGAACCTCAAGTCAGGAGAATGTGATTTGAAAAGAAATATTAAAGAGAGAGAGAGACTTACAGACCTGTGGAAGAGTAGCAAGAAGTCAAGCATACATGCTGTTGGAGTGTCAGAAAGAGAGGAGAAAGAACAGGATAGACAACGATTTGAATAAATATTGGCCAAATATTAACCACATTTGTCCCAAAACAGTAACGTCACAGAACCAAGAAAGTCCGTGACCCCAGCAGGATAAATACACTGTTTTCATTTACCAAGGAACCCCCACTAAACTAAACGCATCAGGGTGAAACTACTGAAAACAAAAGGTGTGCGAGGAGAAGCAGTCAGGGAGAGGGGAGAATAAACGCACGTCACACTGTCCCCCCTGCCCCCGCCCCAGTGTGAGTGACAGCTGACTTGTCCTGAGCAACGGTGGAGACTGGAAGACAGCATCTGCTAGTGTGCTGGAAACACTTAATCTAGAATTCTCCGTCAAGGAGAACTCTTTCAAAACTGAAGATGAGGAAATGAAACATTTGGAGATAAACCCAGGCCAAGAGAATCACGGGCCGACCTGCACTATAGGAATTGCTACGGAAGTTCCTCAGGCTGCGGGAGAGTCAGAATCCCTGGGAGCAGGGGAAGAACAGTCCTCTGGTTGAAAAGGCTGTCCACTCTCTGGCCCTTATCTCTTGCTCAGATTTAATGTCCTAAGATGTTCTGTTGTACTCACTGCCCAGCCCTGTGGTTTTTGTCTTTGTTTCCAAATTCTCCCAAGCCCATTAATCGATTCTGAAATCAGTCTGTCGGGTCATGAGCAGTAGTTTACCTCTTAAGAGGTAGAGTGGAATGGGAAATAGCACAGCCCGCTGGTATGAGGCTAACTTGTGTTTCAGGCCTGTGCGCTCATATACTGGTTTACAGGGTAAAAGGTGTTGTTTGAGCTCTGGGTTGCAGGCCAAGATGTTTGGAAAACACTGCCCTAACTCCATTGGCCTTTGCATTTCTTGAACATCCCAGTTTGTGTATGTTGTTGCTACCTGAGCACTTCCTTTTTGCCTATCTTTGCATGGCTACCTGCTTTTCAACTTGCAAATTTGAGCTCAAGTATTGCCTGCTCAGGAGGGTTTTTCCCACCTTTCTAGAAAAGCAGGGTATGCAATCAGTGTCAACATGACCTTCCAAAAGTCCCTAGAGCAAAGGAGGATCAAAACTTGCTCTTGAACTTACCCCAGATTTGTATGTGGCAGTCAGGCCTTTCTCAAACCTTGTCAGGAACGGGAAAAAATGTAGGAAGGCCAATAAATTATAATGCTAGTCTTTTCTAGATGGAAAAAAGTTATTCGATTTCTCTAAATCTGTTTCCCTGGAGTTAAAATGTACATACGTATGCAAGTTTCTTGGGTGTCTTTGTTTTTTTTCTTTCTTTTATTTAATACCTTGCCTTTCATTCCTTGTATGTTTCTTCCCGCTGGGAATTATTAGCTTGTATATTTTTTCTGCTCCTATGTTAGAGCAGCTTTCCATTAATTCTGGACTTTCTCCACTTTTCAGTGGTCAAATGTGATTATCCTGTAATTGAACATGGAAGACTGGTATCAGGAATCAGAGACAAATATTCCTACCAAGCAGTGGTTCTATTTGAATGCATCCCAGGCTTCTATCTTAATGGCAGCAACCCAGTGTTCTGTGGTGGGAGAAGTACTTGGGAGCCTGCGATGCCAAAATGTATCAGAGGTACAAATGTCTTTTTCCATCTTTTTGTGTTAGCTTTTATTTCTTCTTCCATATCATTCAATATCAATGATACTGATTCATTGAAAAGAGGAAATTTTACTACTTAACTCTGTCTTGTATTTATTTCCATGATGGAGGCATGAGATAATATCTGTGTTGTGATTTTGTAAGTTTTCATAGGGTCTTAACAGGGCATGTATATCACACAGGTGTATAAATTTCTCTTTTGTAGTATTTGTAAGAATGCATAGCGACCACTTTTAGAATAGATTGAAGCATGAGAATTTTTACATGAATAAGTCAAGAATGAAAGGCATAAATCATATAAAAGAAAGCAGTAATTCCCAAGTAGTTGATCCTACATTATTTGGTTTTTCAGTATCGGTTTCTCCCAATGTAAAACCTCCAATTTTGAGTCATTCAGATTAGTACTTTCCTGCTTATATTTAACAAAAATCCTTTTCGGTTGTTTTACACTCATTCATCATTTTTAGTAATGAAAGAATGAAGGACATGTTTATAGCCATTTTAGTTGTTATGTATAGTTATTCTAAAATTATTTGGCATAGTCCGCAGATATAAAGACGTATGTAAATTGGGCAAGTTACACAAAGTGTAAGTGGGATGCATTTAGCACTTAGCACGGTGCCTGGCATATAGGAAGCTCCTAAAGGTAGCTCATATGACTTATTGCATCATTCAAATTATTATTAGTAAAGAGGAAGGTCTGTGGCTTCTATTTTTTAACATGTCATTGACTTTGCTGTTTATTCCTTTTAAAGGTGATCTCTTGGCTCCTTTAGGGTATCTTCCTGGTCCAGGACTATGTCTCAATTGCAGGACTGCAACCAGTTTAGTGTTTTTTGTTTTTGTTTTTATGTAACACAATTTAAACTGGGAAATTTCTGCTATCTCCAGTAAAAGACCTGAATGTCTTCCCTCACCCCCACCCCTTCCCGCTTCATATATTGGGCATTTATTTTTATTTGGCAATTGTACCTAAATTTCATAGCAACCAAAAGACAGGAAAAATCCTTATTCATTGAAATGAAATGGAGGATTTCTTGCAGGGACTGTTTGTCAGCTACTCTACTTAAGACTTGAAAGCTGATTTTGCTATAACAGAAGGCAATATCTTCCTGATTTCAGTGCTGCTATCTCTGGTCTCTCTTTGCCTCAGAAAGGAAGAGACAACAGGAGTATGGGAGGAGCATTAGCCTGCACTGACCTCATCAGGGTCCTAGTTGGGCTCTGCTTACTCAAGTAACCTTATTTCTGTGGACTTTACTGTTTCACGAAGGTGTTGAACTCAAACAGATCATGAATACTGGCTTTTAATTTGTTTGTATATTTCCTATGGCCATATTATTTTAAAGGATTTGGGAAAATTAAGCATATTAACATGGTAATGAGAATACTTCTTTTTATAATTCCTGTAAACCTAGTATCTGATAGCCTCCTTGTGTACTTTAGTTGAGTGCTGTGAGGTTTGGAGGGAAAGAAATGGTTTTTTGGTGGACTGATATATTAAGCTTGCATATGAAATTCATACTCCTTGACTCATCCATGTTTACTCACATGGTCCTGGTGGCTATATGCCTGTGCTGTACTATGTGTGTTGATATGCTCTTTTGAAGGACTTGAACCATAAACATTTCATAAAGGATTTATAAAACACTGATAGAGTTTAGTTTTGGTTTTAAGATTTTATTTACTTATTTGAGAGAGAGAGAGAAATCACAAGCGGGGCGAGGGCAGAGAGAAAGGGAGAAGAAGCAGGCTCCCCGCTGAGCAAGGAGCCTGATGTGGGCAAGATCCCAGGACCCTGAGATCATGTCCTGAGCCAAAGGCAGACGCTTAACGGACTGAGCCACCCAGGCGGCCTTAGAGTTTAGTTTTTGAAAGAATTGTGAGAAGAAGCTTATGAAGAGAAGAAACTACAGTGGTCTTTTTTTAAAAATAAAAATCAAAACTCTCCATGGGATTGTCAATCATTTTTTATCATCGGTTAGAGAAAGACTATATCAAAAGGATCAGCAACATATAATGGTGTTAAGGCAGATCTAAATGTGCAAATATTTTTTAAAGGGCCCAAGAAATACTAGGGAGAAAAGAAAAAGATATAACTTTTTATGTAGTGTGATACTACTTGGATGATATATTTTTTTTAAGATATGTATGTTTACTCTGAACACATTATTTTTATGATTTACTATCAGTTAACTTCTAGGATTTCCATATAAAATACAAAGTTGTAGTGAACATTCTTATATATACATGCTTATATACTTGTGCAAATACATATTAGGTTAAATTCCCAGAAGTAGAATTGCAAAGTTTGGAAAGCATGTGTATTTTTCATTTTAAGAAATAATGAATCTTTTTAAAAAATAAAAAATCAACATTAAATCCATAATTTTATATTGATAAGGCTGGTGAATTGAATCAAATTTATTTTTTCCAGGTTTCAAGCCTACTCATCCAACCAAACCTCCAGTTTTAAAGTATCCAGGCACAGTAATTCTTTCTCTTGCTTATATTGTTAACAACTTTATAAGGTGATGAGTACAAAGTTATGTCTTATTCTAATTTGCATTTCTTTAATTATCAATGAAGCTGAACTTTTTTTTGGTCTACATTGATTTATCCATACCCTTTGCTCATTTTTTAAAATTAGTTTTCTAAAATATTTTTCTTGTTGATTTGTGAGAGCTCATTATAAGTTAAAGCCCTTTTAATATGAAGTGGACATTTTTTCAGGGGTTTTTTCGCCTTATTTTCACTAGTCTGTTTTCTTTTAAGGTTTTTTATTGTATGCTATTAATTATAGATTGCTTTTTTTAAAGATTTTATCTATTTATTTGAGGGGGGGAGAGTGTGCACGAGGAGGGGGTGGGGCAGAGGGAGAGGGAGAAGCAGGAGCTTAGCAGGGAGCCTGACTCTATCCCCGGACCCCGGGATCATGACCGCAGCCAAAGGCAGACACTTAACTGAGCCATCCAGGTGCCCCTAGATTGCTTTTTATAACTTTTTGTTGCATGAGTGGTATATGAATATATTTTTGTAAATTTTCAAACATTGTGAAAGTCTATGAGTAAAGAATTATCCTTCTTTTTCTCTAGTCTACTACCTGAATTAATCACTGTTAATAGTTTAGGCTATTTCATTTCTGTACATCAGCACCCTTAGATGTGTAGTTATACATATAGCTGGATATTTTTTTTTATGTTAAACAAAATTGACATCATATTGTATATATTTTTTTGAAACTTGCACTTTTTCCATTTAATGTTTTATATTGGGGTTATATTTAGATTTACTGCCATTCTTTTCAATGATGACTTTGCAATATGTACCGTATTTATTTATTTCACTATTCTGTTAGTGGTCTTCTACATGTGTAGAAATTTTACATCAATAGGTAGATGAATTAATAGATGTAACGATCTTTTCCCTAATGGCTATGTGTGTTGTGTCTTTCTTATAAAAGCTTTAGGTCTTCCTCATGCTACAACTTTATAAACATTTTAATCATGAGTTCTGATTGCAGTCTTTGTAATGAAATCATTAATGCATCTGCAAATCATTATGGCATATGGAGTGAGATCGAGTTTCTTTCCACCTCACCCACACCTACCCAGTGGCAAAGTGCAACATTTGTTGACTAAGTTGTTCTTTCTCCAACTGTTTTCAAGTGCCAATTGTTTTGTCATTAAATTCATAGGTGTTCTAGTCATCTTTGTTTCCTTGAACTCTGACCATTCTCCTGACAGTACTGAATCATTTTTTTCCACTCTAATACTATGATCTGTTTTAATATCTGGCAGACTACTTCCTTTTCAGAAATGTTCAGACTGTTCTGTTAATTTTTCTAGGTAAACTTTTATTATATTTTATTACTATTTTTTTAAAAGATTTTATTTATTTGAGAGAGAGAATGAGAGAGAGAGAGCACATGAGAGGGGGGAGGGTCAGAGGGAGAAGCAGACCCCCTGCTGAGCAAGGAGCCCGATATGGTACTCGATCCCGGGACTCCAGGATCATGACCTGAGCCGAAGGCAGTTGCTTAACCAACTGAGCCACCCAGGCGCCCCTATTTTATTACTATTTTAACCATTTTAAGTATACACTTCACTTGGCATTATTGTATCCACATTGTTTGTAACCATCACTACTATCAACTTTTTCATAGTCTCAAATTGAAACATTATACTCATTAAACAATAACTCTCAATTCCTCCCCCCCAGCCGTGGTAAACATTCTGTTTTCTGTCTTTATGCATTTGACTAGTCTAGGTACTTCATAGAAATGGAATTATTTCTGCCTCATTTCACTTAGCATAATGTTTTCAAGGTTCATCCACCTTGTAGCATGTATCAGAACTTTATTCCTTTTTATGGCTGAATAATATTACATTGCCTTTTATATTTTGTTTATTCATTCATCTGTTGATAGACATTTGGGTTGTTTCCATATTTTGGCTACTCTAGTAATATTTCTCTGAATATTGGCTTTCAAGTGTTTGAATCCTGTTCTCAGTGGTAAACTTGAAATTGAAAATTTTCTATTTTGAGTCCCTGTTAGCAGTTTTGGGGTGCTGTATACCTAGGGGTAGAATTGCTGGTTATATGATAATTCGATGTTTACATTTTTGAGGAACAACCATATTGTCTTCCATAGTGGATGTACATTTTACATTCCCACCAGCAATGCACAAGAGTTCCAATTTCTTCACCTCTGCCAACACATATTATTTTCTGCTTTTTGATAATAACCATCATAATGTATGTTAGGTAATATATGAGGTAGAATCTCATTGTGGTTTTTATTTGCATTTCCCTAACAATTAGTAATGTGTTGCACAACTTTTCCTGTGCTTATTGACCACCTGTATATCTTTTTTGGAGAAATCTCTATTCAAGTCCTTTGTCCATTTTTGATGGGTTGTGGTTCTTTTGGTTTTGTTTTTGAGTTTTAGGAGTTCATTTTATATTTTGGATATTAATCCCTTATTATATGAGTTTCAGATACTTTCTCCCATTCTGTTGGTTGCTTTCTCACTCTATTGTTAGTGTTCTTCAATGTTCAAAAGTTTTTAGGTTTGATGTAGTCTAAGTTATGTTTTTTCTTTTGTTGCTTATGCTTTTGGTGTCACATTCAATAAATCATTGCCAGATCCAACATCATGAAGCAAGTAGTCTTATTTTCTTCTAAGGGTTTTATAGTTTTAGATCTCTAGGGTCTTTGATCCATTTTGAATTAAGGGTCTTTGATCCATTTTGTATTTAGTGAATGGCAAGGGTAAAAATTCATCCTTTTGTGTATGTGGTTATCCAGTTTTCAAAACCATTTGTGAAAAAGACTGCTCTTTTCCTGTTGAATGTTGTCAGCACCCTTGTGGAGAATTACTTAACTATATAACCAAAGATTTATTTTGTGGCTTCTACTCCATTGGTCTGTAGGTCTGTCTTTATGCCAGCACCATTCTGGTTTGGCTATTGTAGCTTTATAGTAAGTTTTGAAATCAGGAAGTGTGAATCCTTTCAACTTTGCTTTCTCTTTTCATGGTTGCCTAGTCCCTTGAGATTCTGTATGAATTTTCAGATGGATTTTTCTTTTTCTGCAAAGAGCATCATTAGGATTTTGATAGGGGTTGCACTTCATCTGTAGACTGTATCATATTTACATTTTAACATTAGTAGGTCCTCCAATCCACAAACACAGGGATTGCTTTCCCTTTATTTCTGTCTTTTTAAATTTCTTTCTGCAATATTTTATAGTTTTCAGTGTACAAATCTTTTACCTCCTTTGTCATGTTTATTCCAAAGTCTTTTACTCTTTTTGATTCAACTATAAATGGAATTGTTTTCTTAATTTCCTTTTTAAAAAAGATTGCTTATTGTTAGTGTGTAGAAATGCAATTGATTTTCACATGTCGATTTTGTATCCTGAAACTTTACTGAATTCATTTATTAGTTCTACCAGACCTGTGGTGTGTGTGTGTGCGTGTGTGTGTAATCTTTAACGTTTTCTATGTAAAAGATCATGTCACCTATGAACAGAGATCATTTTATTTCTTCCCAATTTAAATGCTTTTTATTTCTTTTTTAACTAATTGTTCTGATATGAACTTGCAATATTATGTTGAATAGAAGTGGCAAACACAGGCACCCTGTCCTGTTCCTGATCTTAACGAAAAACTTTAGTCTTTTGCCATTAAATATGATGTTGGCCATGCGTTTTTCTTAAGTGGCTTTTGTTACGTTGAAGATTCTTTCTGTTCCAGATCAACTTCTAAATTGTTTTGAAGTCCTCCTCTACTTCTGATTTTAGTCATTTTACTAATTTCCTTAGTAACAAACCCTAAATTCTACAATGTGTAGAATCATGTTGAATTCAGGCTAATTTTGAGGATATAGTAGTGATAAATTTGCTTCCTCTACCACAGAATATTGTCACAGGAAATATCAGTGGACAGGAAGAAGATTGTTGATGACATCAAATATAAACTTACAATTTATGATACCACTTTTATGGACAAACATTAAGGAAAATGAAGTTATAAATAGTTTTATACAAAGGCAAAAAATAAAACCAGTGAATTTATGGATCTTTAAGCTTTAGTCTGTCTTTCTTTTTTAACTTATTTCCATTTTTTTCCCTAGGCTATCCTGAGCCCAACGACCCACTAACATTTGAAGACTTTGAGGAATTAGGTATTATTTTGGCTACTAATTACTCTGCATTATGAGGCCTTGGAGTTCTACATGGACATATCTATTGTGTTTCAATCATTTGTAGTTAAGGAAGGAACAAAGTTTCACAAAATTTGACATTTCTAGTTTAAATTTTAGTAGTCCAGATAACACGATAAACGTAAGTGGTACTGTGTATGGAGATGTGTAGGTAATTTCCTCTAATCTAGGGAATTCTGATAGTCCTGGTAAGCTTTACTAAATAACCTGGTGCAGTACCGACAGCACAAAACAATGAAAAGTCAGGTTCCAGTGAAGAGTTTCACAAGATGGATCCTAAACCTGGAATCTGATTAGAAGGGTTCTATGATCAGAATGAGCTGGACACACTAGTGCTCACGCTAAAACTAGACCGAGGAGCAACTTCTTTGCAGTAGCGTATAGATGATCTGATCAGAATTAAATGGAACTACCCTCTGGGACCCTTGTATGCTCAGTCTTCAGACTCTTTTCATTTTTTCTCAGACGCAGGAATCATTGCTGTGATTGTTCTTACTATTCGTAAGTAGCCTGAATATTGATGCCACTTAATCAAAATCTGACTGCAAAGAATTGCATTATTTTTTTTAAGATTTTATTTATTTATTTATTTATTTATTTATTTATTTATTTATTTATTTGTCAGAAGAGAGCATGTGCACACAAACAGGGGAAGGGGCAGGCAGAGCAGACAGAGGGAGAAGCAGGCTCCCCACTGAGCAGGGTGCCCAATGCAGGACTCCATCCCAGGAACCCCGGGGATCATGACCTGAGCCGAAGGCAAACGCTTAACCGACTGAGCCACCCAGGCACCCCTAGAAGTGCATTATTTTTTAAATGAACTTCTCAGTTTCTATAGTTTATATAGCTTGAAATGAAGTCCACCAGTCTAGAATAGCCTGACCTTGTATATGATACACTACATTTTGCTGGTGAATGTATATTCTTTTATACTGTACATGTCCGCTTATTAACAAACCCTAAATACTACAATATGTTTTCAGGATGACTGGTCATGAGTTTGCATCCCAAAGATGCTTTGGGTAATTTTCTAAACTAAGCAAGGATTCTTCTCTGGCTTCCTGTGGACTATTCAAGTGACTCCAGGGAATGGGCTTTAGATAGTAAAAGAGTCCAGATGAATAGACATGTGCTTAAATAAAATAACATTTTCTAACTACTGAAATGCAACCAACACTTACTTATTTCTGCTGCTAAATTTTGAATCTTGACAAGCAGCTCTCAGAGTTTTATGTCCTTTGTTTCCTGGTCTCTTGCAGTTGTTGGCCTTGCAGTACTTTGCACCTGCCTGTATAGATGTTTTCAAAGGGAGAAGAAAGGGTAAATAAAAGCATATTCTTTCTAACTAACTCATGGTCCTTCTCACTCTTGATGTTATTTTGTGCAGCTTTTCTGTTTGTCCTGCATACCGTCTTTTTTTTGAAACTGTGCCTGCATGAGCGCACCATCCTGGTTGCATGTGTTTACTGAAACGACCTCAGGTTGCTCTTACTGCCCCTGAAGTCAGAGGACTCTGTGCAGAGTGGCCGTGGCTATTAGGACTGCAAGAAACGTTTCTGTGGGATTTGAGAGTTAGGTTCTGTAGCAAATCACGGACCATTATGGGGCCTTCCCCACCCAGCTTTACCCTGTGTCCTACACTGGACTGGTGGCCAAGATGAAATTTAGAATGGCTCACTGTGGAGGCTTAGACAGTTGTATTTGTCGGAATTTGTATGATGAAAGTTTCCATTTGTCTGTGTAACTTAGGTAATTGTAAGAAGCTACGTAGGTTCTCATTCACATACCCAATTTGATTTGTTTTTATGTAGAGTTGTTACTTATACTTGCTGAACTGGGGAAGGAAAAACAACACTATTTGATTTCCCTCTTATGTTCTCTTAATTTACTAGGCTGCAGTAAAACTGATGGGATTAAACTAAACATTACTGAGGGTTAAGATTTACAAGGCACCTCATTAACTTTATCTTTGTTTTTTCTATAAAACTGAAAAAAGGGGGGCTTATAATAGAAAACATGTGTACAAGTATCTAGGGAAAATAGGTTTTTAAACATCAAACTTAAATTTTAATGAAATGTCTTTCAATTTAGTAAAAGACTTAGAACAAATCCTAGAGCATAGACCAAGATTGGGTGCTTTGAAACTGCTGATTTTTTAGTGATTTTTAGTCATTTTCTTTCCCTATAGCTTTGAAAATAGCTTTAACATCAAACCTAATAATTTTAGGGACACCTGGGTGGCTCAGTCGGTGAAGCGTCTGCCTTCGGCTCAGCTCATGATCCCAGGCTCCTGGGATCGAGTCCCGCATCAGGCTCTCTGCTTGGCGGGGAGCCTGCTTCTCCTTCTCCCTCTGCCTGCCACTCACCCTGCTTGTGTTCTCTCACTCTCTCTGACAAATAAATAAAATTTTTAAAAAACTAATAATTTTAGGGCTCTTGGTATTCATGGTTTGTGATATATTTTGCCTTTATATTAATCCTCTGGTTTAGGCTATGTAAAAAAAGTACATTCGTTACACATAAAGAACTCAAACTTTTTCTATTATTGGTTATCTTTTTTAAACCACAATGCCTTTGTTTGAATCTTCAATCTTATATTTGTAGAACACATGATATGCATTTTGGATTTCTCAATCAGTAGTACATTTTTTAAGTCACATATACACAATAGCGTGGGTAGGGAATATTGTCAGTAGAATAATTTTACAAGTCCAAAAGTTTTGTATAGAAATAAATTCTCAAGAAAGGAAAACAAAATAGCTTTCTGCTCCTTACTTTCCTTTTTTGTTTAAATTCTCTGCATCAAAATACTTACTGGGTCCTTAACAAGTATTACTCAAACTCTCCCTAGCTACCAATTAGTGGGTCTTGTAACCTGAGCCTCTCGTTTAACATGGCAACATAAGAGGATCCTGAACTCACCTCCTCTCATACACATGGAACCTACAGCTGCATATAAAACAGTTCCCTCTGAAAGAAATCTGAAAACTAACTTGATGGACTCCTACACATTGGGTGGATAAAAAACCCACATCAAGGGGCACCTGGCTGGCTCAGTTGGTGGACCATCTGACTCTTGATCTTGGGGTTGTGAATTCAAGCCCCACATGGAGCATGGAGCCTGCTTTAAAAAACAAAACAAAACAAAAATGCACATCAAAATGGGTAGGAGAGACCGAGATAGTAGCTCATCATAAAATCCTCCCCAAACGTGCTAACCCACAGTCAGGCGGGAACTCACAACTCTGAGCTTCTTCCTGGAAAGCAAAATGTTTGAACCCCACATCTGGCACCCCATCTTTTAAGACTTGCACCTGAGAGATAGGTCCACAAAACATCTAGCTTGAAAGCCAATGGGGCTTATGTCTACGAGGCTATAACGAATCGAGAAACAGTTCTTAAAGTGCCCATGTGGATTTACTTTGGCTAACCCCCCAGGTACAGAGGAGAGGCAGCTGACTGAAACGCCTGGTCTTTCCGTGAAAGAGACCTATTTGCTTGTGTTAAAAGCTTTGGGCTGAAGGGCAGGTATCTAATGTCACACACACCTAGGACCCAACGGAAATATTCTTCAAAGCTCATGGAGGCTGGAGGGCCCCATCTCCCTCCGGTCCCTCTGCCTGGCTCTCAGCTGCTGGTATCTTTCAGAAGGGAGCTTGTGCCCAAATCCGGGGCTCTGATGTTTATAGCTGCCACCCAGGGAACACCCCTTGATCGCCTGGCACTGGGACCATAACAGAGAAGGAGCTGTTAACTGGCCATGCCCCAGGACACAGCGCACAGGCAGCAGTCTGAAATGCGCCCCCAGTCTTTCTGGAAAGGAGGCCTATTAGCATATCTTCGTCGCTGAGGCCTGAGGGACAGGCTTCTATCGAAACACACGGCTGGCTGTGGTCCTTTCCAGAGACCTCGGAGAGCCCGCGCTATCTTCCACCGTCCCTCTGCTGGACTCCACATTGCTAGGAGTTCGTGCACCTGTCTGGTGGCCTGCGGGCCTTACATCTGCAGGTCACACGGGGCTGTAACAAATGGAGAAACAGCTGTCAACTGCTGCCCAGTCCAGGACGTAGCACAGAGGTGGCCGACTGAAGTCATGCCAGTCTTTCTACGACAGGCCTTTTAGCTTATCTGCAGAGCTGTGGCCTAAGCAACAGGCTTCTAATGAAAGACACGTGGGGGAGCCCAGGACAAATCCTTTCCAGAGACTGAAAGACTGACAGGCACCATCTTCGAACTCTCCTTCTACCCTGCCCCAGGTTGTCCGTGTCTCTGGGAAAGGACCTTATGTACACGGCTGACACCCCAGCTTTTGTGGCTACTACGCACAGGACACATCCCCTGATAACCGGCCCTGGAGGTCGGCGGGACGGTAGCAAAGGAACAGTTCTTAACTGACTGTCACCACAGGGCCCAGTGCAGAGGGAGCACACAGAAACGTCCATTGCCCAGTGTTCCCCCGAAAGAGGTATATTTGCATGCTTTGTAAGCCGGCACCTGAGCGGCTGGCTTCCAACCAGCCTATGTGCTGACTGGGATCTTCCTCTCCAGGACACTGAGCATTCTTGACACACCCTCAACTCCTGAGAGCCACTGACAACAAAGTAGGCTGCTAGGACAATCCCAAAGGTTTGAGAGACAACCAAGAGCTAGGGCAGGGTTGAACAGTAAGTTATATCCCCTACACCAAGATGCTGCTTTAGGACTGGGAGAGCTGTTTTATTGAATGCCTAGAAACCAACAAGGTCAAGGAAAATGAAGAAACAAAGGAATATGTTCCAAGTGAAAGAACAAGATAAAGCCTCGGAAAAAGGTCATAGTGAAATGGAATTAGTGATTTACCTGTTCATCAATAGATGAGTGGATAATGAAACAGTGGTACATATGCAATAGGATATTATTCAGCCATAAAAAAAAGGAGGAAATCTTGCTATTTGTGACAACATGGATGGACGTAGAGGGCATTTTGCTAAGTGCGGTAAGACCGAGCACACAAATAGCATATGATCTCACTTACATGTGGTCTCTTAAAAAAAAAAAATACAACAACAACTAGATACAGGGAACAGATTAGTGGTTGCCGAGGCGGGTGGCAGGGGTGGGTGAGATGGGTGAAGGAGGTCAAAAAGGTACAAACTTCCAGTTACAAAGAGGTCACAGAATGTAATGCACAGCATGGTAATATGGTTAATAATACTGTATTGTATATTTGAAAGTTGCTAAGAGTAGATCTTAAAAGTTTTCATAACAAGAAAAAAATATTTTAACTGTATGGTGATGGATGTTAACTAGATTTATTCATGGCAATAATTTTGCAGATTTACAAATCTCACATGATTGTGTTGTATACCTAAAACTAATATATCTAAATTATACCTCAATTTTTCTTTAAAAAGGGCAAACAATATGAATACACATTCTTCCAAAGAAGACATAGAAATTGCCAACAGGTGTATGAAAAGATGCTCAACATCACTAAACATCTGGGAAATGCAAATCAAAACCACCAAGAGATTATCATCTCACAACTGTTAGAATGGCTATTGTCAAAAATATATGACAGTAGTTGGCGAGGATCATGAAAAAGGGGAACCCTTGTGCACTATTGGTGGGAATGTAAATTAGTGTACCATATGGAAAATAGTATGGAAGTTCCTGAAAAAATTAAAAATAGAGTTAACTTACCCATCAATTCCATTTATGGGTATTTATCTTTATTTTATTTTATTTTTTTTTAAAGATTTTATTTATTTATTCATGAGAGACAGAGAGAGAGACAGAGGCAGAGGGAGAAGCAGGCTCCCCGTGGAGCAGGGAGCCCGATGAGGGACTCGATCCCAGGACCCTGGGATCATGACCTGAGCCGAAGGCAGACGCTTAACCGACTGAGCCACCCAGGCGTCCCTATGGGTATTTATCTTAAGGAGAGGATATCACTGTTTTGAAAATATGTCTGCACACCAGTGTTCTTTGCAACATTATTTACAATAAGATACGAAAATGACCTAAATGTCCATCAATGAATAAATGGATAAAGAAAATATGGTACATATATATATATATACACACTGTTAAATGAAAATATGGTGTCTGTGTATATACTATATATATATTATGGAATATTGTACATATAAATATATAATGGAATATTATATATAGTTGTATAACCCATTATATAGATTCCATCATCTGATGATATATTATCCAGTCATAAAAAAAGAAATCCTGCCATTTGTGACAACATGGATGGACCTTCAAGCATTATGCCAAGTGAAATAAATCAGAGAAAGACAAATACTTTATGATATCACTTATATGTGGAACCTTAAAAAAATGGACTCATAGATACAGAGAAAAGTTTAGTGGATGCTGGAGATGGGGCGGGGTGGGGAAGGATGGGGTAAATGGGTGTTAGTTGCATTGAGTGAAGGTGGCCAAAAGGTACAGACTTCCAGTTTGTAGGATGTACTGGATCGCTGAGATTTAATTTACAGAATGGTGACTATAGTTAATAATACTGTATGACACGTTTGAAAGTTGCTAAGGGAACCCATCTGTAAAGTGTTTGTCACACACACACAATATATGTGTAACTGTGTGGTGATGGATGTTAACTAAACTTATTGTGATCATTTTGCAATATGTACGTTTCTCAAATTATGTGTCCATCTAAAGCTAAAACAATGGTCTATGTCGATTATCTTTCAATTTTTTTTAAAGGCCATACGTTACCACTTACCATCCAAATTTTCTTTGTAAACAGAAAATTGCAATAATAAAATTTTAAAATATTTTCAGAAAATATATCTTTAACCAGTGCAATGTAATTAATTCTATATATAATAGCATAATTTGGAGGGAAAAGAGTTAAAAAAATAGTGTGCGAGGGGAAATTCATAAATGCCTATGAGCTAATTTACAAAGTATATAGAAATCTTTTAGGATATATATTACCCCTTTCCTGACAGGAACATACTCAGTTAGAAATTCAGTATTATAGAATGGCTTTAATCAATTTTAGATTCTCTATAGATTATTTCACGTCAAGACATCGAACTATCTTATCTAACTCTTTAGGTTCTATGTTGTTTCAAAGCTGAAGTCTCTCTAATGCGGGTTGGTGGTATACCTTTCTCCTTTAGAATCTAGAGCAATGCTTCTCTAATGTTCATGTGCACACTAATCACCTGGGATCTTGTTAAAATGCAGATTCTGAATCATTAAGTCTGGTGCAGTGCCTGGTGTTTTCAGTCTATCATGAGCGCCCAGCGATGTTGCTGCTCCCCTGGGCTACACTCTGAGTAACCAGAGGGGCTGGCTTTATGGATATGCTCACATTCTTGAAATTTGAAGAAACACCATAAAGCTTGGAAAAATTTTTCTCCTGTTCAAGATAATTGGACTTTTTAAAGATTTCCTATGAGTTTGTTTTGAAAGAGAGAGGGCTAATCTTTACCTTTACTTGCTGTGTTTAAAAAAGTAAAGATTTCTGTTAGATTCTTTGCCCTGCTTAATGTCCCTCACCTTCCTCCCTGAAACGGAGTGGTGTTGCCTTAGAAACTTCCTTATGAAACTGTAAAGTATGCAGTAACTGCTGTATTCCTAGGGGGTAGCTCTGGAAGCAGGGCACTAGGCACAGACCGTCCCAAATTGCTGCCAAAACTTGGTACAAAATGGATTTTGATTTAAACTTGTATTTGTGATGACTTGGGAACACAGTTACCCTTCCGTGACCTCCATCCCACAGTACAAACATCGTGTAAGTCGTCATTTTTCAGGCCATCAAACGGCTCTGAACGATTTGATGAACGTGGCCCCACGCTGAAGGGTTCTGCGAGAGTTGTCTGTTCCTTAGTCGTGAAATGGGCCCACCCACACACCTCTTCCTCTTTCCTTCCGGTTTCCTTTCTTACCTCATTTGCTGCCATACTTTCTCATCCGGGGATCATCGGCTCTTTCCTGGTGCTTTGCTACTGCTTGAGTCCTGTCTGGCTTGGCAAGACTGCGCAGCTCCAGAAAACAGATGCCTTTGCTTGACAGCAGTGTGTTCACCTACGGGTGGTGATTTTCGTTGCATAAATGTATGATTCTCTCTACTCTGGTGACATCATCCCTGGAGAAGCGAGAGTTTGCTGAAGTCCATTAGAATTATTTACATACTTTATGTGTTTTATTACCGGTGACTCAATAGTTCTCCTGGTTTTTTTCTGTTAAGAATATTTATTATTTGGTAGAACTTAAACCTATTTTTATAATAATGACTGAGCCAGTAACTTTGTAATTTTTAAGCCATCAGTTCTTAAATGAAGGTTATAGAGGTTGGGGATTCACTCCATCGAGTGGCCAGATCAGGCAGCGGGGAGCGTAGCGACATGGGGCAAACAACCGAAGGCTCAGATCAACTTGAACGGTTTTCTACTTGGCTCTCCAATTCTTGAGCTTTCAACAAGCTCTTCAAAATATTTTAAACAACCAATAAATAAGAAAGGATTTCTTATGAGATATCAGGTAATAAGTTTTACAGAACTCTTCCCTCGGCGGGAAAGCAGATGTGCCTCAGGAAGAGACTGTACTCAGTGCATCTGAAAATGTCTGCCTTGTCATAAAATTGACTTCTCAGACAATATTGGATGCTGTGGGTATTCCCTCTAAATTTAAGGTGTGAGTGACAAGGACCCTTTGTCCTCACAGAGAGTTTACATTATTCGCATCAGGCTTAATGGTTTCAGGGGTAAACATTGCACAGAAATTTAAAATCAGTTCAAGTGCAGGGAAGAAAAATGTCCTTTTTTAGAAGTCAAAATACATTTTACTTAATTTTGTAAATGCAATCCACTTCAACTCCTAAGTATTAACTCTGTAATGGTATTTATTTGTTTTCCATTACCAGAATATTTTTAGCATATGAAAGAAACCAACAAAGTTTAGATTTTGAAAAACTGAATTGCATTGCCTTAGACCCTTTGAGCCTCACTGCCCTCTGTCCTAATGAAATGAATTGGAAGTGTTCCTACCTTTGTGCCAGAATGTGTGTCTACACAGCGGGGAAGAGAGGAGATATGTATCCCCCTACTTATAATGTGAGGTGCTATAGTCAGGAGTTTGGGAGCAGACTACACAGGCCAATTAGGAAGGGCCATTTCTTGGTAAAAGCAGAGTGGTGTCTTGGGTCACAGGAGCAAAGGGGAAGATGGGACATACCAACTGAAGTGGCAGTAGGGGCCTCCCCAGTCCTGTGAATCTTCCTGGTCTCTTAGGATTCCTTTGAGGCTAAAGCCAACCAGGAAGGTAGATTTCAGTCTGTCGTGAGCTCCAAGGTGTCTGTAAACATTGGAAGGTCATATAATGGATGGTGAAGGTAATATAAGACATCTGTAATTAGTAATCCAGGGTTAGATGTTCACCATCTTTATTTATTTATTTATTTTTAAAAGATTTTATTTATTTATTTGAGAGAGAGAGAAAGAGCACATGAGAGGGGGGAGGGTCAGAGGGAGAAGCAGACTCCCTGCTGAGCAGGGAGCCCGATGCGGGACTCAATCCTGGGACTCCAGGATCATGACCTGAGCCGAAGGCAGTCGCTTAACCAACTGAGCCACCCAGGCGCCCTGATTTTCACCATCTTTAAATTGCTTCGTTGTTCTATCAAATAAGTGTTTCCTAAAAGTTAGGTGAATCCTTTTTATCTTTCTCCTCTCTTGGATTCTATTTAAAATTCTATTATAAGAAAAGGATTCCACCACCACACAAACCAAAGAAGTACTGACTCCAAAAAGTGGAAAAAGATGGCAGTCTCAGAGAATTCACTGATAGTCCTAACTCACAATATAAAATGGCTCCCAGTAGTCTCAGGAAATTGCTCGATCACAAGTGTATTTTTGTGACGGTGGTGTCTCACGTGATGGCGTCCCCCAGAGAAAGAAGTACTAGGGTATCCAAAACTGACATGGTTAGCTGTTAGGTTGGGTAGGCATCCCTGAAGGGGTCACTGGGCCACGCGCACTGGTGAACCACTGACTCATCCACGGTGAGTTTTCATCTGTCCGTTCTAGTCATTTTACTAAGGCAGGGACTAGACCTGCGTTTTCCAATTCAATAGTCGATAGTCCCGTATGGTTACTGAGGACTTCCCAGTGGCTAGTCCTCTGTAAGTTGGCCTGTAAGTGTAAAATACACACCAGCCTTTAAGACTTAGTACAAAAAATGTAAAATAACACGTATATTGGGTTAAAGTAAAATATATTTAAATTAACTTCACTAGCTTCTTTTAACTTTTTTTAAATGTGGTTTCTAAAAAATGTAAAGTTACCCATGTGACTCATAGTATATTTCTTTGGAAAGCATCGGGCTAGAATAACAGGTTTTAGAAAGATGTCTATTGTTACCATAAAACTGTGATGTTACCCTTAGTTATTTAGGAGACTCTCTTAGTGAAACATGGTTTCTTTGACTGTGAGGGCTAAATGGGGCATTATTGAGCTTGAAGGCTGGTAGAATTGTTACCTTCTCAAAAGTTTCATGTCAGAGCCAGATTTAAAATTTCAGTAATAGGAAAACAAGTGTTTCTCTCCAGTCTTTGCCATTAGCCCTCATTTTAATTTAAATGAAATCTTTACTAAATACTTTGTATCATACTGCTCTATTCCTTGTTTTGAAGAGAATCAAAAACACAACACAAGGATAGGACAGTTTCTACACAGACTAGCTGAACATGTGAAAGAGTCATTTACTTTCTAGATCAGGAACTTTGCTACTATAAATATGTTTTTAATTGTACATTTTCTAAATGGGCCTCTGGATTTAATTTCTATACTTAACTGATGTTTTCTGGATAAGTTGCCCTTTAGGGAAACAGAGGTTGGAGGTGAATATACCACTTACCTGAATAAATCAATCACTGAGGCAGAGCAGATGCACCAAATGGTTTCCACAAACCAGTGCCTCAGTTTATCTTTTGATCCAATGAAAATCTTAAGGTCTATCAAAGTTATTCTCTAGTTCTTGTACTTTCATGAATGCAACCACTGAGCCATAAGGCTGACATTTTAATATGGCTTGAATGTAGTCACCGTCCTTGGATGCTGCTTTGCACTGTGGATGAATTTGGGTATGAACCTCTGGCCTGTTTTCCCTTGAATTAAACTCGCACTTATAGGACAACTCGACACAGTATCCCTGGCAGTATTTAGGCGGGGAAATAATTTTTAAAATAAGTCTCTGTATTTAGAGAACTATAGTTCAAAATGAATTATTTGTTCTATCAAATAATAGACTCTTTGAGCCTATAGAAAAGAAAATAAAGAAAGTGATTTTAAATCCTACTTGTTCAAAGATTAATGCCAAGTCTTAAGACTCATTCTTCCGGCATCTCTAAGATGTATTTTATATATTGTTTAGTGTTAAGTGCCTTTACAAATATGTGTATGCTACTTCAGCCCTTAAACATTAAAAACAGGAACGCTGCATATTGGGATTTTTTAACAAGTTTGACTTCCTTAGCTAAGAATATTATTGGAAAATGCTCTAAAGGGGATAGAATTCTATATTTTTATTCAATTAGCCAACATATAGTACATCATTTGTTTTTGATGTAGTGTTCAATGATTCATTAGTTGTATATAACACCAAGGGCTCATCACCACACGTGCCCTCCTTAATACCCATCACCCAGTTACCCAATTCTCCCCGACCCCCCTCCCTTTTGTAATCCTCAGTTTGTTTCCCGGAGTCCAGAGTCTCTCATGGTTTGTCTCCCTCTCTGATTTCTTCCCATTTAGTTTTCCCTCCCCTCCCCTGTGGTCCTCCGCTCCATATTTTTTTTTTTTTAACTATTTGTAGCTTCTTGGTGATTTAAGGAATACCATAAATACCATACCACTATAAAGTGTATGGTATTTGTGCTTTACTTTTTAAAACATCGATAAGCAGGGGCACCTGGGTGGCTCAGTTGGTTAAGTGACTGCCTTCGGCTCAGGTCATGATCCTGGAGTCCCTGAATCGAGTCCCGCAACGAGCTCCCTGCTCAGCGGGGGGTCTGCTTCTCCCTCTGACCCTCTCCCCTCTCGTGCCCTCTGTCTCTCATTCTCTCTCTCAAATAAATAAATAAAAATAAAATAAAATAAAAAAAAATAAAACATCGATAAGCAGTCTGCATGAGGCATTCAGAATCTATTGCAAACTCCTGAACGACATCACGGAGCCCTCGCTCTCATAGCAAGAATTCGCCCGCTGGTGCTAGAGTGAACACTGTGGCCTTGCAGTTTCCCTAAGAGGATTCTGCTCTTTGGGAAAATTAGATTCCACTCTGAATTCTGGCAATGGGTCCTCTTCTCCCCGTACTTGAATAAAGAGAAGTCTTACTTTAGACAACGTCGTGTAAATGGGGTGAGTTTTGCAGGAACGTATCCATCAGATAAGCTCAGGTTGTATCAGAATCTGAGTGTTTAGGTGCATCTCACCTTATGTGCTGACAGCAGAGTAAAAATTAAGCCACATATTTCAGAGAAGGAAACGGTGCCTGCCGTTGCTCGTGCAAAGGGACAGAAAAAACCAACAGCTGAGGTAGCACCGAATGCTCAGCTGGGACAGACTGTGGCCTCTGCATCCTCACCCCAGGCAGGGTCTCCTTTGGAGAAGCCCAGGGGGGACGGCCACTCGAACTCCCATGACACTTTTACAAGTTTCGTTTTGCACTTTTCCGTTCAGTAGCGCAAATTAGGCCAAAGAAACGTTGCCCGGAGAAGGATATGGTTGGGAATCAAGCGTGGACCATGTTTGTGATGCACTGTAAGTGTTCCTTCCCTGTGGGATCCGGGGGGGACTTGGGGAAGATGAGCTTGAGCAGAAGCAGGAATTCAGAATTCAGTACGGAGGTGAAGCTGTACCAGCCCCACTGTCGTATACTTTTCAGGGATGTAGCACTTGCTTCGAAGCAAGGGATGGCTGTACTGTTTATTTTTAACCAGCCGAATTGAATATTTGCCAACCAAAGATTGTTAGGCTTTCGAAAATAAATGGACTTGTATAGTAGTTTCTGCTTCAAATTTAGTTTTTTCATTTTAGTAGATTTATATGGGAAATTGATACAAATGTGTAAATATAAATTACGCTCTTTGTCAAACAACTTGTCAATTACCTAACATAAGGGAAAACAGTTTTCTCTAGGAAAGTTTCTGTAACGACATAAAAAAGCATATGTATATTTAAAAGTTTGTTAAAACTGTAAGAATGTATTTGCAGTGAAATGAGAAGTCCCATGTATCGGGGTCTGTATTGTTCATTTTGTATTGAAGGTTCACCGGACCTTCAAATGTTGTAAAAAATAAAATGTAGATTGGAGAATTTTCACTTGTGATGATGCGTTATTTCGAGCATGCTTTGTCTCAGAGGACGTATGCTTGTCCCTCGGGCCCAGCTTCTCTAAGCATTCCACTCCTGCCCCTCACAGCCCAGAGCCTTAGATGTGTCAGGGCTCCTCTCCCAGCCCAGCCTGGGCCTCTCCTGCCCAGAGGTGTTCAGCCACAGCACATGACCTACAGCATCAAGTCCAAGTTGCTTTGCGTGCTCCTTGAAGGTTTCCTACAAATAAGTCCCAACTCTTCTTCCTCAGACTTCTTTTGCTCCATGTACTTCTTCAAATAAGCTGCTGTCCGCCCAGCTGACCATCTGCCCCGAGTGCTCTGCTGAGCTCCTGGTTCACGGCCGCCCGTAGCCCTTCCGGTCCTGCCGGGTCCTGGGCATCTTTCAAGGCTCAGCTCCTACACTCCAACCAGTGAAGCTTTTCCTGATTCCCCCAGCTCTCAGAGCCTTTGTGATTACCCAGCCTTGAGTGAACCACCTCATACCACCTCTGTATGCCCATATGGGTATGGTGAAGTACTTCAATACCCAAGTCCCAACAATGAAAGTGTAAAATTTGGCGTAACTAATAATAGGGTTTGCTTTTGTTTATGCAAAAAAAATCTCTTGGTCTTTTTGCAGATTTGAATTAGATTGTTAAATGTCTGAGATCAGGCCTCCGTGTTCTGAACCGTGTTGCACATGGAATCACTTGGGGAGCTTCACTGATGCCTGGGTCCCAACCCCTCTGCGTTTTCGTATGTAATTGATCTGGGATGTGGCCTGGGCATAGGGATTTTTTTTTTTTTTTAAGCTTCCCAAGTGATTCTAATATGTAGTCAAGGTTTAGAACCTCTGCATTAGTGATTCTCAAGCTCCATAGCCTATTTCTATATATAAACTCATAAAGACAGAGGTAAAGGCTTATATATACAAAATGCTGTTTTTTTATTTTAGACTTATTTTAGAGAGAGAGAGAGAGATTGGGGGTGCAGGGCAGAGGGAGAGGGAGTGAGAATCTCAAGCAGACTCCCTGCTGAGCCTAGAGTCCCATGCAGGGCTGGATCCCATGACCCTGAGATCATGACCTGAGTTGAAATCAAGAGTCAGATGCCTATCTGACCCAGCCACCCAGGTGCCCCACAAGATGCTATTTTTTAAATTGAGCCTATTACATCAGAATACAGTCTGAGACATAAGATGTTGCCTAATGAAACAAGGCTATTTGTGGTTTGAAAAAACAGAGGCAATCTTTCTGATAACACTGGATGAAAATTAGGTTGTCTATAAATGAGACAATTTATTAAATTGTATTTGGCTTTAGCCTGAGACTATAGAATATGTTTTAAATTGGCATAAAATGTACAGGAGAGCTTTTAAGGTAACTACCAAAAAGTCTTCTGTAAGAAAGCTTAAGACAGATAGATACCATGGGCAGGAATCTGAATTTGCATTGTTTCAGAACATTTTAGCTTTAAAGAAAATAGTCAGCTTTGGTATTTGAAAACTTAGTAATTCCTGACAGCTAACATTTTAACCAAGAATGAACTTTCTTACAGATTTTAACATTTGCATATTTCTACTCCAGAGCAGGATTTAATATAGTCTACTGACTCCCAGAAATGATGAAAAGTCGACTACCTGTGCACATTTTTCCTCTGCTTAATTTTGCTTTCGTCATTTCCAATTTCACCCAGAAAAGGTTGCACTGAAGTGGTCAGTCTTTCTACCACGTAGCACTGCTGCCCTCCTGTGGACTCTCCGGGCATTTGACGTTCCTGAGGTCCTTCCAACTTGGTCATTATTCCGAGGTTCCTGTCCTTGCTGTGATTCCCAGAAGACATTTTTTTTTTTTTTAAGATTTTATTTATTTGACAGAGAGAGACACAGCGAGAGAGGGGAACACAAGCAGGGGGAGTGGGAGAGGGAGAAGCAGGCTTCCCGCCGAGCAGGGAGCCCGATGCGGGGCTCGATCCCAGGACCCTGGAATCATGACCCGAGCCGAAGGCAGACGCTCAACGACTGAGCCACCCAGGCGCCCCCACCAGAAGACATTTTAAATTTCATTTTGGATCTAGTATTAACTAGGTCTTTTCTGCTTTCCTTCTGTGAAATCGACATTTTAAAAGGGCTCACCTCTGTCCCTTGTTGCTTAAATATGGGGAAGCAGAATGTTGGGGGGCTGTGGTCAGTAAACTTTTTCTTCCCTCTCACCTACGTACCTGAAGGTGCACGAATCGCCGCAAGTATAGGTCACAACGAGAAAGTAACCCACCCGACTCCTGACTCGCTACCCCAAGAAAACTTGTATATGCGGAGTAGCAGAAGCTGCTTATGTTTACATCATAAACATCTATCTCCCTTACACAGCTTTTAAAAAATGGAATTGTTTTATGTGGCAGTGGCAGCCTTGTTTCCAACTGGAAGCCGAGCAAGAGCTCCAGCGTCCTGGTGCGTAGGGCTGGTGGCTTCAGGGAGACTCTGGAGACGACCGTCGTTTAGATGGGCACTTAGTTATGGTGTTTGGGAAAATGCCAGTCATCGGATCACCCAGCACCACCCGAAAAGGCTCCTGGGAAAACACCCCTTCAATTTGTGTTTGACATGGGACTCCATTCCTTATTGGAGAATTCCTTGGGTAGGAGCCCATGGGACCACGCTTCTCCGGCTGTGGTGTGCAGGCAAGTCTTGTTAAAACGCAGATTCTGATCCAGCAGGTCCCAGGTGGGGCCCAAGATTCAGCATTTCCACGAGTTCGACATACTGTTGCTCGTGGTAGGCTAATGGCCTCCGGAGACCTGTGAATGTCCCCTCTGTGGCTAAGGGTCTTTGCACATGGGATCTTGGCGGGGGGGGGGGGGGGGGGCGCTGAGTGAAATGACACGGTTCCCTAGAAGGGAGGTCAGTGGGGAAGTTGATTGCAGCAGAAGGTGGCGTGACCCTGTGGCCGAATGCTTGCTGCCGGCCTTGAGGATGGAGGCAGGGACCGCAAGCCAAAGAACGCAGCTCTAGAAGCTGGAAAGGCAAGTAAACGGATTCTCCTAGGACCTCTGGTGGGAGCTTGGCCCTGCCAATGCCTTGAGTTCAGTCTCGTGAAATGAGGTCACACTTTGGACTTCCAGGACTGAAAGAAATGAGGTGTGTTGTTTCCACACAGTTACTGTGTGAATGTTTGTGTCCCACCAAAACCCCAAGGTGAGCTATTAGGAGGTGGGTCCTTTGGGAAGAGATTAGGTCATGGGGGCAGAGCCTTCACGATGGGATTAGTGCCCTTGTAAAGAGGCCCAAGAAGGTTCCCTCAGCCCCTCTGCCCTGGGAAGGCACGGTCTTTGAACCGGCAAGCTGGCTCTCACCCAGCGCTGAATCCGCCACCACCGGATCTTGGCCTTCCCAGCATCCCAAACAGAAGTAGCTGTTGTCTATAATCTGCGCGGGCTGTAGTATTTTCTTACAGCAGCCCAAGGAGACGAGGACCAACAACTCATACACCCATGCTAGGGGTCCTCACACCACCGTCTGAGTAGGAAAGCAAGACCCCAGAGGGGTGGCTCTCACCTGTGGCTGCACACGAGAGTCACCTGGGGAAACTTTAGAACAAAAATGTAGGCCCGATCCTGGAGCAGTATAACCAGAGCCCCCATGGGTGGACCCTGATATTTGCATGGACTTGAAAAAAGATTCAAGATGTCGCCGGACATCTGCGCAAAACGCTCCCTCAGGGGGCCACAGCCCTCTGACCGGCCGGTTCCGCAGGTCTAATCCCCCGTGACGTCAGATCTGGCTAATCGCTGAATACCTTTCCAGAACTGGTCCGCCCTGTCTTCAGGGTTCATAGAAACTATGAACCACAAGTAGACCTCCTGCACCTTTTATGAAGTAAGGGAAATCCTCAGGCTGCTCTCCTTTGCCAGCCATGTGACCACGGGTTCGGCTCGACAAAATTTCTCGAAGGATCACGGACCACAGAGGTGCCAGGGCTCCAGTCCACTTGGAACCAGCCTCAGCCTCCCCGTCCATAAGCAGCATCCCTTGGCCCGGGCTTGAGCACCTCTCTTTTCTGTGATCTTCTCTCTCATGTGTTTCTCGGCTCACAGAATTCCATTCTTGTCCTAACGGGCCGGCTCCTCAAATGCTTAGGAAGTAGGTGAATCTACATCTCGAGTTACCTTTTCAGGACCCCGCTTATCATGGAATTATGAATAGCAAACGACAGATGAAAAACAAAGACATGACTAATTGAGTAGAGTGAAGTATTTATTCAGGTCAGGAGCACGAACAGACTCTTCACGGAAAGATGATTCAACAGCAACCGCTGACAGCAGCTGCCGCATTTCAGCAACATGCAACCCGGGACCTCAGATGCATTATGGCCATTTGTCTTTGAAAAGACATTCAGTGCTCTCTTACCTCTGCAATAAGGCATCATAAATGCAGTTAAAGAAGTTAGTGAAAAAAGCGCGAGATCGTCCTTCCCCACTCTGCCCGTCCGTCCTCCGGGAGACCACGGGCGCTTGCTCACCACGGTTGGCACGAGGCTTCGAGGCTGCTGCTTGTCCCCCTACATCATAACCGATTTCAAATGGTGCTAGACAAAAACAGACTCTGAACACCAGGAGAAATCGGTCAGCCTGTGTAAGAGATGGGTCCAGTGGCGCTCCTGGGGGTCCTGCCCTCGGCCGTGCAGGTGGCGAGTCTGATTCCAGCCGCCCTGCAGCAGCAGCTGAAGGTTCCGGGGCGTCTAGAGCGGGCGCAGTGCTGACGCGGATGGGGCCGTCCTCCGGGTAAAACAAAAGAGAAAATCCCAATATTAGTCATGATGAAATGGAAAGCTCTTAAGCCAAGGTCCGAAACACCAGACAATTAGCAGCTCTTCTGATTCAGGAAGATACAAAGAATTAGAACAGGCCAAGTATCTGTTAACCAGAAGATTCCTGGAACTCATACCTTAGCCTGGACTCCTCATGAATTGGGCTGGACCACATGTGAACTCTTTCATCCCTCTGGACTTAAAACAGACCCAGACTAAATGCACGACCCTTCCACTCTTGTTCCTAGTCTCTTTACCCTGTGTAATCCTGGTCCTTGAAATCTTACCACTTTGTAGTGAGAAGAGGCAAGCAAAGATAAGACAGTGGAAAACAGAGAAAAATATTTTCCCTAAGGCTTGGGATTGCTTAAGATATCACTCCTAGGCCTTCCTAAGAAGGAAGGTGGGGAAATAGACCAGGGACTTGGAAGAATACACCAGAGAGCAGTTTGAGAGAAAACAGCAAGCCAAATAAGAAAAGAATTCTTTAAATTCATCGCAGAATGAAGAATTTCTTGGAATTCTCAAATCTACCACATCTCCTATTTCAATGGCCCAGTTATACCAGAGGCCTGATTTATATCATCTTCCCCACCGTAAGGGGTGATCTTGGGCTCCCCTTTAAGGCTAGAACATGCTGCTAACAGTACTTATGACCTATATTTAACTGTGTTGTCTCAAGAGTATCATAACAGTATTGCCTGGCCGCTAAATAGGTTTAACTCCAGAAATAAACTAAAAACTAAGACTTTACTGGAATATCCCAGTGAGTCTCAAAGAAGTATTACATTATGTAACACTCATAAAAATGTCCTAAAATCCACTTCACCCGTTTTGGTCCCCCAAGGATCCAGCTGTTAATGCAACTGCTTTCCCAGAACTTATCTTCTCTCTTCTACCCAGATTTTCTCTCAAAAGCTCCAGTTCGAGTTGGCTTATAGTTAGTTCTACTACTCCTTTCACTGTCTGGATCTCCTAATTCACAAAAGTCTCCGTGACCTTTCTAAAGTAAGTGAAGTTTCTTTAGCAGAGTTCAACACAGCACTAAAAAAGGAGCAGAGAAATGCAGCAACTATCTTAGAATGCAGGATAAGGAGAAAGAGTATAAGGTTATGTTCACCCTGGCACATAAATCTGGAAACTTTAATCTCATTAAAACTAAAGAAATGCAAAAGCAAAGAACAAGATCCCTTTTATGCCCATTACATTAACAACAACAGAAAGCTTCTTATGTGAACACCAGTAAAAAGCAAGGATGTGGTGAAACGGGTATCCTCGTATGTTGAACGTACCACAGCAATTGGCAAAAAGCCTATGAAAAACAATTATGCAGTGTATATAGAGAATAATACAAATATCCATGCCAATTAGCCCTCCTAGGAATCCATTCTAATGGAATATTTTAATATGAAAAACATTTCATGCATTTTTATCAAGGGCTTCATCACAAATAAAACTGGAAACAACTTAAATATACGATAGAAGTCTTGGACTACACTGATACATCCACTAGAATAAGTTTATATTTATTTGCCTGTCATGATTTGGATTTTTAGTGTATAATTGTGTAAAAACTTGGATGCATGGGAAAATGTACCAGAATGGATTGTACCAAAACATTTCAGGGTAGGAGGATTATGGGTGATATTTTTTGTTCTGTTTTATAAATCTTCTGCTGTAATTATAGTAATTTTATGAAACAGATATTAAGTTAAAAAGAAAAAAAAAACACATACTTTGCTGAGTGCACAAGATAAAATGAGGTTGGGTGAGGGAAACCAATGGCTTTTTATATTAGAAAAACATTAGACTGTGTGCTGAAAAAATCGGGATGACTTGTCACTGGCTGAGAGTTCCTGTTGATCATGCCGTGTGCCAGGCTGATGTTGTCCTGGTTTTTGTCTTCCCTTCAGGCACAGGTGATGCTCTCATAGTAAGTTTTACGAAGGGTTTGATGAGGAGCTCTAGCACCTTTATAGTAAGTATTCACTTACAGTGAATGAAACATAAAAGGAGAGATCGAGGTCTCTAACACTACAGCTAGGTGGAAAGTAAGTCGAAATTCAGGCCATCGTGTGGCAAGACTGGTATCCTCAACGGCATATGTAGAGTGAGTGTTTTGTTTTTGTTTTAAGTTTTTATTTATTTATTTAATGAGTGAGAGAGAGAGAGAGAGCGAGAGGGAGAAACACCATGAGAGGGGAGAGGGTCAGAGGGAGAAGCAGGCTCCCTGCTGAGCAGGGAGCCCGATGCGGGACTCGATCCCAGGACTCTGGGATCATGACCTGAGCCGAGGGCAGACGCTTAATTACTGACCCACCCAGGCGCCCTAGAGTGAGTGATCTTTATTGAAGGTTCTATACTGGCTTTAAACTGTTACAAATGAATAATCATCCTTCCTGTTCTATCGGAACTGGAGAGCACAACTTCCTTTTTGGTTTATAACCCAGGAAATTTCTTCAGGATGGTATCACGCCCACTTGCACAAACTGGAAGCCACAAAGACCAATTTCCTGAGCCCATTTCAGAGGAGTGGTTTGGCAGTAGACTCTGTTGCAGACAGAGTCTGTTGTGACACACACAAGGCAGGAGCGCAGGGGTCTGGAGCCCCGGCCGAGCCAGGAGCTCCGGGGTTGTCCTCACCTGTTTGTTGAAAGGCTGCTGTGGACTACACGTTACAGACTGCTCTGCTCACCCCTTATCTATGACCCTGTGGTCGTAAGACTCACGCGCTAGATTAAACCAGGAGCAGAGGGAAACTCTCTGATCTCAGAAGCTAAGCAGGGTCGGGCCTGGTTAGTACTTGGATGGGAGGGAAACTCTTAAAGGTAAGCCTGAGTGAGGTGTTTCTTAAAAGTAGAATTTATAGCTACATTTAAAAAACTCACTGGCAACCTCTAGTGGGACTAGATATTTAGAGTTTAAAACCTTTGGGTCATATTTTCCATGCATTCAATGACCCTGTTTTACTGCCTAGGTATTTTCTTTGGCGTGATCTTCTTCCTTTCATCCATCATGGTTTCTTGTTGGATAATTGTAAAGCACAAAAAAGGGTAAGTATGGCCATATTCTCCTAGATGTCTACGACTATACCTGCCTCCTCCTGAAAGCCAAAGAGAAGTGAAAGAAAACCTCAAAAAAAAAAAAAGAAAAACCACTACTACATAAACAGATGTAATAATTCATAATTATAAAGAAGGCCCTTGATGTACATTATGGATAGAGAAGTATTCACACTAAACGAAATATATATGATAGTAAGAACACTTAAAAAAAAAAAAGCTTAGGATTTTAAGGAGGATTAAGGTTTTACAAAACGGATAATAGGCAGAAGGAATTTTTCCAAAAGTAGACACTTGGCATCCCAGTTTTGCTGAAACACTCCAGGCTCTGACCTCTATATAGAGACCTCATCAAGGCACCAGAAGTTACATAGTGTGTCTCACTGGCCCACACGTCACAGGCTGCCAGTGTCGAAGAATTGAGGCTTTTTACAGGGCATTAAAGAATAAATATTTTATAAGCCCACCTAATTTTAAACTTGCTCAAACCTTACAAGGATTAGATCTAAATAAACATTTCTGACTAGGAAGAGAACATATTCAGCTTTTGTATTCGCTGATTTATTTAGAACATCTGTGAGGTCAAAGTCAGTAAGATCAATGTTGAACCGTGATAAACAAATTCTATACCCATGAGGAAGAGTTCATACCTTTAAGGGATCCGTTTGCTAGAGCAAATGTTCCAAACACAGTCCCCAAAAACAAGCCTGACAGAAACTAAAGTTGCTATTTCACAGAGGATGCCAGGGTGTGCTTTTTAGAAACACAGTATCACCGCAGAGCGTCTTACAATCTAGTCAGGAACTCAATTTCATGATAAAGTGATTAGTAGAGATTTACATTTGAGTTAAATCTTTGGCCTTCCTAATTAACATTCTCTATATGTTGTGGTTTGACAGGTAAATACACTTCGCTCTTCATTATAAAAAAAAAGTGCAAGTAGCCCCGATGCTTGATATTAGCAAAAGTCTTTGTATCAATAACCTTTCCCCCTTAAAAGTTTCTCTTTTGGTACTACAGTTTGTGAGTCATTTTTTTTTTTTTAATTAGGCTTTTAAAAAATTAAGGCTGAATTAAAGTAGTTGGGCTCTAATTTTCTGTTCCCGGACCAATGTCCAGTTAAAACCAGCCAGGGCAAATGATTCTCTTTCTCTTAGAGACATTCATGACAGTCCCGCCCCTCCTCCCTTCTCTCAAGGACTCCATTCCGCATTCCTATGGCCTGTTCCTAGTTCATCGACTGAAGGATTGAATTCCAGAGGCTAGCTACTGATTTGTTTCCCCCATGTAACTTAAATTTCCTCGTATTATCATCCTCGGGCATAAAAAAGATTAACAGCCATTTCATAAAGTATATTTCCTTAGAGATGATTATCTCATCTTATCGAAACACCCCCAGATCACACACCATTTCTTCATGTGTTCCTCGACTTAAAAACGGCCTCCTGTCGTTGCCATGTTCTTTCTGAGTGCGCTGGCCTCGCTCAAGCCTTCCGTGAGCCCCAGCAAGCAGGGAAGGGGACAGGGAAAAAGATCATGGTCTTCTTTAACCTGAAAGCTCAGGGAGCAAACCCGCCAAACAGCCAAGTAACCCACCATCGAACCTATCATACATGTAATCCGTAAACATTTCAAAACTTCTCTAAGCCTTTATTTTTTTTGGGCCTGTGTTTCACTTCTTGGGATAATGAGTGGATTACTGTAAGAAAATGGCATTTATTTTCATGTTAGAAATAATACAGAACTAACGTTAGCAGGAGGAGGTGCTAAGTTTAAATGATCGGAACCCCCAAGATCCTTCTCTTGGAAGCAGTTGGGTGAGTCCATGTATGCGCGAGGCTGATAAACTGTGGAGCTGTGGCTACATAGGGCGGGCCGATTATTCTTATCTGGCTCTCAAGCTTTCCTCACAGGAAGGGCAGGAAGGCCCTCTCATGGAAGCGAGAGGGAAGTCATGTGAGAGGCACAGACTAGGAGTGGAGGGGACCTTGGCTCTTGCCTTGCCAGCAGAGCAGTTTACGTCAGCGCCCCAAAAGACTGAGAGAACGGTATAGAAGGAACGGCCTGCTGTATGGGAGCTGCAGGATCGAACCAGGCCCCCAGGGGTGCAGGACAACTCTGCCTCTGACACACGAGACAGCTCAGAAACTACCCATGGTTCATTTTGCGGCAGCCCTCTTAGGTGATGTTTAGCACACTCATTTCATTCTGTAAATATTTATTGAGCACTTCTCTGTACCAGGGACAGTGCTGAGGCTTGTTGAGTATCCATCAGTGAAGCGGGACTCCTTTAGGGAGTTCTCATTCCAGTGGCGGGAGAGAGACTAAAAACAAGACACGGAATTCATTAATTATAATAAGGGGGATAAAGACTAGGAGAAAACAGCAGAGTAAGAGAGCTCGGGAACATGGGTGTAGGGGAGACACAATCTGCAATACGATGATTAGGTGGGCCCCATTGGGGAGGGTTTTAAAGTGAGATCATGTCTGTCTGTGTGTATATATATCCTTTCTATTTTGGTCTAATTTTAATTTCTTAGTAAATCTTTAAACTGCTTTTTTTTTTTTTTTTTTAAGATTACATATTATGCCTTGTTTGACCAGCAAGTTAGGAGTGAATTGGCCAGAAGAGGTGTTAGCAGGGAAAAGAGCAGCTACAAAATACGAGTCAATGCCTGAGGTGGTGGTTAGTGTCCAGGAGAAGGTGGTGTTGTAATTAATGGCATCTTCCGGAGGTTGTGTTGTGATCCGGGACCGAAGGACTGATGCCTATAACTAGCCCTCTCCTCCATCAGGGAATTCTGCTACAACTGTCTACCAGGTAGTACATCTCTAATTGTCCTACACTTACCCTAGGTTTCAAGGTTGCTCTTTGTTTTAATATACTAACACTGAACTTGGTGAGCAAGCCTGTTTTAGACTTACATCACATCACTGATGACTTCCTATGCCTCCTTGACCCTTAGCTTTCCCAGTTTCAGTATGTCTAATTTCTCCATGCATTTCCTCCCTCTGCCCCACACTGTACTTCCCATTCTATTAAATTATCTTTTTATTATTATTATTAAATTGTCTCTTGTCTCCTTGGTCCCTACCACACTCCTTACCAGCACTCCCAGCATAAAATGAGCTTCTTGTGAGCAGAGACCACCCATAGACACTCAAAATCATTTTTATTTAATGACTTTTGACTTCCACTTGTACAGTAGTCAGGATTAATAATAAGAATAGCAACAACTGGGGCGCCTGATGGCTCAGTCGGTTAAGTGTCTGCCTTCGGCTCAGGTCATGATCCCAGGGTCCTGGGACTGTACCCCAGCCCAGCATGGGCTCCCCACTCAGCAGGGAGTCTGCTTCTCCCTCTGCCCCTCCCCCGCCGCTCATTCTCCGCCCCCCTTGCAAAAAAAATAAATAAAATCTTAAAAAAAAAAGAGAGACAATAGCAACAGCTAACATATTTGCTTATAAAATATTTTTATTTTTATTTTTTTAAAGATTTTATTTATTTCAGAGAGAGAGAATGAGAGAGAGCACATGAGAGGGGGGAAGGGCAGAGGGAGAAGCAGACTCCCTGCCGAGCAGGGAGCCCGATGCGGGACTCGATCCCGGGACTCCAGGATCATGACCTGAGCCGAAGGCAGTCGCTTAACCAACTGAGCCACCCAGGCGCCCCTGCTTATAAAATATTTTAAAATTTATTGTCTTTGGTCTCCAAAGCAACTCTGTGAGGTAGGTAGGCCCAATAACATTGTTATCCCAAAGCAGAGAAGACTCTGAGGGCAGAGAAATTCAGCGACTTGCTTAAAATCATACCAGCGGGAAGTTGCTCAGGGGTAGGGCTTCAGTCCTGATGATCGGACTCAGAATCCTGAACCCATTCGGCTACCCAGTAGTAATTTCAGCTGCTACTACTTCTGAATCACATTCTGTATCACCCAGAACTGTTTATAGTACAAAGGGGGAATATTTCCTTTTTTCTTTCAATATTGTCCTCCCATCAATTTTACTGGATTTTTTTTTTTTTTTTAAGCTACTCTGGTACATTAGGCCAGTATCCTTATAGAGAATAGTAGGCAATCTCTCCCTTTTTACACTGGTCTGAATTATTAGCCGATAAGAAAATTACAGTATTTCTGCAAAGGACTCTGTCCTTATTAAGGTTTGGTGAAAACGTTCCTGTCCATTCACACAGACTAGCAAGTTCTGTGATTTAACGTTACTGGCCTTTCACTAGTGAAAAATGTGTCATCTGCATACCTTATATTTCACTGTATATTTATACAACAATAATTTGGGACAAAGGTTAATAAGCAGGAGAAGTCGTGCACTGATCACTCAGGAAAAATACTTAGGTTTCTCCATTCACAGCCCATTTATCCTTGCCTCTTGTTTCTGCCTCTCATCCATTCCTATTCCTATACAAACCAGCCTTCTTGCACATACTCAGATAAAGCTTTAAAGTCTTCATTGGTCTGATGCTTGGAGTACAAAACCATTAAGACCACTCACTATAAAGCATTCCTGCATTACTCCATATTCGTATTAACTACCATCAATCAAGTGGATAGCCATTCCTTCAGGATACACTCATGAAGGTGGTATTCGCCCACACCCATGTCCAACTTATCAGTCAAAACCACTTTCAACCATTCCTCAGTTAACCACTTAGTCATTGCTCCCTGGAAGCCCCTCCCAGACCCCTGTCAGTACCACCCTCTGCTCTTCCTCATGCAAGGATCTCAAGTTTGCCCTTCCTCATCCTGTGAAAACTTTGGCTTCTGACTCATTCTTCCTCTTTGTCTCAAGTGCCCTCGTTCTAACGTCCAAGAAAGGGTAAAGGGTAACTGAGTAATGAGGATGTACTGCTAAGTGGTGCAGTGAGTTAACTCCTTGTGCTTCCACCCTTAAATCCCCGAATACCAACACCTATTTGAAACCTAAAGATACCGGTATTGTATCATTTCTCACTTCACTGATGTACAATGAAGCGCTTACACTTCACCCCTGAAGAGGCAGAGCAGCATTACCGGGTGAGATCATGAGCTTTGCAATCAGCAAGAGCTGTGTTCACACCCACTTACTAGTTAGGAAACCCTCGGCAAGACACTGACTTTCTCTAAACTTCATTTTCCTTGTCTGTAAAGTAGGGACAATAGTTCCGACCTCACTTAACACAGTGCCGCCCTTAGGATGAAGGTCAGAAAATGTGAGCTATTGTTACTTACACGTGATTGTTACTGGCATTTAAAGGGGATTAAATCCTTGGAATTACTGTCAGTGCCCCTGTGCCTCAGGACAAGGACTGTGGACGTTAACTGTACAGAAAACAGAACTATCTTCTCTAAAGCAGAAGAGGAAGCCTTGAGTAAGATCCGCCGCGCAGAGCCACTGACCCTGTGAGGCTTAAATGTCACAGTCTGGCGCTGAGTGATTATTTGTCAGTCAGAATTGCTTTGGACATAAGTGTTGTTTTAAGGCGTGGACACTTGTCTATAAGGACGCAGTCTTCTGACACAACGTACGGGCTGGTTTTCATATTATGTCCTCCTCTGTCTTTTGACTTTGTGTGGAAAGGTGGGATTTGGTTATGTTTTCCTTTTCCATATCTCGCAAAAATTTCAGAAACGTAGGCAAATTCTGTCCTAAATCTCAAAATAAAAGAGACTGAGGAATTTCTTCCAAGACTGAAATGTATAGAATTAAGGTATTTTTCCTATTTTTCTTCTTCTGCCAATTAGCAATATCACAGATGAGAAACCTAAAGAGATGATCCACTTACATCCTCTAGAAGACAGCAGTGTAAGGCCTCAAACTCTGCAAACAGATCGGGAAAACAGCAGGTACCTAACGTAAATACTGAATTCATAGTGTCTTCAAGAACTCAAATCCTGCAAATGAGAACAGGATCTGCGTATATTCCCGCTCTAGTTGGATCGCTGGTACCAGGGGAGTTCGAAGGGACTTCAGGAAGTGGAAATGCCTCGGTTGTTGTCTTGTTGGATTCTGGTTGTTTCCAGTGAGTTGGGTGAGGACTGTCCGCGCTAAGCACAGGCCCTGTTTTCACAAAGCGTTCCCGTATTTTTGTGCAGGGCTGCTATGAACCTTTGAGAAGGAAGCCTTTGTTTTTCTTGTGGAACCCAAGCACTTGCCACGTGGGCGTGCCTCTGGGTCCCCCACTTCCCTTCGATGCACGGGGTCACCTCAGGACCCCGTGGAGACTCTGGCTTTCCTGCCTCCCCACTCCCACTGAATTCCCTGCCTCCCCTGGCCTCCTAGGACTGCTCTCCCCGCCCCCCACCCCCGGAGGCTTGTCACCACACCTCATGCCTGCATTCCAGGAAGTCAAAGTACCAGCTTACTAGCAGAGCTGCCGTGTAGTAAACGTTTAGCTGTTTGCTAAAGGATTGGGGTGAAAAGGGAGACGGTGCTACAACCCAAAGTGGCACACAACGTGGAACTGAATGGTAGAAATCCCGGGACCGTAAAGTGACGGTTTTTGTAACTAAGGTCTGACTGGAACACAGCCTCCCTCACTGGTAGCCTACTTATGGCTACAGCAGCTGAATGGAGTAGAAGCCACAGAGGGCGAGACGGGGTGGTTGTCTTTACAAGAGTTAATATAAAAACTACTTCACAAGAGGGCTTAAAAAAGCATTTAATTCCTCCTCATTCCTGCCAAGTGACCCACCGAAACACTTTACCACCTTTCTGCCAATTTAAGGTGCATTCGTCAGGCTCAGACTCCACTTACCCAAGGAGTTCTGCCCAAAGTGCTCCCACACTTGCTGTCTATAACAGTTTTAAAATAAACTATTTCCTTTTAAGAATAAGAAGTGCTCATTACTGAAAATGTAGAAAATAAAGAAAAATATAGAGAACATAAAAATTACCTGAACTAGCCTCCACTCAGTAGTTAGTATTCTTAAGCTTCTTTGCATATTGTTTTACATTTGCAGGGTTATACACGGAGATTGAACTGACTGTATAATATTGAATTCTGATTTTGTTTTCACCAAATGACAACCATTTCCTTTATCAAAGAACTTATATCCTAAAGTATTCAATATAATATTTGTTTTTTGCCTGTTAACACTGTTATATTCACTTGCTCATTACTACATTCTTCAAACATGGATTAGTCACATTTTTTTTTTTAAATTTCAGAGAGAGAGCGCGTGAGTGCACGAGTGGGGGTAGGGGCAGAGGGAGAGGGAGAAGCAGGCTCCCCTCTGAGTAGGGAGCTGGACACAGGGCTCGATCCCAGGACTCTGGGATCATGACCTGAGCTGAAGTCAGATGCTTAACCAACTGAGCCACCCAGGCACCCCTGGATTAGTCACTTATAACATGTACCATACTTTGAGCTTATATCTTCTTTCTCATGCTAACTTATAAGAACCTCCTTTTTAAATTTCCTTAAATTTCTGAGTAGAGACTTTATCAAATCAGAAGTATAAATATATGAGAGTAAATTTATCAAAATTTCCTTTTAACTAACTTTTTGGAAGTGTTCTTTTACATCAAGGGACATGTCAAATTGTGTACATTGACTGTTGATCAACTTTTAATAAAATGGTAGGAAGTCCTTAATGAATTTGTGTCTAATCTCCTTTTTAAGACTGGAATTTTGGCCATAGAGTTCTCCAGGAGCAAGGTTGATCCTCTGGCAAGATGTGGTAGATAAAGAATGAGTCAGATCTGCACCTTGTGCGCCCAAGCAAGGTACAAGGACCAAGAGGGTGATACAGGTAAAGAGGCAGATTCCAAAGACACAGCTGCGTGCTAAAGGACATGAGAATGTTCAAAGATGGCGCAGGTAACAAATGATGTTGGGAAGTCTTGAGAGGTGGAAAGAGAACAATGATGAGGGATCAGGTGGCAGTAATAATAGGGGGTGTCAGATGAGCTGCTGGGCCTCCCCAGGGATCTGTCCACTGGCGGGAGGACAGTCTTCCTGGCCTTAAGGAAGAGGAGAGCTTTCAGCATGGCCAGGGAAGCATTTGGACATCTTGGACTATACAATATCTTCTTTCAGTCATGACGGTGGTATGGGGAAGACATGCTCTCTGAGGCAGACCCTCCTCCAAACTACCAGTTCCTGTTTACGCTCCCCTGCCAGGAGCTGGCTCAGAAAAGAGAGTCAGAAATACATTGTGTGTTAGGAGGGACCTCTATGTTTCTGGAACAAGGCTCTTTCTATTTGGTTGCTCAACACTGAGAACACTTTTCCTTTGGCAAAAAAGGCAATGAGGAAAGGTCAACTTATTCATTAATCTCTCTCTTGTCTACTCAGTGTCTCAATCTATGCCATATTTTCTTGTGCCCTACATAGCAACCACTAAGGAGGGCATAAACACTTCTTCTGAACTTGTAATTATGTGTAATGTTAGCATCACCATTTTAAGCAGCAAATTCTGGGCAGTTCAGTTGTCACCCATGCTGTCACCCGAATAAAAATATCCTGTTATTTCAGTGCCCTTCCTTGACAAAGTACTATAGAGCTGGAAACACCTCGGATCACAATGTTGCTGGAAAGGAGCCAATTCAACAGAGTAAGATGTGAGACTCATAAAATCTTGGAAGTGACCTCACTGAGACGCAGACATGTGCACGTGAAGATGCTGCCGGGCTCCCAGGAGCTAGTAAAAGCTCCCTCCTCTTAGCTTGGATTACTGTCACTCCTTGTGCTTTCTCCTTCTGCTGAACGCACACATCATCAAGTTGGGGGAAAAGACTGCACTTAGGGTATATAAATAGTCTCAATTACTTAAAGGAAGAAGGTGGCACTTCGGATTTCTGTTTACAAGTTTGTTATTCGCCTTGTATGTAATTCACCTATGTATGGAATGGGCTCATTAATGAGAAGATCAAAATCCAGGAGGAAGATGTGAAAAACTAAGTCACATACAATTATACTACTCAGTGATAACCACTGTTAATATTTTGATTCATTTTCTGCTAAGCTTTCTTCATATATGTTTGTTTATACACACATGTCTTTCTTAGTAACTTTTTCTTCTGTAGAACAAAATCTCCTATTAGATCAGAGTAAAATATAGAGAAATCAGTTTTTACTTTCTCTAGGAAAAAAAGTATCTTCTGTTTATTGTATGTGCTGCTGAAGCGAGCACAGCATTTTCTGTTTATTAAAAAGGCATTAAATGAATCCGAGGAACAGGTTTTCAAGAGAAACATCTTAACCAATGAGCTTTGGATATTTCCTAAGTTCTATTTCAAAAGCAATTTGTACTGTGTGTATAAAAACATACTATTTTAAATGAAAGAATAATTTTATTATAAAAGCAAGTGACTTTTTGTATAGATTCAGAAGACACCAAATAAACTAAGAAACCATGACTTTTAAGAATTGCAGAATTAATGTACAGGTCTATAAATAAGTGATCCTGGAGTCCATAACTGGTCCACATGCTTACAGATCAACAATTTATTTGGTATGATAACATGGGCCATGCTAACAATCTAGAAAATACCAGAATCTTTCTGGATATTTAACAACAGATTTGCATATGACGACCGCTAACTACTGTGTAATTCTGGGTTTTAAGTTGCTTTTAGAGTATATTCTGCCACATTTACCTAGATAAATATAAAGAGTGAACTGGACATCAACTTGAACTTTCTTTAAAATCATGGAAGAAAGGGAGAAAACAGCATAAGCAAAGTCAACTGACAAACTAGGAGGAAAAAATTACAACTTATATCGTAGACAAGGGTAATTGGCATATTTAGAGTTAAAAATTCAAAGACCAACCCTCCCCACCCACCTCCCTGTAAATGGGGAAAGGATATCCAGCCAGGCCTCCAATAAAAGAAAGGCAAGTAACCCATGAGTATATCAAAAGATCCTCAATGGTTTTGCTTAGTTGAAACTTAGGGAAATCTATTAGGTCTTGAGTTTCTGAAGAAGTACATTTTAAAGGAGGGCTAGAAATTATCTGTTGGGAATTGGCCTTGCTTAGAATTAAAATTCCCTATCATAAGAAAAAAATGTAAATTCCTCTTTTTCCCCCAGAATGCAGTAGGTCAGTGAGTATTGCGATTAACCAGCATCTGACGCCTGGGACATTGAATCTCAAGAAATTCATGAGATTTTATGCCTGTGACATCAGTGATACATGGGAAATACTGTTTATACTAACTATGGGTAAAATACTGAATTGTCTAACTTCATTTGTATTGTTGAGTAATTCTGTTAACCTCTGGCCTTACATTTTTCATCTGGAAAGCAGGGCTGGACCAACTGGTCTCCAAAGGCATTCTTAGTGCTAACAATCTAATTTTTTTTCTCGTTTCCTTTTTGTGTACACGTAAGCGTGAGGTGTGAGTTCAAGCCTATGACATTTAAATAAAATGTTCTGTCTCCATCACTGTAATGGCAAAGGAATAAAAGATTTTTTCTTTCTAAATCGGTGTCTGGAAAATGGTTTGTAATATATTTACTTTTTAAGGCCTTCAAAAGCCAAGACGAAACAAAATGAATATGCATTCCTTCCGAGAAGTGTCCTCCTTTCTGTACTTAATGGTTTCAGAATTCCTGTGTAAGGTGCAGCTTACCACTGGAATGTTCTTGCTGGTAACAGCTAAATATGAAGGTCAACTGGCTGGCAGGTGCTTACCAGGTACAAACAGGTGGCACAGCTCCCAGGGCCAACATCAAAAAGATGGCTTATCTATGCTCTGTTTAGCCATTCTCTTTCAGCCTTTCACAGCTAACCTAGTGTGTAATTCACCACGACAGTGGAAAGCCTTTTCTGAGAGGACTCACAGGCCCATTCATGCTGCTACCCCCACCTCTGAAAAGCATGATGGAAATATACTAATTTAGAATCATCTAACATTAAGATTTACTGCACAGAAGTTGGCCTCTGTTCAATGACATCCCCACCTACCTGCACCCTAGTGCCATTCATAAAGCCTTAAAGGAGATCTAGCACATAGCTCAAAACCTGGTCGACACACAGGCATATTCTCTGTGCTCTCCTCTTTGTCACTTTGGCAGTGTGACAAAATCTTTAGGGGGCGTTGCAGGCACCAGGAGCCTTTACTCCCCTACCTCACTCAAAGCCTTGATTCTTGAGTTCTGTTCCTGTCCAGGCTACAGGATGTTCATTGTCAACACTCTCCCTTTGAACTAAGTCACGAAAATGATCTCAGGGCTAAAGGACAGACAGTAGCTCCACTTCATATCAGAGCTTGCACTGCTGATACAGGAACGTTTTCTGTGCAGACAGTCGTAGCTCCCTCCTTTAGACGCAAACCCCACCTTGTTCCTAGTGTCTAAGACGATTAAAACAAAATCTCTCAGCACTTTCCCAGCACTTATTTGGTAAATCCACGCTGGGGGAGAACTGGCAGAGACATGTTAGATGCACCTGACAGCAACGCCCATTTATTTCATGCAGTATTCAGAGGCATTTATTATGTACCTACTACAGACCTAGACCTGGAGCCGCAGCAAGAAAACTCCATCCCTGTCTCATGGAGCTTGTCCAGAAAAATAGTGAACAGGGCTCAGAACCTTTCCAGTGGAGCCATAATTGGGGCAGATGAAAATAAATTAATCAATGTGAAATTCTCCAATTATATTTAGAGTGGCTTGATGAACCCCAGGTAGAGATTTTACTGATTGAAGGAAAGTTCCAGTAAAACCCCAATTCTTGACTCTAATCTAGCTTGTGTAACTAGGAAACCAAACACCAGTCATATTTTCCCACCTTTTAATTTACTCATGAGAAAAAAACTTACTTCTAAGACTAGAAATAGATGGGAAAATGTTTTCATCTTACTGAGATGTAACTGACATACACCACTGTATGCAGAGGGTTGCAGAGAACAGTAGAGACTTTGTTTTCACAAGTAAGTGTCAACATTGAAAAACAGAACATTTCTGTTATATAACTCTATTGCACCTGTAAAAATTAACATAAATAATCCCCCCTCATGGAGTTTCCTACTCACTGTCTCCTTAATTATACCTCCTTTAAGTCAGTGTCATGATGGAGTGTCTGGATTTTAGAATCTAAGATACTGAGGTGTTTTAGATATCAATTCCACACCTATTGTTTCATATGCCCTGAGAAGAATCCAAATATAGTGTTGTTCTCGGAGAAAGAGGATATTCCATGGTTTGTTGAACTCATGAAGTTTTTAGTACCTCTCAGCTATATAATTCTTTAAATATAGAGACTTTTGTAATTCTAGAAGATGCATTTGAGGTTAATACAGAAAGCTTACATTTCCTCACCATTCTGTTATACCTTAATTCTGTGTGATGCAGGATCAACCCCCATCATTCTATGAACAAAATAGCAATTGATATAGCAGCTGATATATAGGTTGGACTGAAAAAATTTTTTCTTCATCTGATTCCTGTAACACAGGGTCAATATGGAAAACTGAAAAGCACAAAGAAAATGAAATACCCATAATGCTATCACTGATAGTTAATTTTGAACTAATTGCTCTATGGGAATGCCAAAGACAAACACTTATTTGGAGTCAGTTTTTTTAACTTACATATATATATCATAGTTTCTCACACAGATTTTTTTTAACTGCCTCCTGCATAGACATTCGTACCATAAAGCCACCTACCAAAAATTCCTTATACTTTGGCTAGACACTTAGGATTCATTTTTCTTCCAAAATTATACATCTTTGGTCACAGCTCTGATGATTTCTTTGGGATAAACTCCAAATGGGACTGGTGGTTTCAAAGTCGTGGCCATTTAAAAACTTAACATATGGCAAAGTTTAATTAAGCCAAAAAGTTTGAGGGTGTTGGTCCCCCCCAAAAATGTTTACTCACATTGGTTGACATTTATCATTCTTTGCCAGCTAATGGGAAGAAAATGTCAATTCCTTCTGTGTACTCTTTTAATACAGGTCATGTGACTTTTTTCCTCTTACTAGTCATACAGGTTTAATCACAACTCTACAGATTTGGCTCATTCTTAATTTTCCACTTGATTTTCCATTGAGAGATGTTTCACCAGAAAAGTTCTGCCTCTTACGGATCCCTCTCCATGCCAACAATAATGGCTTTAAGTACTTCCAGGAGACTGGCAATTCATACACCCTTGTCCTTACCTTTTTCATGCTTGTTTTTTGCCTCCTCAATAGAGCATTTAGTTGCTCAAGGGCCAACTCAGAGAGGTGAGGCCCCAAATGCTAATGGCTCGGTGTTGTTAAATAATGCATCCACCTTGCTTTACTGGAGGGGGTGGGAGTGCAGTGGCCAAACCTTTGAGATTCTGAAATCTAGGCCCCGAGAGGATCCAAGCGCAGATGCTGAGCCACGGAAATCGCAAGTATTGTCCCTCAATATGCCCGACTAAGGCCAACTCTGGAAACAAGGGCCCAGGGAGTCCGGGCGGTGCGGAGCGCCCCACGCCACACTGGAGCCGCCAGGGGGGCGGCCCCACGACGACCGCGGCCTGGGCCGTGGGTTTCTAGGTTCAGGTCGCGGCGCTTTCCGCGCAGTGCGGCGCTCCGTTCCGGAAAAGGGACAAAGACGCCGCCGCCAGCTCTGCTTTCCTTCCCACCCTTCCGGAGTCCGGGCGGCGAGGCGGCCGAGCGCCGCAAGCCCCGGGGCCCTCGGGTCGGCGTGCACACGGATCGTCGCAGGGCCGCCCGGCGCCCGCGGGAGGGGAGCGAGCCGCTGTGCGAGCCGGCGGCGCGGACCCCGCAGGCCCACGCCGGGTCCGGGAGGCCTGTGGGCCCCGCGCTCAGGCCCCGCCTCCGGGCGCCGGCTGGCCCCGCCCATTTCGGGAAGGCGCGCCCCTTCCGCCCAAGCACCGCTCAGGCCACGCCCCCGCGGCTGGCTCCTGACCCCTGGGTGCTGGGGGATTGTTGCGTCTGTTTCCCGGACCTGGGACGGTGAGGGCTTGGCGGGCTCTTAGGTTCCCACTGGTCTCCTGCAAGATGACGGCGTCCTACGCGCCACGCACAGCCCATCCCTGCCGCCTCCAGAAGCGCTTTTCTTTTTTGTGTTGTTTTGGGATCCCTTTGATGGTCTCAGTGCTCCTGATACCCAAGCCCTCTGGTAAGAGCCTGGAGAGGGTGTGCGCTTTGGCGGCGCGCTGGAGCGGGTCGGGGAGGAGGCGGACGGGGCCCAGGGCCCGGGAGCTTTGCTTGGTGGGTCGGGGGCAGGTGCGGCGCTGGGGCGGCCCCCGTCGTGCTATGCGGGTATCCAGGGGGTGTGGGCCCTGTGGTGCCGGAGTTGAGGGCTTGCGAGGCGTTGAGAAGTGAGCCCTGCGGGTGTTGCGCGCGGCTGGTGTTTTCCCCTGGCGGAACTGTGACCCCAGCGAGTGCTTGAAGTGTGCTTCCAGACTGAGGCAACTAGGGGTAGGGGAGCGCGGACTCGGGGCTTGGGGTGACGGCTTGGTCTCAGTACCCAGTGCGTGTGGCTGTTGCTAGGATCCGCGGTGTGCCGGTGGGGAAGTTTGTCCTGTGTTCCTTAGAGGGGTGATGACCTTGGGGAGAGGGGGGTTGTTTGTGCCGGGCTGGGAGACCCCGGGCTGGTTGTTACCGGGTGTGGTTTACGGAACTAACCAGGCTTGTGGTGTCGGGTGTGGGGTAAGGAAGCGCACCGTTTGCTTTGCTGGGGTTTGGGAATCCCGTGTGGCCGTGCCGCGCTTGGGTGAGTGTGGGCTCCGGGTGCAAGCATGCTGAGGGCCCCTGGGGCTTAGAGGGTTTGGGAAGGCCACACCTTACTTTCTGTACCTAATAGCAACAGTCACCTTGTTGTCCAAGATCATATTGGTGTTGGTTGGCAGGGTATTCCTCTTATCAGTTTTTTTTTTGGGGGGGGGACATAGAATCATCTTCCTGTTTCCATCCAAGAGACGTTATCCAATTCCATTACCTAATGGCTTTTTGCCATTGTATTCCTTGTTTTCACAAGGGTGGGTCATATTTGAGGGGAATTCTGAATTAATCTTAAAAGCATTAGTAGCGGGCGCCTGGGTGGCTCAGTTGGTTAAGCGACTGCCTTCGGCTCAGGTCATGATCCTGGAGTCCCGGGATCGAATCCCACATCGGGCTCCCTGCTCGGCAGGGAGTCTGCTTCTCCCTCTAACCCTACCCCCTCTTGCGCTCTCTCTCTCTCTCTCTCAAATAAATAAATAAATAAATAAATAGCAAGCATTAGTAGCTTACTGACAAATGAGTATCCTAAGAAATACACAATAAATAATGTCAATCCGGTTTTCCCTTACACCCATTAAGGGAAACTGAAGGCCTGAAGGCCCCCAACCATTATATTTGTTTAGTGTTTCGCTGCATAAGAATTAGTGCTTATTATATATATATATATTTATATATATATGCGCTAAAGAAGACATGCTTGTTGTGTAACACATTTACAATGAAGCAACAACCATTTTCAGTACTTTGGTATATTTCTTTCTGTCTTTATCTGCACCTATGTTTCTCTGCCCAAGTTATTTCTAGGATCCTATTACATATACAATTTGTATGCTGCATTCTTTCCTTAGTAGCATTCATTCAACACATATTTGCCTTCTGTGTGCTGGGTTCTATTGCTGGTCCTGAGGATACACTGGTGAGTGATAACAAAACTGTCCCATTTTTATGATCCTGATTTCACTATTGATCTGCTTGCACTCACACAAGTAGAAACAGAAACTGTTTTGCTCACTTAGAACCCCAGTGCCAGGCACGCAGTGGCAGTCGAGAAATCGTTGCTAAAATTTATGGGGAGTGGCAGACAAATCAAAACGCTCTATGAACAGTTATGTTATAACCCAGCAGAAGTGTTTTGGAGGAAAGGAGCTCGATTCTCTGATAGCATTTAACAGTGACTAGGGGCCGGGGCAATTTCTCTTACTGAAGAGGCCAAACTCTGCCTCTGTGGGGCTTCTGTACTTACTGTTCCCTCAGACTTGGAACATTCTCTTCCGGCACCTTGCCTGTCACCCCCTCAGGAGGCCCCCCTCTGACCACCCTATCTCAGATAGACACACACACTCCAGCCCAAATCCCCCCTGACTGGGAGTCACTCTTGCCAAACTGTCTTCTGCTCTCCCTACTAGAATGCAGAGAGCTTCTCTGTCTTGTCACACTTGTGGTTCCAGATTTGCAGTTTTTTGCCCAGTGTCAACACTCTTGTATAACTATTGAGTGCCAGAAAGTGAAATATAAATAATATACTGTAATTAAGCTGGGACTTAGAGTGCCGGCAAAAATTCCTCCTGCTGCCAGGAGGAAGGTTCTTTAAACACCCGTCCTTAGGATGGCCTTTCTGTGGTGCCTAAGCTAAGTCAGGGGAAGCTGACTGTCAGAGAGGCTCTGTCTTCCACTGTTTATGTGGAGTCTGCAGGGCTCACAATACTGTAGTCTTGCTTGTTCCTGATCATCAAAAAGTTCATTTCTGTGGGGGGAGTAGCGTGGGGAGGGGCCAGTGGCAATAAAAAGAAACGGAAAAAAAAACGTTTTAAAAAAGGATCAAGTTTAGATCAGGCTTGGAGCCAACAGTTGAAGGAGACCATGACTGTTGTTTGGAAGAGAGGAAATAAAATGAATAGGGTGCGACATGGAAGGTAACAAAACAGAAATGCAGAAAAGGAAACACAAGGCCAAGTTGAGAGTTCAAAGGTAAAATCAGGATAGGTATGAAACTAAGAGAAAGTACAAATGAGCCTCATTCTGCCGGGCAGAGAAAATACGGCACTAGAACACACATGTGAGTTTTTAAGCAGCTCCCAGGCCCAGAAGCGGGTTTGTAAGCAGACAGTGTTGTGCCTGGAGGCTTGCCATCTCAGCGATGGTTGCCAGCTACATGGGATGGTAGAAGGGAACACTTGTCCAATTCGGGACCAGTCTCGTTCTTCCAGAAGGGCTCTGCTTTTTGGACAAAACCCACCATCTCCTGCTGTGAGTGGTGTCTTTTTTAGGTCTTTTCTTTCTCTCTAATGGATGAAGCCAAGATAGATCCGGAAGTGCTTACAGAGTAGTTTCTTCTGTCCTTACTCTACATATTACCATGCAAAGAGAGCAGTCCTTATCTGGTCAGTTGCTGGGTAACCAGAATACTGGGCGATAGGCAACAGAAGAAATTACATGGCCAGATCTTTCTCCAGGGCATAAAGCTTAAAGGTGATTCTTTTCAGGATTAGATGCATCACAGTATATTCTTGACTGTGGTGTTCTCTTTGACTGCAGTGGTCTTTTGAGTGCCAGATCGTCTTGCCTAGCTCCTCTGCTGGACATACTGTGCTTGGTGTTACGGCTGCGTGGGTGAATGGAGTCAGCCATGGGAACTATTAAACACAAAAACTTGTGATAGTGACTGAGAGATCCACACAGAGGACCTTCGAAGAGAAGGGGACTGGGCACCGCCTCCCCGGGGAAGCAGTCAGTGCTTGCTACAGGAGCCGTTGAGTGGATTCAATGTAAGAAGACAGGAGTTGAGCAGGGTTTGCAGCTGAGCAGGAAGGAAGGGTGTTCAGAGCAGAGGGAGCAGTGTGATCAGAGACTTAGAGATATGACATGGCTGGGGGCTCTCAAGGACTGTGGAGCTACCCAGTGTAGCAGCCGGAAGACAAGCGAGGCAAGAGAAAGGCCAAGGACTAGATCAAAGAGCGAATCTCTGTGAAAAGCAACAGGATAGTCAGGAATGAACAACCCCATCATTAAAATCCAGACATGATGTTATTACCTGTCCTTCCAGGGCACTTGAGCCCTTTTGTGTGACTTGGCACATAGCAAATCTAAACCGGGGTTACTTTAATTTCTGCAGACTCAGTAGAAGACCGTTTCTTGAAGACGACATTGCAGGGTGTGGTGTCCGCGTGGGAGGGTTTCAGATGAGTGTGGTGGGAAGCATTGTCTGTAGTGAACCCAGGCTGCCGGCTGCTGGAGATGTTGGCTTGGGCAAGTTACTTAACCTACGGGGCCTTAGTTGGCTCATCTTAGAGAGGGGGAAATAGTGCCCAACTCATAGGATGAGTATGAAGGTAAGTTAAATTGTACTTAAAATAATGGTATGGGTAGGGCGCCTGGGTGGCTCAGTTGGTTAAGCGACTGCCTTCGGCTCAGGTCATGATCCTGGAGTCCCGGGATCGAGTCCCGCATCGGGCTCCCTGCTCAGTGGAGAGCCTGCTTCTGCCTCTCTCTCTCTGCCTGCCTCTCTGCCTACTTGTGCTTTCTCTCTGTGTGTCAAATAAATAAATAAAATCTTTAAAAAAAAAAAAATAATGGTACGGGTAGTGCTGGATGTTTGCCATTTCTAAAATTATAAATGCTATCACCACTGTTGTTTAAGAAACAAGACATACAGTCTTTGGTTACCGTACTTGGGAAAAAATAAAATCCCCATGATTTGGAGTTCCCCTTTGATAATGTTAAAGTACTGTTTCTAACAATAGCAGTGATGGAGAATGGGCTCAAAATAAAACAAGAAAGCATAAATACTTTGACATGAAAGAAATCAGATACTCTGTTAAAGGGAAAGAGCTGTCATTCAACCAATGAGAAAAGTTGAAGACAGGCATAAAACAACCAAGAAAAAATTACAATTTACTGATATCTCTGGAAGAAGTTGGCTGACAGAAAAGAGTTTGAATTTTGGTCTAAGAGTGTATGGAACTGGTAAGAGCGCTCATTCAGCTCTGGCACTAGGTATTACAAGTGCAGTGAGATGTCACCCATGGTCCTCAGAAGGTAACCGTCTTGTAGGGAGTACGAACACTAACGACTTTGCTGTGGAGTTGTCTTGGAAGAAGTAAATGGGGATCGTGAGGACACAAATCTTTAAAAAAAAAAAAAACACCAGGTTTTTTTTTTTTTTAAAGATTTTATTTATTTATTTGTCAGAAAGAGAGAGAGAGCACAAACAGGGAGAGTGACAGGCAGGGAGAGAAGCAGCCTCCCCGCAGGGTTTGCAGCTGAGCAGGGTTTGCAGCTGAGCAGGAAGGAAGGGTGTTCAGAGCAGAGGGAGCAGTGTGATCAGAGACTTAGAGATATCGATGCGGGGCTCGATCCCAGGACCCTGGGACCATGACCTGGGCCGAAGGCAGATGCTTAACCCACTGAAAGACCCAGGTGTCCCTTAACCCAGTTTTTTGATGAGAGATGTCAAGAGCCACAGGAGTGGCACCTCAGCTGAAACTGAAGGACGAGTGGGTGGGAGGGTGGGAAGAATGTGGGGTCTCTGGTCAAAGCTGAAGTTAAATGATGCAGGGAGGTCTGGAGTGCTGTCGTAATTCAGGTAATTTAATGGACACTGCCAGGAATTGAATAGGGCTTGAGACTAGGGTGCAAGAGTGAGCAGAGTCCTGATAGTGACGGGCTTTACAAGTCTGCTAGCCATGATAAGGAGCCATAGGCATTGTCATGAAGGCGTTGGGAAGTCACTGAAAGGTATCCGACTTGGAAGAGCTTTGGTCACTGTGCGTCAACGTGCCTCTGGCAGCATTGTGAAACATGAAATGAATGGAAAGGTGGTGAGGTAGGTAAGGGCGCCTGTTCAGAGATGCTGGTAGCACTCTAGAGAAGAAATGGCAGTGGTTTGAACTGGAGGGAAAGGTAGAATTAGAGATGTGCAACAGGCATTTGAGTTGTGAAGACGGTCTGTCATCAACTCAACACCAAAAAATCCCAGCTAATCTAATTTAAAATGGGCAGGAGACATGAACAGACATTTCTCCATAGAAGACAGACAAATGGCCAAGAGACTCATGCGAAGGTTGGTCAGTATCACTCATCATCAGGGAAATGCAAATCAGGAGCACAGTGAGATACCACCTCCCACTTGTCAGAATGGGCAAAATCAAAAGCATAAAGATGTGGATAAACTGCCTTCTCGTCCACTGTTGGTAGGAATTCAAACTAGTGCAGCCACTGTGGAAAACATACGGAGGTTCCTTAGCAATTTAGAAATAGTAATTCTGGGTATTTACCCTGAGAATGTGAAAACACTAATTTGAGAAGATACATGTACCGCTATTTTTATTGCATCACTATTTATGATAGCCAAAATATGGAAGCAACCCAAGGGTCTATCAATAGATGAATGGATAAAGAAGGTGTGGTACACACACACACACACACACACACAGTGGACTATTACTTAGCCATGAAAAAGAATGGAATCTTGCCATTTGCAGCAACATGGATGGATCTAGAGGATATAATGCCAAATGAAATAAGTCAGTAAGAGAAAGACAAATGCCATATGATTTCACGTGCATAATGGAATTTTTTTTTTTTTTTTTTTTTTAAGAGAGAAAGCACGAGTGGAGGGGTTGGGGCAGAGGGAGAGGAATTAAGAATCTCAGGCAGACTCCACACTCAGCACAGAGCCTGATGCAAGGCTCGATCTCATGATACTGAGATCATGACCTGAGCTGAAATCAAGAGTCAGACGCTTAACCAGCTGAGCCACCCAGGCACCCCCATATATGGAACTTCTTAGAAACAAAACAAATGAACAAAGAAAAAAGATAAACTAAAAAACAGACTCTTAAATTTGGAGAACAAACTGGTGGTTACCAGAGGGGAGGTTGGAGGGGGATGGGTGAAATAGGTGAAGGGGATTAAAAGTACATTTATTGTGATGATTATTGAGTAATATATAGAATTTTTGAATCCCTATATTGTACACCTGAAAACTAATATAACACTGCTTGTTAATTATTCAAGAATTAAAAATTTAAGAACCCATCTGTCTTGTTTGCTGGGCATGTGTGAGTGTGAAGAATCAAGAGTGCACACTCTGGCTTCAAAATATTATATAGATAGCATGTCGGGTATGTGGGGAGGCAACTGAGTATATACAGTCGGCACCTTGGCTAGAGATCAAGCATAGAGACCAGGATTCGGGAGGCAGCTCTTCTCAGTGGTAATGAGATCATGAGAGTATACACACTCACCCAGAGGGGTGTGCAGAACGAAGTAACGAGAGTTCCCACAGCACCCCATTAGGAACATCACATTATGGAATTAGGCAGAGAAGGAAGGGTAGCCAGAGGATTAAAAAAATCAGTGTTCTGAGCAAGAGAAGCAATTTTATTGTAAAACAGTGTGATATTGGGTGCAGTTATCATAGTGTATAAAGGTTACAGAGCAAGTTGTAAACTGCACATTTTTTAAAGCATGTCTTATAAATTGAGCATGCAAGGAAGAAGAAATACTTCAAATTAGTTGAATGGTTAAACCATCCAATTGACATTTCTTTTTCCAAACAGATCACTATATATGAAAGTCATATTTGGAATTCTATCTTCTTTATCTGCTTCCAAGATAGTTACTGAAATTGAATGCAAGGAAGACTTGTATTACGTAATCAGGGGCATGCTGTTACTTGATTTCTTTCTTGGTGGTTCCATGATTTCTAATGATGTTATGCATTTCTAGCTAGCATGGAATTATATAGCATTTCTAGCTGAAGGAATGCGGGATCCATTGATCAGTGGAGGAAGATGAAATTATATTTAAAATAATGCCCCCCAAAGCAACATTTTTTCTTGTAAGGCTGTTCATACTAAATTTTGATATTTAAGTGGCATCTGTTCACTTTTGAGAAGCTTGGTTCACTCATATGAAGTATGAAATGAAGTCTTATATTAAAGACTTTAGTGCGTTTTAATCTTGATCTATGAACTACATAATGCTATTTCATAATCATTTGATACTCTAGCATTTCTGAAGTACCCACTGGGTACTGAGTGCAGTAGAAAAAGAAGACCTATGATCTCTGACCTCTAGAAACTTGTCTTCTGCAACGAGGAGACTGAGCCTGAAGTGATAAATTGTCATTAGTTTGTTTCAGACTATGGAAGAGTAACCAGAGCAGAGTGCTGTGTACTACAGAAGGCTTTTTAGAGGAGAGGCGAGTTTTGAAATGAATTTAGAAAAAAGTGGGAAAGGATGCTTATCTACATAATATTGTTAAGACCTAAACCATTGATTTTGTTTGTTCAATTTATTGTTGAAAGAAAATTCATCTTATTCCCCCACAAATCAAAACCTAGTAGGATGTTACTGAAAATAAGCAAGGCACATCCTCAACTACTATCACCACTTGGGTAAAAGCGTGGAAGAATCATTTAAAATCTTGCCAAGGATCTTTCCATTTATTCTGTATTACCTGTCTGCTGGGAAACCATAGTCCCTAGTTGGTGAAAGAGATAAAATACTTCATTTTCATGTTCTCGTTTTCTTATTCCTAGATGCCTGTGATGCTCCTCCGAGATACAGCTCTATGAAGCCAAATGTTACTAAACCCATTTATAATCCTGGGGACAGAGTATACTTCCAGTGTCGACCAGGATACAAGTTTATGTCACCTTCTCATTCCGTATTTTCCGTTTGTCAGCATGATAACACATGGACACCTCTCAACGAGGCTTGTACAGGTAAGTGTACAAAACTTTTTTTTTTAAATTATTCTAGAGATTTCACACATTGTAGGTTGCATACTGCACTAGTGCAGTGATTGTTTTCTCATGTGAATGTAGGTTTTAGATAGCAATGTAGTTTTTCAGGCTTTGAAAAATCTCCAGGGAATCTTTCTTGGCAATTGGTCACCTGGTTAAATGTGAAATTTAAGTTTGGCTTCATAATAGTTAAAGAAAGAAAATAACACTCTCATGAATTCAGAAGAACAATGTAGAATTTTGATTTTTAACTTACATGTTTTGAAATTGCTATGAAATATGCTAATTTAAACATTTAAGCATTTAAGCATTTTGAAATGTTTTGAAATCACTGTGAAACAATGAATTTATAAATTTTCTTTTAGAAAAATTATGTCAACATCCAGGAGAACCTGTAAATGGCCAGGTAGTCGGTGTAAATGGATCTTTTATCTTTGGTTCACAAGTTCATTATTCTTGTAATGAGGGGTAAGTTGTTCCTTAGAGGAAATAAGATAAATACTACTAATTCCATTTTTGTTTTGCTTCTCTTAAGCATTCCCATAAAGTTGATTTCTTTCGTTTTATGTGACAAGTTATACTTATAGCCTAACAAGTCTCAGGCTTTTTATGAAACTGAGAAGATGTGTAATTAGTAGAAAGAAATATAAATTGAAGAAAAGGAAAATTCTATAATATTTACTATAAACATATTGTAAGCATTAACGATGATGACTTCATTTTTGACAATAAAGTGCACCCTATTTAAAATGATAACTCTCAAAGTTGATGTTGGTGTTATAGAAATGGGAGGTCAAATTGCCAACTGTAGATATTCTTATATTGAGACAATTCTAAGGTGTTACCATGTCAAAATTCACGTGGTTAGCTTGGATCATTATGTTGATCAGGATTTGTTAGTTGGATTTTTGTGACTGCTACAAAGTTTAAGTATCTCAAAAAGAGATACTGAGCACTTAAGAATAACAGCCTTGTGGGGCGGAGCAAGATGGCAGAGGTGTAGGAGACCTGGACTTCGTCTCGTCTCAGGAATTCAGCTGGATAGGGATCAAACCATTCTGAACACCTACAAACTCAACAGGAGATGGAAGAAAAGAATAGCAACAAGTCTCTGAACAGAAAAGCGACCACTTTCTGGAAGGTAGGACGTGCGGAGAAGTGAATCCGAGGCGACATTCGGGAGGATAGGTGGCGGGGGAGGGGGCCTCCGTCAGCCGCTTCTGGCAAGTGATAGAGCCGCGGAGCACAAAATCGGAACTTTTAGAAGTCGGCTCCGCTGAGGGATGTCGCTCCAGTGGCTAAGCGGGGGGTGGAACCCTCGCTGGACAGTGGGGTCTCAGGACCCTCGGGGTCACAGAAAGACCAGGGGTGCCTGAGTGCAGCAGAGCTCCCAGGTATCGGAGCGGGGAAGCCGGCTCCAGAGATGGAGGCGACGCGCGGCTCTCAGCTTGGGGTTATCATAAACCGTGATCCGCGGCACAGTCGGGCCACTGCTCCTCCAGCAGGGACCCAACAAGCGGCAGATCCGGGAAGACTCCCCTTCTTCCCCCAGGAGGAGCACTGGGAGCGCACCGCAGGGATCTGCTGGGTTTGGAGACTCCACATGGGGTCGTGCGCCAGAGATAGAAACGCTCGGTCACAGGCCGGGTGAGCACGGAGTGCGGCCGGAGAGCGGGGAGACGGGAGTGACTGACTGCTTTTCTCTGGGGGTGCACTGAGGAGCGGGGCCCCGAGTTCTCGGCTCCTCCGGGGCAGAGATTGGGAGGCTGCCATTTTCACTCTCGTCCTCCAAAGCTGTACGGAAAGCTTGCAGGGAACAAAAGCTCCCGAGAGCAAACCCGAGCACATTACTCAGCCGGGACCTGGCAAGGTCGGGGCAATTCCGCCTCCGGCAAAGACATTTGGGAACCATGGCAACAGGCCCCTCCCCCAGAAGATCAGCGAGAACAGCCAGCCAAGATGATTACCGATCAATGAGAACAGCAGAACTCCAGTGCTAGGGGAATAATGCACATAGAATCCATGCCTTTTCCCCCATGATTCTTTAGTCTTTCAAAGTTAATATTTTTTTTTAACTGTCTTTTTTTTTTTTTGAATTTTTCTTTTTCCCTTTTTCAACCAACATCTTATCGATCCCTTTTTAAAAAAAATTTGTATTTTTCATTTTTAGAGTCATATTCTGTCCCTTCATAGTAGTTACCCTTATTTTTCGCATATATATAAGTTGTTCTTTCTTTAAAATTTTGAGATAGTTTCTTCTAACAGATCAAAATATACCCTAAATCTCTAGTGTATGGTATTGTTCTACTCTCCTGCCTGATCACGTTCTCTCCCTTTTTTTAAAAAATCCTCTTCTTTCTTTTTTCAAACAACTTCTTATCAATCCCTTTTATAAAACTTTTTATAATTTTCATCTTTACATTGATATTCCATCCCTTCATCATATCAGCGCTTATTTTTGTACATATATAAGTTTTTCTTTCTTTAAAATTTTGGGAGGCACTTTCTTCTAACAGACCAAAATACACCCCAAATCTGATATGTGGCACTGATCTATGCACCGGCCTGATTATATTTGATCATATTCTGGTTTTTTTTGTTTTGTTATGTTTTTGTTTGTTTTTATCTTTTTCTTTTTCTTTTTCTTTCTTCTTTCTTTCCCTTTCTTTTCCCCCGGCCTCAGGTCTTTTCTGATTTGTTTAGAGTATATTTTCTGGGAACGTTGTTACCCTGTTAGCATTTTGTTCTCTCATTAATCTATTCTCCTCTGGACAAAATGACAAGATGGAAAAAATCACCTCAACAAAAAGAACAAGAGGTAGTACCAACTGCCAGGGACCTACTCAATACAGACATTAGTATGATGTCGGATCTAGAGTTCAGAATCATGACTTTAAAGATAGTAGCTGGGCTTGAAAAAAGCATGGAAGTTATTAGAGAAACCCTTTCTGGAGAAATAAAAGAACTAAAATCTAACCAAGTTGAAATCAAAAAGGCTATTAATGAGGTGCAATCAAAAATGGGGTCTCTAACTGCTAGGATAAATGAGGCAGAAGAGAGAATCAGTGATATAGAAGACCAAATGATGGAAATTAAAGAAGCTGAGAAAAAGAGAGATAAACAACTACTGGATCACGAGGGCAGAATTTGAGAGATAAGCGATACCATAAGATGAAACAACATTAGAATAATTGGGATCCCAGAAGATGAAGAAAGAGAGAGAGGGGCAGAAAGTATATTGGAACAAATCATAGCAGAGAACTTCCCTAATTTGGGGAAGGAAACAGGCATCAAAATCCAGGAGACACAGAGAACCCCTCTCAAAATCAATAAAAATAGGTCAACACCCCGACATGTAATAGTAAAACTTAGGAGTCTCAGAGACAAAGAGAAAATCCTGAAAGCAGCTCGGGAGAAGAAATATGTAACCTACAATGGTAGAAACATTAGATTGGCAACAGACCTATCCACAGAGACCTGGCAGGCCAGAAAGGACTGGCATGATATATATTCAGAGCACTAAATGAGAAAAATATGCAGCCAAGAATACTATATCCAGCTTGGCTGTCATTGAAAATAGAAGGAGAGATAAAAAGCTTCCAGGACAAACAAAAACTAAAGGAATTTGCAAACACAAAACCAGCCCTACAAGAAATATTGAAAGGGGTCCTCTAAGCAAAGAGAGAGCCTAAAAGCAACATAGACCAGAAAGGAACACAGACAATATACAGTAACAGTCACCTTACAGGCAATACAATGCCACTAAATTCATATCCTGAATAGTTCAATAGTTACCCTGAATGTAAATGGGCTAAATGCCCCAGTCAAAAGACACAGGCTATCAGATTGGATTAAAAAACAAGACCCATTGATATGCTGTCTGCAAGAGACTCATTTTAGACCCAAAGGCACCCCCAGATTGAAAGTGAGGGGGTGGAAAACCATTTACCATGCTAATGGACACCAAAAGAAAGCTGGGGTGGCAATCCTTATATCAGACAAATTAGATTTTAAACCAAAGACTGTAATGAGAGATGAGGAAGGACACTATATCCTACTTAAAGGGTCTATCCAACAAGATCTAACAATTGATAATATCTATGCCCCTAACATGGGAGCAGCCAATTATATAAGGCAATTAATAACAAAAACAAAGAAACACATCGACAACAATACAATAATAGTGGGGAACTTTAACAGCCCCGTCACTGAAATGGACAGATCATCTAAGCAAAACATCAACAAGGAAATAAAGACTTTAAATGACATACTGGACCAAATGGACTTCACAGACATATTCAGAACATTCCATCCCAAAGCAATAGAATACACATTCTTCTCTAGTGCCCATGGAACATTCTCCAGAATAGATCACATCCTAGGTCATAAATCAGGTCTCAACCGGTACCAAAAGATTGGGATCATTCTCTGCCTATTTTCAGACCACAGTGCTTTGAAACTAGAACTCAATCACCAGAGGAATGTCGGAAAGAACTCAAATACATGGAGGCTAAAGAGCATCCTACTAAAGAATGAATGGGTCAAGCAGGAAATTAAAGAAGAATTTTAAAAATTCATGGAAAGCAATGAAAATGAAAACACAGCTGTTCACAATCTTTGGGATGCAGCAAAGGCAGTCCTAAGAGGAAAGTATAGAGCAATACAAGCCTCTCAAGAAACAAGAAAGGTCTCAAGTACACAGCCTAACCCTACACCTAAAGGAGCTGGAGAAAGAACAGCAAATAAAGCCTAAACGCAGCAGGAGAAGAGAAATAATAAAGATCAGAGCAGAAATCAATGAAATAGAAACCACAAGAACAGTAGAACAGATCAATGAAACTAGGAGCTGGTTCTTTGAAAGAATTAACAAGAATCTTAAACCCCTGGCCAGATTTATCAAAAAGAAAAGAGATATGACTCAAATCAACAAAATCATGAATGAGAGAGATTATAACCAACACCAAAGAAATACAAACAATTATAAGGACATATTATGAGCAACTCTATGCCAGCAAATTAGATAATCTGGAAGAAATGGATGCATTCCTAGAGATGTATCAACTACCAAAACTGAACCAGGAAGAAATAGAAAACCTGAACAGACCTATAACCAGTAAGGAAATTGAAGCAGTCATCAAAAATCTCCCAACGGGGGCGCCTGGGTGGCTCAGATGGTTGGGCGTCTGCCTTCGGCTCAGGTCGTGATCCCAGCGTCCTGGGATCGAGTCCCGCATCGGGCTCCCTGCTCGGTGGGGAGCCTGCTTCTCCCTCTGCCTCTCTCTCTCTCTCTGTCTCTCATGAATAAATAAATAAAATCTTTAAAAAAAAAAGAAAAAAAAAAAAAATCTCCCAACGAACAGAAGCCCAGGGCCAGATGGCTTCCCAGGGGAATTCTACCAAACATTTCAAGAAGAATTAATACCTATTCCTCTGAAACTGTTCCAAAAAATAGAAATGGAAGGAAAATT